AGTTTTTGGTCTAAAGTTATTTTGTTATTGCTTCTCTCAATTTTAATCCCCAAGAAACACTTTATTTCTTTCAAATCTACCATTTTGAACCTTTTCATTAAGTATTGTTTAAAGGTGTTCATGGTTTTGATATCTGCCGTTGCGATAACAAGATCGTCAACATATAAAATCACATAAATGTTTTTAGAAATATCACCTGCATCTAATATATATAGACATCGGTCAGCTGATGAATATCGAAAACCTTTTTCAATCAAGACTTGTTCGAACGTTGCGAACCAACAACGTGCTGATTGCTTTAATCCATATAACGACTTATTTAATTTACAGACCAAGTTGTTATCTGTACATGGGATTCCTTGTGGTACTTTCATAAAAATCTCTTCCTCAAGTTTCCCATTTAAAAATGCCGTTTTTACATCCATATGATGCACTAGCAATCTATACTGATTCGCGAATGCTAAAATAAATCTGAAACTTGCTATTCTTGCAACAGGTGCAAACGTCTCATTATAATCAATAAGATATTCTTGATTGAAACCACGAGCTACTAAACGCGCTTTATATTTTAATGGTTTTCCAGATTCATCATTTTTAATAGAAAATACCCATTTACAATCAATGATATTTCTGTCAATAGTTTTTGTACCAGGGTCCAGGTTTCATTTTTGAGGAGTGAATTAATTTCCTCTTTTATAGCACTTTCCCATAAATGTCTATCATCCCTGGATTGGATTTCATCAAAAGATCTAGGTATAGAACATACTAATGATTGTGCATGCAGCAAATAATTATTTGATAGATCATCTTTACTGTCATCATAACACACTTTAGGTATGTTTTTAATCCTTTCACTCCTTCTTAGATTCGGAGATGTTTTATCATCTTGAGATATTGTCAATTCATTTGGAAATGCAGAGTCTGAGTACACATCTGTTTCACTTACAGATTTATTAGATGGTGGATCTAATGACATAGGTATTTCGAATGTTTGTCTCATATAACTATCTGATTTCATCTTATCAGATTTTTGCACCTCCCAACCATTGGAGTGCCCGTCAGATTTAATGGAATTTTTACTCACAATTCCTTCAGGCTTAACTGGCCTACTTGATAAGAAATTAATCTCATCAACTATTACATCTCTGACTTTCACAAACCTTTCGTCTACCAGTAACCACACCTTATATCCATTTGGTTCATATCCAACCAGGATACCTTTTGATGACTTTTCATCAAACTTATGTCTTTTTGTCTTATTCATAAAATAAACAGTTGAACCAAAGACTTTCAAATACTTAAGTTGCGGCTTCTTACCATGCCACAATTCAAATGGTGTGTTATCAACTCTCAGTGCTTTTGTGGGTGTGATATTTACTAGATAAGTAGCAGTTAACACAGCCTCACCCCAGAATGTTTTCTCTAATTTCGCACCGGACACCATAGCCCGACTGCGTTCCGTTAATGTTCTTATCATTCTTTCGGCTACACCATTCAAAGCTGGCGTATGCGGCACTGTTAAATGGTAGCTTATACCTTTTGTAACACAGTACTCTCTCATTTCTTTCGATAAATATTCACCACCATTATCACAATATAAATTGACAATACTCAGGTTAAAGTGTGCCATACTTTTTGTTGCATAATCCCGAAAAGCAGTAAAAACATCTGATTTATGAGCTAATAAGTATGTTGCACAATAATGAGTAAATTCATCGACAAAAACCACAAAATAGTTTTTGTTATCAAGTGTCGAAGGAGTGACGGGACCCGAAACATCTGTGTGCACATTAAATAGTGGTCGTTTTGTTATTACCTTTGGCTTTGATTTGTTAAATGGTAAACATGCTTGTTTTCCATAAATACAAGCTTCACATAAGTTGTCACATGGCTTAATATGACTTATTTTCTCTATATCAGAAAACATTTCTTTATGCTTTATTTGCATAAATTTTGATTTACTAATGTGGCCTAAACGTTGATGCCACAATTCATAGTTATTTACGACTCTATTTAAAGAACACACAACAGACCCTTCAAGTAAAAAGTTAATTCCAATTAAATTGTTCAAACACTCACCCTTTGTTACCAATGTCTTACCCGTGTCGAATATTTGTACGCTTCCATCTTTGCCAAAAATAATTGTCATACCAGCTTCTTGCATTTTCTTTACTGAAAGCAAGTTGTATGGAATATCTTTACAGAATAAAACATCCTGTACCTAATATACCTTTTAATCCCAAGTTACTAATAACCGGTAAGTTTCCCTTTCTTGTAGCCTGGATGTAAGTACCGTTCTTCGCCACGGAGATATTTACTGGTTTTTCTAATTCTGTAAACTTTTCCGCTAAATCTGGCCTGTTGATGAAATGGTCTGAAGCGCCAGAGTCCAGCACAAATGTAATTGTTTCTTGCTTATAACGTTTTATGGCATTTGCTCCTACCATAAATGCAAATCCAGATGCATTTGGATCAGTTGTTTCAGTATTCAGTACTTGTATTGTTCGATGGTATTCAGGCTTCTGAAACCGTTCAGTTGCCATCTTGTTGTAATAACAGTTTTTCATAATGTGACCTTTTCTTCCACAATGGTGACATTTCACGTTTTTAGATTTATAATTTCTTTTAAATCTGTTATTAAATAATTGATGACCCCGTTTCTGTTGATAATAGGTCGCATTTGGGAATTTATTTATTTTTGAAAATGGAGTAGTTTTAGCTTGTAATACTTTTAAACTTGTGTCTCGATTTTCATTGTTTAGTTTAATTTCGTGGTCTAGCAATCTAGTTTTCACGAACGTCAAGTTTAAATTTTCTTCGGCTAAAGTTTCGATCGCAGTAATAACACTATTATAAGAGTTGGGTAGTGTCATGAATAAATGCGTTATTTTATCGTTCTCATTTAACGTTGCTCCCGCCGATACTAGTTCGCATATTAAATCATCAAAATTTTGAAAATGCTTTACTAATTGGTCTTCTTTAAACTTCATATTGAGAAGTTGTTTTCTTAAAGTTAACTGATTAGAAGTACTTTTTCGCTCATATATCAAATCTAATTTATTGAAAATGTCTTTAGCTGAAGATTGTTCAGTAACTAAACCGAGTAAGGTGTCTGATAAATATTCTACCAAAATATTTTTCGCTATTTTGACACTTTTAATCCACTCAGTATTAGGTTCGTTTGGCGATTCTTCATCGATCACATGAAGTACATTAAGTTCACTTAATAGATTACGAATTCTTAATTTCCAAACACTATATCTTTCACCGTCGAATTGTTTAATGTTCCGTTTCAAGTTGGAGCTGTCCATTTTCACTGTTTTTAATTTCACAGTATATTTATAAAAATAAAGTCACTTAAAATTTATTAATTGTCTTTTAAAAGTATTTACGATACTTCTAGTAATTATTATTTACACTGTACTTTACTGCACTGCACTGGTGCACTGGTGCACTGGGCCCATAACCTGTTAGGTTTGGGTTGATGAAATAAAACTAAGTTTATTTATCAAATAGCAGAGGTGGAATTTATTATTTTACTTTAGGAGGTGTGTGTTGCCTGAAGGCGTTAGCAGAACCGAATGAGGGCGAGATGCAAACATCTCAGTGAGGGTTAGCTGGCCACTTAAGGCACTTATAATAGTGGCGTGAGAATAATGAGTAGATTGATTTTTGTTATTCCAACATGGGATTTGGCTTTTGTGTTAATATTTTTCATTCAACTGTGTAATGGTTAGTAAAAGATGCTATTTAGTTTACTTCTATTGATTTATTACAATTATTATAAACAATTCTTTTTAATATGACTGTATTTCTAGGAAGACTTTTAGTTCCTTAATTTATTTCAGTTTCGTGTGTTTAACTAACTAAGTAGAATACAAATCACCTAGTCTATGCTACTTTAAGAATAAATCAACATGACAAAGCGTCAAATACGTGATATTTACAATAGTTGGAGTAAGAATTTTATTTTATTGCCGTTGATAAGTTAAAACAATGCTTCGTAATCTATGTACGATATAGAAGTGTACAATAATGTACTCAGTAGGTACCGTACCTACATTATTATATTGAGTTACTTGCCATAGATAATGAATATTTTAGAAACGTCACCTCGTTTTGTTTTTTTTATCATATTTTAAGTTCGTACCTATAAAAAGAGGTTTTTCTTAGAGATTGTTTGTCACCAGATATCTTGTACATAAGCTGTGATTTTAAACTTAAAAATATTCTGTTACACAATACTAAAACAACAAATAAAAATCAAATTAAGAAATCGTTACTTTTCTAGGACGTGACGTTACGGTCTTTAATCAAATGGCACGTAGTATTGTAAATAATAGTAAATCTTTCAACGATATCTTACGAGCGCCAAGCAATAATGAGTCATAAAGTCTACGATTAGGATATTATACGTCACGATATTCCTTGAATACGCAAATTAATAAGACGATCGTCTACGATAATTCTTGTGACCTCGAATTCTGACCTTGATCTTAACATTCAAATAACGTTTTACCCAACCAGCTTGAGGTAGGTTGGCGAAATATAATTTTAATGTTAGTCGTCTTAAAATTTGGCTTAAATCATTTATAACTAGCATTAAATTAAAGGGATTGTCACGAATACATAATATTTGGTGTTTATATCAAACGTACGTCGCATCCAAATCGGTCTATCCGTTTAGGAGTAAAGATGTCACAACATGGCAAATATTAATAAAAAACGCTTTTGGTGTCAGTTTCTGTTCTGTTTGTCTGTTTTATATAAAAATATGACATTTGTGGTACAACATTTTGTTTATATTACATTTTATTAGTACAGATAGAACAGAAACAGAACTTTGGTTCTTTAGGAATTTATCAACCTTATGATTTTGTAGTAAAGTTCAATTTATCTATCAAATATTGCTGGATGTTCTAAACCTGGCATCTACATGAAAAAAATCCTAAAAAATCGTTCTTTCTTTTATTAATTATATTATCTCTCTTTGTCTCCAGCAAACATGTCGATCCACATCAAGGACTCCGATGATCTGAAGACCAGGCTGTCTGAAGCTGGCGACAAGTTGGTGGTGATCGACTTCATGGCCACTTGGTGTGGACCTTGCAAGATGATCGGGCCTAAACTAGACGAGATGGCCAATGAAATGGCTGACTCCATTGTTGTCCTCAAGGTAAGTTTCTTTAAGGTTAAGGTGCGCTAACGCCGGCGTTCGCTTGGGGTAGGCCAATCTTATCTGACTAGCAAGAATTAGGTAGAAAAGGAAGCTAGAAATACTCTATAAGTGTCATGATAAGACGTTTTAACTTTTATTCCGTAGGCATAAGGGTGATATTAAAATCAAAAATGTAGTTTCAAAACAAACTGTTTACCTATTGCAGCCACAATATGCCATTCTATCAACGGAATAAAAGTCAAAATCGGTTGAACGGAAAGTAAAAAAAAAACCTAATATGTCGTATTGGATTTCCTTAAAGTTTCAATGGAAGCTTGTAATTTAATTATGTCAGAATGCCTCAAAATTGGCGTAGAGATACATGTAACTGGTTTGCTTTTGTTACTGATTGGTCGCAAACGCTGTTGGTTGGTTATTAAAAATGCTGGGTCCTGGATTAAGTTGAGGAATTCTAAAATCCAGGGCCTTGAGCCTTCAGAGCACAACAGGGGTGGGGTTTGGAGCAGGAGACGCAACGAAATAGTTTTTATTTTAGTCTGTGCCACTCCCTCTCGCCGCATCCAGGGCAGGAGAAATCAGTGAGATCATTTCTCCCCTAAAAAGTATTAAAAATAAAAATACCTAGTTTAGTTTTTCAACAGATTTTTTTTTAATTATAAATTCTAGAATAAAAGGCTCTCCGCCGATTTTTAAAAATATAATTATGTTGTTCAAGATATTGGGGTAGGTTCCACAAGTCTATAAGGAAAATAACTGAAGCAGTAGGACGTCGGAAAAGACCCATTAGTATGGTCATCACGCTAGTTTTTCGTAGAAACAATATGCAGATTCAATGAATACACCATTCACAATAAGTACCAATCTTCCGTTTAATTCTACCTCGAATTTTAAAAGGAAATTTAATAAAAATATATGTATACATTGACCATTCCAATAGTCAGTAGTCACATTTTTCCATTTAAGGAAATGTATTATAATAAATCAAAATCACCAGCCAAAAACTGTCCATTGCTAACAAAAGGCCTCTTCTCTCACGAAGGAGGTTTGAACATAGTCAGCACGCTTGCTCAAGGCGGATTGGCGATATCAAACTTATAGTTAGAAATTGAATGACTTCAGGGACTTGGTATCCGGCTGCCAAGCACACGTTGCTTATGTCCTTGGACTTGGAGACACTTGGAGTTACTCAAAAAGTCTGTGTGATCCACAAATTAACCCCAATCCTGGTGTGATGTGTTTATGAATTTGTATGTTTGTTAATCGCACCCGCGACCCAGGAAAAAATCCTAATGTGAGGCAAAAAATACTCACTATATTTTTTTACTCATAAATAACAAATAGAGGCATAAAACAATATGTACATAAATTAATCAATTAAGGACTGATTTTTCAATGGTTAGAGAAAAGTTACCTGGCGAATAATTATGATGCTATCACGTTAGAATGTTTGTATAAGACAGTGACAGCAACAATTTTATTCCTCGAATAACATTTATCTGACTATTGACTAAGCCCTAAGCGAAATAACAAGAAAACTTACTTATACTTATATTATGTACTGTAGTCTGTTTCCTATAGTTACGGATAAATGCAAACAAATAGACATATAGTATTATATTTTATTATCATATAATTATAGCTAGATCAATAATACGATGTGTATAAGGTTACTGTGGCATTGAAATTGCAACCACATGGATTTATTCACAACGTTTTTATTAACGGCCTGTAGCACATTCTGACATAAAGCGTGTTTCATAATGCTGTTAACATAATTGACACTTATGTATGAAAAATATGTTAATATCTTCGTCAGAAGCCATACTAGTACTGTAAAGCTGAAAAGTTAGTTTGTTTCAAAGCGTTAATCTCTGGAACTGCTGGTTTGATTAATTTCAGTCTTCTTCTCAACAAGGTTAAGCTACACATCGCACTTCTCTCTGACTAAACAAATTTCCTCAGAAACACACATACGCGCGCGCGCGCGCACACTCACACACACACACACACACACACACACACACACACACACAACTTTCCATCTCTCTCTCTCTCTCTCTCTCTCTCTCTCTCTCTCTCTCTCTCTCTCTCTCTCACACCACACTATACTTAAAGATTGTCCTGTTCATACTTTTACTTCATATTATCACGAAATCTACTTCACTTTTCTAAAACTCAAAATAGAAATGATATTAATGTTCTTTATAATCAACACTCGATTCTTTATCTGATAAAAGTTTCAATGTCTATTTGCGTTGTCTATGCTACCTTAAATAAATAGTCACTTATCCACCAAAATTGCTACAAAATAAGATTGTTGTAATGATTATGAATTGTTAGAAGTTTCATTTTGCATGATCTAAAAACGTCTGATGACGATGATGATTTTTACGAGTGTTTGCTACAGGTGCTATCTAATAATGGCAGTGAAATCATCGATCAAAAGATTGATCTTATACTCGGAACGCATTAAAAAAACATGGAAATCACACCATACTTTTTATTGTCACAACCAAAGGTGACTTACATAACATACTTTTTTTTGAGAGAGAAAAATCTTTGTATTATTTGCGAGAGTGTCAGGCTCTTACTGACTAAAAACCACCCCGATCCTTATCCTGCTTCAGGCCGGAGCCGCGGTACCTTATTGCGCTTGTCCCGCAACCCCAGCTGCCTAAAAATACCTACTATTACAATTGCGCAGATTAAAAACATTTTTCGACAAAGTTTTTATACTCTAAGTCGACCTTCTTTCTTGTTAATTTGTCGTTGGGCACTCACTCGAAACTGGTTTATGGGGTCACTTAGCTATGGCGCGCTATTACGCAACGAGCAATTTGTAACGATGACGTCACTATACCATTATGCGGATAAAACGTGTAGCTGAACTTAGTGTATTATTATTGTTCTAGGAAATTGTTTTCTTTGCATTTAAGTTGGTTTAACAGGACATGTCACCTTTTCGAAATCACTACATAGTATAAAACAAAGTCACTTTATCTGGCCATATATTTATCACGTTTGCTAGAAAGTTTCTTCTAGAAAATAAAAGAACAGACAATAGACAGGAGAGACAATAGCAATCTAACATCTCATACAATCTGTACTAATATTATAAAGAGGTAAAATTTGTAAGTTTGTATGTAGGGGGGTAATCTTTGGAACCGCTGGTCGGATTGCCAAAATTCTTTCACTGATAGATAGCTATAATGTTCCTGAGTGTTATAGGCTATAAAACATCACGCTACGATTAAATGGAGCCGAGCAGCGGGCGAAACCGCGCAAGAGTAGCTTGTTAGCAATAAAATTCATTAGATTTCAAAATCACAATGTTTAATGGTAACGACTATCTCAATTTTCTTACAATTTGTACTTTATCAAGTACTAATTAACTAGTTTATCAAGTTGAGAAAAATCTCGAATTTTCTGTCATTTTTATATTCAATACTTAATAATATATTTCTTTACGCTTCTCTCTGCCGTAACATCGAGATAAAATATAAATGAAAGATGGGCTTAAACTTCGAAAAACATATTTAATAGCTTTAAGCAACTCGTAACTTATTACAGAACAATCGCCATGACAGTCAGTGAGAGAGAGCTATGTATCTGTCTCATTCACACATAGACCACAGATATTACATTGTACCTTAATAACTTTTTCTAACACCCCCTCTCAATGTAATAAACTGGATACATATTTACTAACTTAAATTAAATTCTACAGAGAAAGGAAACTTTGTAATTACTATAACAATAGGTAAGTATAATAATATTCTAAGCAGTTAAGTTACTTTAAACCACACATATTTACCAATTTTAACAACATATTATGTTTCAACGCTTTGGTCAACATATCAGCAATTTGCTCCTCAGTTTTCACATATTTAAGACAAATTTTTTGTTTCTCAATAAGTTCCCTAATAAAATGATATTTAATGTCTATGTGTTTTAATCTCTTTACAGTGTTGGTATTAGCAATAACCATGGCAGACTGATTGTCACAGAATAAGATAGCTGGAGTTAAATTTTTTATATTAAAATCACACAACAGATTGCTCAGCCAACATGCCTCAGCCCCTGCCATACTCATTGCTACATATTCAGCCTCGGTGGAAGAAATACTAACTGTGCTTTGCTTCTTTGAGCACCAAGAAACCAGGCAGTTTGCATACTTAAAGCAGTAGCCTGTGGTAGATTTCCTATCTGTTAGGTCACCTCCCCAATCAGCATCACAGAATCCCACCAACTCATCATCATTACAATTATAAATCAATTTATAGTCTAATGTGTGTTTGATGTATCGTAGAACTCTTTTTAATGCTACTAATAACATGTTGCTAGCCCTATCTTGATATCTACTTAAAATTGATATTACAGCACAAATGTCTGGTCTAGTACCACAAGCTGCATACATCAAACATCCAATTATTTGTCTACATACATTTTCAGTACCAGTTGTACACTTATTATTCTCAAGTTCCTTTACATTAAAATTCTGGTCCATGGGTGTGCTAATTTGTTTACATTCATACATATTGAATCTTTTCAGTACATTTTCCAAATAATTTCTTTGACATAATACTGTAACATGAGTTTCTAAATTTTGTTTTACATTAATTCCTAAAAAATCAGAGACCAGACCCAAATCCTTCATTTTAAATTCCTTTTTTAACACTAACTTTAAATGTGACACAGAATCTTCATTACTACCAAAAATCAATAAGTCGTCGACATAAATAAGTACATAAATCCTTTCAGTTTCATTACACTTAGAATATAAACAAGGATCACATTTAGATCTTTTAAAATTTTCTCTAATTAGCACAGAGTTGAATTTATCATTCCAGTACTTCGGTGACTTCTTTAGGCCATACAATGCTTTATTTAGCTTTACAATACAGTCATTATTTTCATAAGCTCCATCAGGTAGTCTGATATATACACTTTCATTTATTTCCCCATATAGAAATGCTCCCGTGACATCCATTTGATAAACTGGAAAGTTGAATTTTGTTGCTATAGCTATAAACAACCTAAAAGTAGCCAACTTAGCCACCGGGGCATATATTTCACTATAACTCAATACATTTTCCTGCTCAAAGCCTCTTGCTACCAACCTAGCTTTATATTGAATAACATTGTTGTTTTGTTTTATTTTGAATACCCATTTAGTACTAATTGCTTTCTGATTACCTGGTAGATCACTTACTGTCCATGTATTATTTTCCTTTAATGTCTGTAGTTCCCTCTGGATCGCTTTCTTCCATTCAGATGCCTCTGGACTCCTCATAGCCTCTTCGTATGATTTTGGCTCACAATCTTCTACCAAAACATTATTACAGCTAAAGAATTGAGTCTGCTTTCTGACACGCTTGTTTCCATGGTTTATGGGTGGATTTTCAGAGTTTTCACCTTCACTACTATCACTTGGTTCGTACAAGCTCCCCTCAGAATCACTCTCTGAGATACTCAATGTGTTATCGTCTTCTTCAACAACTTGCGCTCGATCTTCAGCCTCATCTAGATTAAACTCCTCCATTTGTTTGTATACACATGGCACCGTTGTCGACTTTGTTTCTTCTTCTTTATTTTCTTTCACAAAAATAATATCCCTTTTTGTTTCTACAGTATTCATGTGTGGGAAAAATACTCTGTATCCTTTAGTATTCTCTCCATAACCAACTAGAATACCTTTTTCACCCTTGGGGTCCCACTTACGCCTCTTTTCTTTTGGTATATGGACATATACTGGAGTGCCAAACACTTTAAGGTTGTTGATATCAAATGTTTTGTTTGACCATAATTCATATGGAGTTTTTCCATCAACTGAGCTTTTTCCGGTTCTGTTAATTACATATGCTGCTGTATTGATAGCCTCTGCCCATAGATTGGTAGATAAATTTTTCGCAAATAACATTGAACGGGCTGCCTCTACTAAAATTCTATTTTCCCTTTCAGCTCGACCATTTTGTTCTGGAGTAAAAGTCACTGATGTTTGATGCAATATTCCTTTTGCCTGGAACATTTCTTGTACCTCGTTATTTACGAATTCAGTTCCGTTGTCGGTACGAAAAATCTTTATTCGGTTTCCAGTCTCATTTTCAGCCCGAGCAATAAAATTTCTAATACAAAGTTTAATTTCATGTTTTCCTTTAACAAAACACACTTCCCTGTATTTTGAAAAATCATCCTTGAACACGACGAAATACCTCGAACCCCCAATAGAACACTTTTCCATCGGTCCGCATGTATCTGCATGAATTATTTCACATGTCCTGGAGCTAACATTTTCACTTCTAGGGTAAGGCAGACGGTGAATTTTACCCTTCACGCAACTTTCGCATGTCGCCGAGTCGGACGATTGAGTATTAATATCAACTTTATTATTTTTCAACACATCTTTCACATAACTCATGTTTTGATGCGCCATTTTTTCATGCCATTCGTGTAAAGTTGAACGCTTGATTTCCGCAACGTTAGCTTCGGACGTATTATGGTAACGAAAGTCCAAGTAATACATGCTTCCATTACGCTTAGCAACTGCCATCACCTTATTTTCTTTATAAAACTTGCATTCATTTTCACCAGTTACAATAACATAACCTTTACTTGTTGCGCGGTTCACAGAGAACAGATTAGTTGACAGTTCGGGAACATGTAGTACATTATCTATGGTAGTGTCGATCCATTCGTTCCCGTTCCATACTTGTACTGCCACCTGCCCGCTGCCCTTGACACTAATTTGCGTTCCGTTTCCCACAATTACCGATTTACCTTTTGCGGAACAATAAGAATTAAACAGTTCGTAATCACAACACATATGTTCGCTTGCACCCGAGTCCACCAGCCATTTTGTTTTATTAAAATATGCACTAGATTCACTAATTTTGTCCATGACCACGAATGCATTACCTTTTTTGTTCTTTTTAAAACGGCACTGACTTTTCAAATGTCCTGGCTTATTACAGTAATAACATCTCACTTCCAAATGATGATCCTTGGAATTACGAAAATCATCAGTCTTATTAAATCGGCACTCACTTATAAAATGTCCTAGCTTATTACATTTAAAACACTTTACATTTTTCCTGTTTGTTTTTTTAGCCACAAACGCTGCCGACGATTGCGAGCTTCCGCCTTTTTCTTTAATTCTCTCTTCTTCTATAAGCAACCTAGCGACTAGGTTATCATAGGTTTGCTTATCGTCTGGAGCGGATTCCCATGCCGAGACAAAATGCTTATAATCTTCCGGTAACGACATTAAAATCTTCGTTATAACAAACTTATCAGATATTGCTTCGCCGAGCTGTTTTAAGTGGTTTTGCATCTCCTGTATCTTCGATAAAAAAACGGACATATCTGAATTTTCATCGTATTTGAATTGAAAGAAACGTTGTTGAATAATGTGGATGCTCGTTTCAGACTTTTGTTCATAGACACTTAGTAATTTTTGCCACATACTAGCCGAAGTCTCACATGAAATAATATGTAACATGACTTCTTCCGACATTCTTGTGACCAACAACGTTTGAGCTTTCGCATCCTGAGCCTCCCAACGATTACGTTGTACATCATCTTCAGGTTTAACCTTAGTTCCATCCACTATATTGTAGACACCTTGACCACGCAATAATACGGACGTTTGGAATTTCCATATGTTCCAATTTCTGGCACCCTCCAGTTTTATCGTAAAATTATTGTTTTGTATGGGCTCCATTTTCTTCCTTCCTGTAGATTTTCTTGCCTTATCCAACCTTTTTGAACAAGTAATTTCCTTCCCGACTTAACCTCAAAAATTTTGCCGCCAACGCTCGCCGGTATTTTACTTTTACACTACAGTAATTACTTTGTTTTTTAAACTTTTATAGTTTTCTGTATTAGTTAGTTATCTGGGCCCATAACCAGATAAAATATAAATGAAAGATGGGCTTAAACTTCGAAAAACATATTTAATAGCTTTAAGCAACTCGTAACTTATTACAGAACAATCGCCATGACAGTCAGTGAGAGAGAGCTATGTATCTGTCTCATTCACACATAGACCACAGATATTACATTGTACCTTAATAACTTTTTCTAACACATCGTTTATGTATAAATGTGGTATTTTACATAATTAATAGAATAATTAGCATAATAAAGCATTCTCTGTAATTCTCTCAGCCTGCGAACATAAACAGTGACTATTATTTTCCTTGAATAGTAATAGTACATACTTGCTTATTCTTTTTATATTACATAGCATATCTAACTGGTAGAAATAGTAAATGTATGTTTGAGTCTAACATAGATAATAATATGTTTTTCATATTCATTTTCTTGTACCTACATAGTATCCAAACTTTTTGGTTACAAAGAGCCTAAAAAAAAATCAAAAAGAAAAAAGTAATTACCTATGGAAACGAAAAAATGCAGTAGACTTCTTTTTTATATTTATAGTAATAGAAAAATGTATTTTGTTGTAAATCTGTAATGTAAATTGCGTTATGACGTTTAGATACCTACTTATATATGATACGGGTCTGCGGTCGCCCACATTTATACATGTAATGTGATAATATCAGCTAAAAATATATAAATATATAATTACTGAAGCCATTTTCCTACATGAATGATATGCTTGGAGCCTCATTAGATTGGTCATCCCTATTTTATGTAGAATGGTAATTAATTTGGACTTATTAGTAATAGGGGACAAAAGATAGGGGTGTAACAATTGTAAACAGTGTTGTTGAACAGACAAAAACTGAGTATTTTTTTACTTTTTATAACCTTGCCCTCTTACAGTAATTGTAATTATAAATGTCTGACCTTAACCCAATTACAATAATTGTAATTTTTGTAGTCTTGTCTTGTCGTAGTTTGGTCTTATATAGCTCAAAATAGTAATTTTAGGTCGTCATAAAAAGAAATGTATGTTTATTTTTAGCAACTCCATAATACCTACCTACTTTTAATATAGCTTAAGAAATGTAATATAAGTAATTTTATATCTTAATATTGGAGATTTAACATACCCTTTGCTTTGACCACACAAATAGTTTTACTTAAAATTTTTATAATTAAAATTTTAATTTAAAATTTCATACATTAAAATATTTACTCAAAATGTCAGATTAATAACAATAGTAAAATAATAGGTAATAACAATGTCAAATTGAATCATATCTGAATTCTGAACTAACAATCGTTTTGATCTTGAAACCTAGTGCTAATCTAGAGCACTTACCTTTTGTTTGATAGCCAATGATAAGATATAGAACGCACGTTTTAATAACATGTTGTAATAAGTATGATAAATTAATATTGAAAGTAAGAAAAGCGCAATTTACGCATATGCGATTTTTGTAGGTGTTTTGTCTCATCATGGTTCTCCTAATGTCATGAAAATATTTTTATATTTTTTTGTATTTCATGATAATTTTAATGTGACTTTAAACTATGATTAAACAATATATTTGAAGTATATCTTTAGTTTGACTTAACAGCAACTGAACCAACATATTTAAAAGAAAATTGAAAAACAAAGATCACACTTTAAATATACAGCTAGGTCAATTGTTTTAATCTAATTACATTTATAAGAAAGAGTTAACTTAATCTAGATTATTATCATGATATAGAAAGAGACAAACTTTGAAATGTAAAGTGCCTAGGGAACACCTAAACTAGATTTATTTAAACCTGTGTTTCAAGGTATCTTAATATTAATTTATACACTATAGGATCCACCCGCGACTTCTCACGCGTATAAAAGTAATGTCACCTGGGATTTTAAAAACAGCAAATTAAAATCAAGTATAAGTACCTTTTGTATTCAAGACCATTGTAGCTATTTATCAGTGTTAGAATTTTGGAAATCCGACCAGCTGTTCCAAGCATTACCCCCTACATAAAAACTTATTTTATCTCTTTATAATATTAGTATAGATATGGCCATTATTTAATATTACTTTTATCTCCTTTCCAGGTCGACGTCGATGAGTGCGAGGACATCGCGACGGAGTACAACATCAACTCCATGCCTACCTTCGTGTTTGTGAAGAGCAGCAAGAAAATAGAGGAATTCTCAGGCGCTAATGTCGACAAGCTGAAGAACACAATTATCAAGCTTAAGTAAAGCTGAACGCGGGTTTTGTACGCTCCTACAACATTCCTCCACGGGAAACCTTACAAAAGGCATTTTAAACAGCATTTTGACAATGATCTAACTTTATAACGATTTTGATCGGCATGTTTAGTTGCTGGTTGACTAAAATATACCTTTGTACGTAAATATTGCTGATGCATACAGAGACAGTCCGTAGGATAGCTAATATTAACTCTGCTGCCCCAATATTGTAATTTAAAGACTGCTTGTGTGTTTAAAGTTTTAAACTTTAAATTTGAACATGCCGCATTGCAAGGTTATTCCGTCGGTAGGTAATGAGCAGCTGGGAATGTTAGCACACGGCACTAATGCATAATATGTTAATTTAAAAGCCATCAGAAGGATCACAATTTTTGTTGTTTTAATATTTTTTTAATGAAATGTAGTAGACGTATTTTTAATGCAAGTGTCTTATCGCACTATTTGTGCTTTTTTGCAATTTGGTTCAGCGTACAAACTCATATTCGTATTATATGCCGTGTATTTCTTTATATGTATGTAACAGAGTGTAAAACTACAATAAATACTGTTTCAAAAATTTACCGTTTATCCTTTTGTCTTATCCACCCGTCAACAACATCAATATGACATGGAGAAACAAATTAACACCACCCCGTGACTCGGCAATAATCATGAAAGCATCCAGAGGCGGCGTAAGGCGTGGGCGATGTGGGCCAACGCCTACTACGGCCTCGCGCCTCAAGAATTTTTATATTTCATTTTCAGGTCTTCAGGTCGCCACAGAAAAGGGCCTCGCAAAATCTATCTTGCCCACCACTGAACGCATCCATCGATTTAACTGCTCGTATAATCACAAAGTTTGTACGAAATCAGCACTGAATAGACACATAACTCTGGAGGTGTCAATTTGAGTCATTTTATAACAAAATCTGGTTCTGGTCGGGCGGCGAGTTATCCTTGCTCGCTGACAGGAGACTCTTGCTTATGGTGGCCGGAAATAGTCATTCTATCAACGACGTGTCCTCTACTGCAGCGCCTTTTGTGTGACTCTCCTCCTTAGCGATCATCACTGCTTCGCAATAAGAGGAGACGGCTTCCCAGTTCCTCTCACTCCGCACCATGGCCTCGACTAAGTCCGGGCGCGAGAGGTGGCCGCCGATCACGTCCCTGAGGACGGCGATGCTCAACCCATGCACACCGCCACCGTATGCTCCGAGTTGTCGCGGATCCGAAGCAGGTACATAGGTATCGAAGCTTTCGTGACCGAATACTGTTAAAAATTGAGATAGGTTTTTGTCAGGGTTTTTATGTAAGTACTCTCCGCACAAACATCAAAACACAGCGATCGATAGATCGGAATGTTATGTTAGTTCGTTTGGGTTGCGCCATTCACAGGTTTAATTATAAAGGTTAGGTATAAAACTACCTATGATTAAAGTTTGGATTGATCTGACGAAGGATACCATTAGGTTAATATATGATTGTGTGTAAAAAGCAGTCCGATAGGTACTGAATGCACTTTTATTAACATCAGAAACGACAAGAATACTGTTGAATTAAATTATAAAAATAACATTTCCTCTATAACAAGGTAGAGAAGCCAAGTTACAGCGTACAAATCAACAAAGCTGGACTTCAAACTTTTGCAGTTGATGGACGCAATTAAGTATTTAGAGGTATGAGGAACAGGGTGGAAAGTTCCTCATCCTCCATTGAAAGGGGAGGATCCTCCGACCAGGCGAGGTGTTCGTGCCTGGTGGGCTACTGCCCGACGATTGTTGTCGGGATATCTGTATGGGTGCTAATTGTGTGGAAAACTCTTATAGCGCGATGTAGATTCTTGCTCGTGATTGGTGCTGTTGTTTATGTAGTGCGCTAGATGTCGCTACATCACTCCCCTCCGAGACCGGAGGTCGTTAGCTGGTTGAGACGTCTGTGAGATGCTTGTCGAGCCAGTTGATGGTTTCAGTGCGTCGAATCTGTCTGCGAAGATGCCCCAGTGAGTCGGGTGGTGCAGTGCTGAAGAGTGGCTGGCTGCTGCGTCGACCAGGAGAGGGAGTACGTCTCTGCTTGCTGACCGGCCGGTGCAGTATGCTGTGCCGAAGTTGCTGATGAGGCTGTAGGTGCTGAAGAGTGGCTAGCTGCTGCGTCGACCAGGAGAGGGAGTACGTCTCTGCTAGCTGACCGGCCGGTGCAGTATGCTGTGCCGAAGTTGCTGATGAGTCTGTAGGTGCTGAAGAGTGGCTAGCTGCTGCGTCGACCAGGAGAGGGAGTACGTCTCTGCTTGCTGACCGGCCGGTGCAGTATGCTGTGCCGAAGTTGCTGATGAGGCTGTAGGTGCTGACCAGGAATGCGCGTCGGCTGCATGCTGGTGGTCAGGGAACCCGTTGTAGCCGTGGAAGCTGGCTGACTGTAGACTCGCTGCTTGAAAGCTCGAGGAAGTGATGACGTCATGGCTATGACGTAGTTGCACGAAGGCTGCGTTGATGTTCATGCTCGGGGTCACCAGTTTGGAGGCATGAGGAACAGGGTGGAAAGTTCCTCATCCTCCATTGAAAAGGGAGGATCCTCCGACCAGGCGAGGTGTTCGTGCCTGGTGGGCTACTGCCCGATGGTTGTTGTCGAGATATCTGTATGGGTGCTAATTGTGTGGAAAACTCTTATAGCGCGATGTAGATTCTTGCTCGTGATTGGTGCTGTTGTTTATGTAGTGCGCTAGATGTCGCTACAAGTACTTATCAACTAAAGCTAAGACAATAGAATGGTGAATTAATCTGTAAATGTATTGTGCAACCAAATACAGAAAATATTATTTCTTTTCTGGACGGAAATGATCGCACAGATGAGAGAAAGAAAGAAAACCGATACCTTATGCTGCAAATCTGCTAGATCTTACAGCTGCAGGATGTGAAATTGGTATCAGAATCAGAAAATTGAAGCGATGGAGTTTAATTATGCGTAGGTATCTATCCATGTCAATCCAAACTAATATTATAAATGCATAAGTAACTGTCTGTCTTTTCTTCACGCCTAAAATACTGAACTTATTTGTGTGAAATTTGGTACAGACATAGTAAGGAACTCGAGAAAGGACATAGAATAGTTTTTAACTTAAAACCTGTAGGAAGTCACTATACCACGCGAAATTAGCGGGCAAAAGCTAGTCTATACTATCTGTACCTACTAGTCTATACCTACTAATATTATAAAGAGGTATTTGTAGGTATGTTTGTATGTGTGTTGTATGGGTAAGTACCCAATCTTTGGAAACGCTGGTCAGATTTCCAAAATTCTTTCACTGATAGATAGCTAGAATATTCCTGAGTGCTATAGGCTATACCTAATATATCACGCTACGATTAAATGGGGTTCGAATTGAACAATATTTTTTGTGTTTGTTAGTCCATTTATCGAGGAAGACTAAGTATAGGCTATAAAACATCACGCTAAGATCTGTTGCAGGATCGGGTGAAACCGCGCGAGAATAGCTAGTATTAAATAATGTTTTCTACCTAACATTAGGACAAGAATTACAAACACTTATGGACTAGGTATCTCTAATCGAAATAAACAATGTAGGTCATTAAACTTGGAAATAGTCTAGTCTATCTGTCGATTGTGTGGCTGACTTAGCTAATTATAAAGAACGAGGTGGCTTGTGGAGTACAGTTTATAAGGAAAGCTGCAGAAACCGTTGATCCTTTAATGTGGTGGTTAGGAATTTGTAGATCTAACTGCTCTTAGTAAGATAGCTTGTTCGCATTCTTACTGCACTTTGTACAACACCGGCTACAGAAAGAACTTTTAGTATTTTTTTTATGTGATAGGACAATTAACGAGCTCACGTAATACCTGATGGTGAGCAATTAGCGCCGCCCATAGACACCCTCAACAATGGAAGAGTTACGAGTGCGGTCTTTTGGGGATTAGGGATTTAGTAATTTTGAGATAAGGGGAGGGGAAAGTTTGGGCCTCCAGTAACCTCAATCACACGGCGAAACAACGCTGTGGTTGTTTCCCACCGGTTTTCTGTTAGGCCGTGGTATATTCGTGCATGGCTCGCCCCATCACAAATAATACCTACCTACTTACTTAAGGATTCATTCACAGCGCATATAGGAAAATGCCTAATAACGAAAAGAGCCGCCAAAATATCATTTCTAATGAATAATTAGAATTTATTGTAAGTATGGAGACTGTTTCGTGAATGGTCCTGTTTTTACGTGATGATATATTGATTTTACTCGTACTGTTGTAAAGAAGCAAATACCACTATTTAACTTAAAAGTAAGTCACTACAACTTTGGAAATTTAGTTTAGGCCTGTTTTTTTGGGCGTTTATAAGAGGTTTATCGGTTTTTTCCTCATTCGTTCAATGTTAGCCCTTTTCCAGATAGGTTTAAACCTTCTGCCCATCTCTAGTTAAAATGAATATCAATTATGTAAAATGGGAACATTTGAAAAATTATCGAGAACCTCCAAAGTAATCATATAGGTAGATTTATTAGGATAAAAAAACAAATAAAAACAGGTAATAATTACAACCAAATTTTATTAATATTATTATAACATAAAGCTTGCTTAATTACATACAAAGTAATTAGAAATGTGGTCATATTTTGAGAAGTGTGTCGAATGAACTTATTTCTAGCTAATATACATTTTGGTCCAAAATATATTGCTTGTTGTCTCTAGGTCCTCGATGCTCTAGACTAGATAAGATTGCGCAAACTGAATATGTTGATACGCAACTTTTATTAATGTTTCCTGTCTGAGTGTGATGACATATTAAATTTATTTGTAAACGCATGTACGACACAGGAGAAAACCAATGCAATGTTTATACTAATACATATTATAAAGAGGCAAAATTTGTAAGTTTGTATGTAGGCAGTAATCGTTGGCCGGATTTCCAAAAATCTTTCACTGATAGATAGCTACTACTAATGTTCCTGAGTGCTAGTATAGGCTACCACCTAACACTAACACTAACACTAACTACCAATAAAGCGCGCGGCAATAGCTAGTCTTTAATAGTAGCACAACTAGTTGACAACGTAAAACGAGGAGTAAAACAAACGATAAAATATTAAGTTCAATGTTCCAAAATAAACAAAAAATATGTTTCACCTTAATTTCATGGTGGTATACAGTTTACATACTTCTTTGACTACTGTCATATTCATGAGAGTCATCAAAGTATAAAACAAAGTCGGTTTCTCTGGCCCTATCTTACATTAGGCTTACATCTTTAACACATCCAGTGCCCCCGACGCGTATGTGCGTTTCCTTACGCTACTCTGTGTGCCCTCGACGCACCTGTGTGTTCTATACATTAATGTATACACATACGCGTCGGGTGCACTGGATGCGTTAAAACTAAGCAACGCATTTCGATGCAGTTTTTTAACAGACAAAGTGATTAAAGAGGAATGTTTATATGTTATAATAACATCCATTAACTAGTGGAGAAATTTAGTATCAGCATTACACCCGTGCGGAGTCGGGTCAGGTCGCTATTTAAGATACTTAATTGACAATTACTTGAATTTGTGCGTTCCTTTTAAACACAAAGCTACAACTTCTTAAAACACGACCACACCTAATCAAGTTACGTGGATAAAACTTGCAAATAGAATGTTCTGTACAGTACAAAAACATTCATAGTCTTATTGCTATTTGAAAATCTAGCGTGTTGATGCTTATATACACTGTCCGTACCTGAAAACAAACAGAATAAATTGTTATTACTCACAATATTACACACTGAACTATATACGAGTAAAAATTGTTAATAGGGCATTGTAGACGGGGCCCTATACGGCCGATGTTACATCGAGGTTGCGGGGCAAGCGCTACTGGGTACCCTAATAAGGTGTAGCGCCGAGGCCGCGGTACTTAATTAGAGAAGCGGCGAGGGGAAGGGGTTTAGTCAGTAAGAGTCTGACTCTCTGACTTTCAGGAAGTCATTTCATGATTTTCGCCTCACAAAAAAAAGGTAGATGACAAATGAATTTCTTAACTCCGCCGTAACCACGTGGTCTTACTTTACACCGATATTTTAATTCAACATTAGTGCCAGTTATTTTTGAATTAAATTTTAAGTCGTTCGTGCCTTCATTTATGACCTACTCCGGTAAGTTTTTTTAAATATAATATTGAAATGTCTTTGGTCAGTAAGTGTCAGAGAATTAAGTATGGGAGAGCCATGCTTCGGCACGAATGGATCGGCTCGACCGGTGATACCACGGTCTCGCCGAAAACTGGTGTGAAACAACAACAGCGTTGTGTTTCGCCGTGTGAGGTTACCGGAAGCCCAATCCTTCCCCCTCCCCTAACCCTTCCCAATCCTTAAATATCCGAAAATCTTATCCCCAAAAGGCCGACAAGGCACTCGTAACTCTTGGTGTTGCGGTTGTCCGTGGGCGGCATTGATTGCTTACCACCAGCTAAACCGTCTACTCGTTTGACGACCAATTACATAAAAAAAGTCTGTCACTCCTTCTCGCCTCATCGTAGGCCATACAAAAGAGATCTGACGATTTTCTCACCTCAAAAAAAAAAACACTATTATTTGGACAAGCTACAATCAAGCTAATTAATACTTACAATTAATCCCTTCTCTTTTTCCCGTGTTGATCGTGTCGGTCGTGATGGTCGCGCTTGCGGCCCGATTTGTCGGCTCGCTTGGCTTCACTCAAGAACCGATCCAGACCGAACGGATCGAAGTCTGCGTCCGGCTGGTTACTGCGCTGTGGCTGTGGGTGGAGATAAACTGTTAGATCATTGCTAATAAAATGATAGTATGAAAAGTATTTATGCACTAGCGGCCCGCCCCCGCTTCGCCCGGGTCCAACTCTCGCTAAAAGGGTCACTTCCCAATTTTTCCCTCGGCATTTCTTAAATTTCTTTTGAAAAGAACATTCTTGTGACAATAATAAATACAACAAAAAAACATTTGGCAAAATTCCAGGCGTTCTGGAGTTATGCGCTTACCAACACATTTCGCGATTCATTTTTTATATATTAGATTAGTTGCTGTTGTAATATCCAATTTGCCCCACTCTTTCGTTTTCTCCAATGTTGTTGATGCGTTTACAAACATACAATTTCATATACACATAGCACCCAGGACCCAGAACAACAATTTGTGAATCACACAAAGAGTTGTTCCGTGAATCGAAACTACGACACGGTATGAGGCAGCACAGCCAACGCGCCAATCAATACGTTTCTCATATTATAACAACTATGCTTTTAAACCAAATCTAATCGCTACATAGGTGTATAAAACAAAGTCGCTTTTTCTGTCCCTATGTATGCTTAGATCTTTAGACCTATGCAACAGATTCTAATGCGGTTTCTTTGAATAGATAGTGTGATTGGAAAGGTTTACATGAGTTATAAAATTCATTAAATTGTGGAGGAATTTGCTATCAGCATTGCACCGGAGCAAAGCCGGGGTATTTATAATATAGATCGAAGAAAAGAACATTGATCAATTTTATTTGCAGTATTTACGGGGCTAAAAACATAACTTATAATGGTATTATTATTTGCTGGTTGCAACAGAAACTAGTTTAAATACATGAAAGGACAAATAGATTGCTATTAGTCTGACGTATGCTAGTCTGTCTGTACATTTCTCTATATAAACTATCACTATTATTCTTCAATATTGGTAATCTGAGACATATAGAAGAGCAATAAGTGCGTGAAAGCCGGCGTTCGCTTGGGGTTTGGTGAATTAAGTATTATCGCAATACTAACAGGTTCATCTCTACTGGAGGGGGCGTCCTTCTCGAACTGCACAGGTCCGGCTCTAGTGTTGCTACTACTCGTACCAGCAAACTCTTTGTCTGCCACGAATCTGAAATCAAAGTTAAATATTGTGACGGAAAAGTGGTTCAAACTCTTTGACATCATGACGTCAATGGATGGTTGTCAAACGTTGCCTAGAGATTGTAAATTTCGTCGTGAATTGTCAACACGAGTTGGTGTAATCGGTAAGGCGTGTGGATTACACCACAGAGACCCCGAGTTCGAGTCCCGCCGTAAACATGTAGTTTTTTAGTTGATAGAAGTTTTGTGGAACTTTCTGGAACTATTTGTGTGAAAGAAATAAAAAATTAAAGAGCGAGAAGGAGAATAAATAAAAATGAGTAACGAAATTATTGGAAGGTTCTGGAGTCATGACGATCAAAAAGAATAACGAAATTGAATGTTCCAGAACCTGAACCGGGGGTATATAAGCGGAACTGCGGCTCACCGCTGGCAAAGTCTAAAGCGATTCGGAAGAAAAGGAAGAAGTGAAAAAGAAGAAAAGTGAGTGAAATAGTGAAGTGCAGTGAAATAGTGAAGTGCAGTCAGTTAAGTGAAGTTAGCGTGAACGGCAAAGTTGTGTCAGTCGGCCGGACTCTGCTGGAGAGGAACGCCGATAACTTAACTCCGTGGACGCTGTAACTTAGTATTAGTGTTTCATTTCATCCAATCCCGTAACCCAAGCCCGCATAGTCAGGAACGTGACGTCAGGCACGTAACATTTGGTGTCAGAAGTGGGATTGGAGAAAAATGCCGCTAGTGCCGCAGGACGTAAGAGGAGTGAGTACCCGTGCTATGTCAGAAGCGCAGCGTGTGAGGGAAGAGGGTGCTGCAGCTCAGACCAGCGATGCAGAAGCCAAGCCTGTGCAGATGGATCTTCTGCTACAGCTGCGGCAAATGATGGCAGAACAGCTGCGTGAGCTGAAAGAAGATCAAGCGCGCCGCCAAGAAGAGCAAGCACGCTGTCAGGCAGAACAGCTGCGGGAGCTGAAAGAAGATCAAGCGCGCCGCCAAGAAGAGCAAGCGCGCCGCCAAGAAGAGCAAGCACGCTGTCAGTCAGAACAGCTGCGGGAGCTGAAAGAAGATCAAGCTCGTCGCCAAGAGGAGCAAGCGCGTCGCTTGGAGGACATGCATAAAGATTTCACGAAGGGACTGCAAAAGGCTGTCGAACGGGTACAAGAAGTGGAGGAAGGTTTAGGCAAGTTGGAACATCGCGTCATGGCGATAGAGGAGAGAGTGGAAGAAGAGATCTCCAAAATCAAGCAGGAAGTGACAAGCCCAAGCCCTTTGAAGAGCCGAAGCCGTCTTGCAGCCGTTTTTGACGCCCCAAATGCGGCCTCAAGCGCAACGAAAGGGCTGAAGATTCCCCATTACGACGGAACAACATCCTGGACCGCGTTCAAGCTACAGTTTGAGACACTTATGGAGGCTTATGGTTGGACTCAGAAGGAAGCACAGTCAGCCCTCACCCTGGCCCTCCGTGATCAAGCGCTCTCAGTGCTGGAAGCTATCGGCGCAAGTGGGGATCTCAGCTTTAGTACCCTCCTCGACGCACTTGAGGCACGTTTTGGAGACAGCCACCTCGAGCACGTGTACAGAGCGCAATTAAAAGAGCGTACTCAGCGTGCTAATGAGAGTCTACAGCAATGGTCCGTGGAAATCGAGAAACTTGTGCGTCGAGCTTTTCGGTCGACTCCATCAATGATTGAAGGCACGCTTCTCCAAGCATTCATTGACGGTGTTCGGGACCCCGAAGTACGAGCTGCTGTTCATCTGGGCCATCACAAGAACATGAAAGAAGCTCTGGCCCATGCATTGGAAGTGGAAGCCGTGCGTGGTAACTCCCGTACCTTACGTCTGCGGGAAATGACGACAACGGAGCAGGTACCTCCACGCCGTCGGAACTTCATGTGCTATGGATGCGGAGAGCGTGGGCACATGCGGAGCGACTGCCCGAAGAAGGTGAACCGCCAGGACGCGGCGGTCTCAACTTCTGACCAGCAGGGAAACTAAATCCAGCCAGGGCTGCGGGGTGGGCGCTGGCCGGTAGTGGAATAACCCCAACAATCTACATCAAGCAAACTAACGATGGAAATACTCTGGTGATAGACGGTCAAGTAAATGGGAAAAACAGTCAGCTAACATTAGATACTGGAGCTTCAAGGACGGTGATAAATGTTCGGCTGCTCGGGCAAAACATCAGGAAACACGTTAAACCAATTGTTGGCCTACGAATGAAATCAGCTACCGACCAGTGCATACCGATAAGTGGAAAACTGCATGTAACAATCAAAATTGGGGAACGTGTTTATCGACATGAGGTTATTGTGGCCAAAATTCTGGATGACTGCATCCTGGGACTTGACTTCCTGCAAGGGCACCAGTGTAACATCGACTTAAAATCTGGAGTATTACTATGTGGAACTGAGGAAATTCCGATGAAGGGTGGAACCCTAGGAAAAGTTTGCTGTTTAAGAAGAACTGTTCTTGCACCAAAATCACAGACTCTCGTACCAATCGCATTACCTAGGAGGAGGGAAGGAAGTTTACCTCGAAGGTGCGCTGTGATTGATAAATCGGAACACGTAAACTCATGGCTACCGGCAAGAACTGTCGTGGGGTCATCTGATGTCAACCGCAATCCGGTATTCAACTTCAGTGATTCAAAAATTACGATTGAAGAAGGAGAGCCTGTGGGCGTATTGGAAGAAGTGGCCTGGATAAGAAAATGCTCAGAGAATCTTGTGAAAAAGGACAGTACGGGAATAGACTTTGTAACGAAAATCTTAGACGAAAACAAATGTCTGACAAAAGTGGAGACTATGAAAGCTAGAAATTTACTTCTTCGATTCTCTGATGTGTTTTCAAGAAGCGATGGTGATATTGGCCGAACTGGTGTGGTGAAGCATAAAATAAACACAGGTGATACAATGCCAATTCGTCAAAGGCCCAGACGCATACCATTCGCTCGTGAGAAAGAGGTTGAACAAATGATTGACGATATGAGGAAAAATGACGTGATAGAGCCCTCTTCTAGCCCTTGGTGTTCACCTGTCGTGCTTGTCAAGAAGAAAGATGGTTCAACGAGGTTTTGCGTAGACTATCGACGATTGAATGATGTAACCAAGAAGGATAGCTACCCGTTACCAAGAATCGATGACACACTTGACACACTGAGTGGCATGAAATGGTTTTCAACGCTCGATCTGAAAAGCGGCTATTGGCAGGTGGATTTGGATCCCAAGGACAAGGAAAAGACCGCATTCTCAACTGGGAAGGGACTCTGGCAATTTAAGGTGATGCCATTTGGATTATGCAATGCACCGGCAACCTTTGAGCGTTTGATGGAACAGGTGCTGGCGGGTCTGCTGGGCGAAACCTGCCTAGTTTACCTCGATGACATCATCATTGTTGGACGGGATTTTGACGATCATCTAAGGAAATTGGAAAAGGTACTCGACAAGCTGCGTGGAGCAAATTTAAAGTTGAGTCCAAAGAAATGCTTTTTCTTCAAGCGCGAAGTGAATTATCTAGGACATGTTATTTCTGAGAGAGGAATTGAGACTGATCCAGCCAAGACTGTTGCTGTCAAGGAATGGCCAACACCTAAAGACAAAACGCAAGTTCGGGCATTTCTTGGATTGTGCTCGTATTATCGGCGGTTTGTGAAAGGATTCTCGGACATTGCCAAGCCATTGCATCGATTGACAGAGGAGAAACGTGCCTTTGTTTGGGACGAGGATTGTGAGCAAGCCTTTCGAGAACTAAAAGAACGGCTTTGTAACACACCAATTCTCGGATATCCCAGTGCGAAAGGAATATTCGTAGTTGATACGGATGCCAGCAATATTGGAATAGGAGGTGTTCTTTCACAACGCGATGGTGAGCAGGAGAAGGTTATTGCTTACTTCAGCAAGTCACTATCCAAGCCAGAGAGGAATTATTGCGTGACCAGGAGGGAATTGCTGGCTGTAGTCAAAACCCTGCACCATTTCAAGAAGTATTTACTGGGACGGAAATTTTTGATCAGAACTGATCACGCTGCTTTGAAATGGCTGCTTCAGTTTAAGGATCCCGAAGGCCAAGTAGCCAGATGGCTGGAACAACTTCAGGAATTTGACTTTGAAATCGAACATCGCGGCGGAAGAATTCATGGCAACGCAGATGCATTATCGAGACGCCCATGCGTGGAAGATTGCAAACATTGTGCTAAGAAGGAAACTGCTTTTCTTAAGGTGATAAGGACTGATACTGTTGACGAGGCATGGGGAAATGATGCGATGAAATTAGAACAGGAAAGAGATGCAGATATTAAACCAATACTGGAGTGGCTACGAAGTGGTAACAAGCCAAGTTGGAGTGACGTCGCCCAATATAGCGCGGTAACGAAAGGTTTATGGGCACAGTGGAAAAGCCTTACGCTGCATAACGGACTTCTGTGCAGGAAATGGGAATCAACAAACGGCAAGGACGAGCATTTGCAATTGGTGGTGCCTCGTTCAAAAATAAGGGATGTATTAAAAGCGTTCCATGATGGATCTTCTGGAGGACATTTGGGAATTAGGAGGACTTTGGTGAAGATCAAGGAGAGGTTTTATTGGTTGCATTGCAAATATGACGTCGAAGATTGGTGCCGGAAATGCACTAGTTGTGCAGCTGTCAAGGGTCCACAAACAAGGAGCAGGGGGGCGATGAAAATCTACAATGTTGGTATGCCTTGGGAGAGAATAGCCTTAGACATCGCTGGACCATTTCCAATCACTGATTCGGGCAATCGCTACGTTTTAGTGGTTATGGATTATTTTACAAAATGGCCGGAGGTTTTTGCCATACCGAATCAAGAGGCAGTAACTGTAGCGACGAAGTTGGTAAACGAAGTATTCACCCGATTTGGAGTACCCTTGGAGATGCACAGTGATCAAGGACGGAACTTTGAATCCCAAGTTTTTCAGGAAACTTGTAAACTTTTGGGAATCCATAAGACTCGAACGACCCCTTATCATCCACAGTCAGATGGAATGGTCGAACGCTTCAACCAAACATTGGAGCGACACTTAGCAAAGGTGGTTGACAGCCATCAGAGAGATTGGGACACTTACATACCTCTCTTCTTGCTTGCCTATCGGACTGCTGTACATGAAAGTACCGCAAAGACGCCTGCATTTGCAAATTTTGGAAGGGAATTGAGATTACCGGCAGATCTTGTATCGGGCTGTCCACCTGGTGACTCTCGCACCGAGTTTAGCGATTACATAAGCGAGTTAAGGGCAAAAATGTTGGACATTTATGAGCAGATCAGGGAGGCCGGTTTTCAAGCTAGTGATCGCGCAAAGACGCGCTATGATCGACGAGCCAATTCTGTTGGGTTTGAAGAGGGGTCATTGGTCTGGCTTCATAATCCAGTCAGAAGGAAGGGAAAATCTCCGAAGCTGCAACCGAGTTGGGAAGGTCCTTATGAGATAGTCACGAAGATCAATGACATTACTTACAGAATTCGGAAGACTTCAAGGAGCCCTTTGAAAGTTGTCCATATAGACAGGTTGGCGAGGTATTACGGCAGCAACGATGCTCGGGACGAGCGAATCTAAGAGGGGGGCAGTGTGACGGAAAAGTGGTTCAAACTCTTTGACATCATGACGTCAATGGATGGTTGTCAAACGTTGCCTAGAGATTGTAAATTTCGTCGTGAATTGTCAACACGAGTTGGTGTAATCGGTAAGGCGTGTGGATTACACCACAGAGACCCCGAGTTCGAGTCCCGCCGTAAACATGTAGTTTTTTAGTTGATAGAAGTTTTGTGGAACTTTCTGGAACTATTTGTGTGAAAGAAATAAAAAATTAAAGAGCGAGAAGGAGAATAAATAAAAATGAGTAACGAAATTATTGGAAGGTTCTGGAGTCATGACGATCAAAAAGAATAACGAAATTGAATGTTCCAGAACCTGAACCGGGGGTATATAAGCGGAACTGCGGCTCACCGCTGGCAGTTGAGTTCTAAGTCTAAAGCGATTCGGAAGAAAAGGAAGAAGTGAAAAAGAAGAAAAGTGAGTGAAATAGTGAAGTGCAGTGAAATAGTGAAGTGCAGTCAGTTAAGTGAAGTTAGCGTGAACGGCAAAGTTGTGTCAGTCGGCCGGACTCTGCTGGAGAGGAACGCCGATAACTTAACTCCGTGGACGCTGTAACTTAAGCGCAATAGAAAGTCTGAAAACCGGTATTAGTGTTTCATTTCATCCAATCCCGTAACCCAAGCCCGCATAGTCAGGAACGTGACGTCAGGCACGTAACAATATTATATTATACTAGCTGACCCGGCAAATAGCTTTACTAGAGGACAGACGGACAGACTGACACGCATAAATTTAATCCTATTGAAACATATTTAACTGTACACTGAGCGAGTTCACAAGGACCACTTACTGTGTAGTATATAAGGAAATATAGTTTGTAATTTAAAGTTAAATAAGCTAATAAGTTACTATGTCGAATTAGGTTAAGTTACCTGTGATGGCAAAGTAATATGTAGAAATAAATAAATATTTTCTTTTTATTTATCGTTCAAAAGTGCACACTGTGGTCTAATTTAAGTAAATGATGTTTGACTTTGAGTTTGACTTTTGGCAAACGTTTCGAGGGTGAAAATTGAGGATTGTATTTATTTTTGTATGTTGTATCATAAAAGAATAGAAAATTAAAAAAGAAATCTAAAAAAATAAATAAACTGTTTTGAGGTGGACTACCCCTAACATTTAGGGTATGATGAAAATAGATGTTGGCCGATTCTCATAGATACCGGATAAGCACAACAATTTCATCCAAATCGGTCAAGCCGTTTCGGAGGAGTATGGCAACGAAAACTGTGACACGACAATTTTAAATATTAGATTTAAGCATATGAATTGAGAAACTATTATCTTATTAAGTGGAATACGTATTTTTGTATAGTAACCATCGTGCAACATACAAAATGTATTTAAAATATCTACTCATTCTTTTGAATTAACTAATTGCGAATTAACTGTCCGACGTCGGCGCAAAGCACACGAATTAGAGTCCCGTTCTGGCTTGAAACTGTTAGAGCTTTTCTCAGTAAATTTTTCATACTAGGACTTTCTCCTGCGTCGTGGATGCGTTTACAAACATACAATTTCACATACACATGACACTGAGATCCGGAACAACAATTTGTGGATCACACAAAGAGTTGTTCCGTGCGAAAGAGGAATCGAAACCGCGACACATTGCACGGCAGCTAGTTGCCCAACCACCGCACCAAAGGTGCAGGTGTCCATGGGCGGTGCTGATTGCTTACCATCAGGTAATCTAAAAAATAAGATTTTTGAGATGGACTATACGTCGCTAAGCAGAGCTCTTTAAAAATTTAAGTTTTAGGCTGGCAACGGACATTTAATATTGTGATTCAGTAAACAAACCTGCGTGTATTAACAATAGCATCAATGTCTCCTCCGTAGTTATCTTTGTCAGCGTTCCTAGAGGGCCTGTAGATGTGGGCGCCGACGTTATCCTGGTTGCGCCACGGTTTGTCGTAAACATTGTATGCTTCATCGTCACCGTAACCTGAATAAATAATAGTAATTTAGTCTAGATGACAATAAAAAATAAAAAGTGTATTTACAATTATTGTTTAGAGCAAAAGCAATCGGGAAATGTTAGTTTCACTTCATAATGTATTTAAATATTTTTTATTGCAGTTTAAAGTTTTTTTATCTGCTTTTGAGCACTACGAAAAGTCTCCGCCATGATAATGACGTCATTACGGTAGTAAATAAAAATGTCAGCTGTCAAAATAATATGTATTACGACTTACTCACGTAATGACGTCATAACCGAAAAACAATCATGGCTTCCGCTGCGTGTAGCGTTTGGCGAAATACGCGAGAAATTTAAAATGATGAAGATAAAATAATTACTTCATATTCATACTTAACATGAGAAAAACAATATTTTTAATATTTTTGAGGTATATTAGAACAAAAGAATTTCTCAAAGATACATTACAAAAAATGCATGTTATGAAAACATTATATGTATTTCTGTTCCTGTACTTTTTGTACGGTTTAGGAGGCAAACAAGGAGACAGGTTACCTGACAGTAAATGGTCAGCTCTCCTCACACTTATATTTTTTTTATAAATTATCAATATCAAGGCCTTTCTCCTACCCTCTACTTTTGTTGTATTGTATTATCATTCTTAATCATCGATCACTAATAAAGAACTAGATACACAATCCCATACAAAAGTTCGCTTCAAAACTGTCGTCAACTGTATTTAGGTACTTATACTTGAAATAAACATGCATTAATGTAAATTAAACCTTAAATGCAACTCATAGAGTTGTTTTCACAAAGTGATATACAAAATCTAAACATTTTTTGCATAAATCATAAGAAATTGAACCATATTCGCATGTTTTTAAGTCGAATTTACAATGTGTCAAAAATGAGCAATAAAATTCGGATCACCGCTAGGACAAAGAATGATTGGAGTCGAAATGTCTCGTAATAAATATATTTCTTTTAATTTTTTTTTGATAATTTATAAAAATAAATACGAAAATTAAAACGCATTACTTATAGTATTCTTTTCTATAGGTTTGTTCATTTATTTACCAATGAAACTAATGCATATAGTTATAATTTTTTTATATTTATTTTCGTCCTCCTTAATCCTTCCTAAATTTGGAATATTTTTCAAAGTATATATGTATACTTTGAAAAATATTCCAAATTCGAAGTCAAATAAAAAAGATGTAAAATAATAAAAAGAATATATATCTAAAGTACCTAAGTACTGAAAATGTTGGCGTTATTGTTGTCAATTTTTCATATCGCACGGGATTTTGATGAAAGCTAAAAAAAAAATGTCTTTACTGCAGTTAAAATTAAATCCATTATATCTGCCTATTCCATATTTTAATAAACACAGTAAAGAAGTATAATATCAAATAAAAACTATTTTTAATAAAAATAAAACAATAAATAAAATTAGAAACAATAGCGTCTCCGCTAAACGGAACAGAATCAAACCACGTAAACCGAACAACTTAAGTGGTCATGCTAGAGAATGATTTTACGTTTAGTTTAAGTGTCTTTATAAACTGTGTGCATTTATAACCTCAGTTTTTGAATACGATTTCATTTGGAAAAAGTTTTAAAGTTGATTTCTTAATAAAATATCAATATTTAAAATATAATGATGACAATTATATAATGATAATATTATTACTTAACGAAAATATGAAATTCCATCCTTTTTGCGTCTTAGATGTGTGTTTTTGCAGTTTTTAAAACGAGCACTGAGGCGTGTTTACCGTCGGAGCATTCGAGTGGTACTAAACTAAAACTACACCGCGATGTTGAATTTGGTGGACTCTCAGTTAGGACATTTTTTTGTCACTGATTGTGTATCTAGTTCTTTATTAGTGATCGATGTTCTTAATGTATTTTTATTTTTACCTTTATTTTTATTATTGTTCGTTTTGTGTCTTTTATGCGTCCCAGACGCGAATAAATACTTTTTGTTTGTTTGTTTGTTTGTTATACAACTGGTAGAAGCTCTATACTAAGAAACAAATAATATATAAAATAACTCACCACTGTCCATTCCTTTGCTATTATTGAACAATCTCTGGTCGAACATAGCCTCGCCGCCCTGGTTCGACTTCGCGGGCAGACCGAGAGCGATCTGTTCGGAAATATCACGTTCCCTGTCCTTCACTAGTTTCGATCTGGAAATGGAAAATAGGTGGTAAAAATTAATTTGGTTAAAATAAAAATAAAGGCTACTGTTGATTTCATAATTAAAATCTACATAATTGGGTAGTTTCCTAGGTCAAAAATAAATTAATTCGACGTTTCAATACAATAAAATATTGAAAAACAACTATACTTTTATTCATCGATCGATCGGTTTAAGTTTTTTAAGAAATAAGTAAGCTATTTGACGCTGAATATCGTCATAATTTGGAGTTACACACAAATTTTGTAAAGGAGCATTGTTTTTGACATTTCGATATTGAAGTATTGAATTGGACCAGTTGGAAATTACCGTATTTCAGAAGAGTATCAAGTTATTATTATTATTTATTTATTTATATTTTTATCACATTAGTAAGTAAATTTTAAGCTAAGCTTCAAAAAACCATTGTAATGGTTTGACTGTGGAGTAAATGAACATGAACCAATCTGTTTTGATCTCTATACCTCTTATCGGGTGCTGCCCTGGCTAGATTCCTGTCCCTCTGCCTCTCCTTGTGTCTGTCAGCCCTCAGCTTGTCTCTCTCGGCAGCCGTCAGCCCGCTCTCATCCACCTCATTACTCTCCGGGTCCTCATCAGGAGCTCGGATACCTGGAATGACAGTTCTGATTGAGACGTTGAAGTGATGTGTTTGGTATTTATGTGATAGGTCGCCAAACGGGCTGTCAGTTCATCTGATGGTAAGCACTCAGCGCCGCCCATGGACACCCGCAAGAACAGAAGAGTTACGAGTGCGTTACCGACCTTTTGTGGATTAGGGAATTGGAGATTTAGGGATTGGGGGAGGGTAAGGATAGGGCTCCGGTAACCTTTTCTGTGAAGTGATGATTTGATGAGTTTGGTGTTTGGTGCACTTTGGATATATTGATGGTGTATAAGGGGTTTTATTCGCTGGAACGGGTTGCTGAAAATATCTTTGAGGCACTATTACTTATCATAATGGTCAAAATTGTATGTGTTTTACTCTAATATCACTATAAGAGTCAACTTATGAGAGAATATTCAACCTATGAATAGATGATAAAAATACAAGTTGTAATTCGTGAAAGTATAACAAATACACATTACACCGCATGTCCAGCATCCATAGAATGCCTATTATTTCTATTTCTACCTCTGAGATAGTTTTACCTATCATTAAAATTATGTCATCATCATCAGCCTGATTTCATCCATAGCTATACAGACATAGACCTTACCAATAGCACGCCACTGAGCTCAATGTTTAGCTCTTCTCATCCAACCACTGCCAGCTACCCTGCTGATATGGTCAGTCCACCTAACAGGAGAGCGTCCTACACTACATTTGCCTAGATGTGGTCTTTACTCTAAAACACGTCTACCCCAACGGTCATCGGTTCTTCGACAAATGTGACCTGCCCAGTGTCACTTCAGTTTGCTAATCCTTTGGATATGTCGATAACAAAAAAAAATCAATTTATAAAACAACAACTAACCAGCTCTATGATCCCTGGCCCTTTGAGCCAACATTCTGAGATGTTCTTCTTTCTTCTCCTTCTCTCTCTGTGCTAATCTCCTTTCGAGCTGCGCACGCGCTTCAACAGCCTCTCGCGCCTTCCTGTCAGCGATGTAAAGCGCCTCGGCTAATTTTGAGAAGTTTTCATTGATGTGTACTTGTTGTAACCCTCTGCCGTCCGCTGCTAAACGCTTATCCAGTGGTATTGTGTATCCTGAAAAAGTTGATCATTCATATTAATTAAAGGAAGAAAGTACTGCGTTTATTCGGCCTAAGACATGAACGCCAGAACAAAAACAGAGAGAAAAATAATTAAATAAGAATAGTAAAATATAATACGCGTGGTTGGCAGACATGCCCAAGCCGAATGGTTGCCAACTCAGCAAAAACTGACCTGGCGAATTCCATAGAAATTATCTAACATGTCAAAGTTTAATAATGACTGTATGAAAAATTTTTGTTATCATTGGGTTGTGTAGTGTTACATATTCATTTTCATGGTTTCGCATATAAATTATACTTGCGTTACGCTTCGCCGCGTTATGGAGAATACCGGAGTCCCTATGCCGAAAACCTACACAAATCCTGATCCGGATTTATTATGAACTAGCTTCTTCCAACGGCGTCGCCAGCGTGATATGTTTAAAAATAGCGGTCTATGTAATATGTAAATCTTGGGTATTAAATTTTTTATGTAGATAGTACATAAAAATTTTCGAGCAAATCGATTCGGCTGTTTTGCCTGAAAGATTTTTTTTTATGTAAAATAGGTCGGCAAACGAGCAGACGGATTACCTGATGGTAAGCAATCAGCGCCGCCCATGGTTACCCGCAACGGAGGAGTTACGAGTTAGATTTCCCCTCCTCTGGATTTGGAGATTTAGGGATTGGGTGAGGGGAAGGATTGGGCTTCCGGTACTCACACGGCGAAACACAACGGTGTGGTTGTCTCACGCCGGTTTTCTGTGAGGCCGTGGTATCACTCCGGTCGAGCCGAGCCATTCGTGCTTAAGCATATGGCTCTCCCACACTTAAATACTATATAAAACTTTCACATTTATAATATAAGTAGGATAGTAGGCTGATATTCCGTTTCTCAACCCATAAATAGGATTAAAAAGATGACTGCCATTATTTACCTTTAGCGTTCTTCCAGTGGGAGACACAAGGCGGTACCTTCCAATCCCTCTGTTGTTTGACAGACACACGTCGCGGAGGCGAGTGTAATACAGGGGCTGGGGGCGAAGGCGCCGCGCGAGGTATCTTCTTGTTTATCTGGAAGCGAGGCGGCTCCATCGGGTCCGATTGGGCTTCTACCATTCTGGAAAGATGGAATAAATGAATTATTTATTACCTTAGGAATTATTTATTACCTTAGGTATTACCTTAGGTAATAAATAATATAAATGTAATATTGTGACACTGTCCCTGTCTCAAATCCAAATTGACCTGATGGTTAGCAATACACTGGAGCGCGTTGGTCTTTTGGAGGTTAGTTTTGGGGAATCTCTAAATTGGGATGAGAGGTAGGGAAGGATTGACGGACTTACGCCACATACTAATAGTTATTTATCACCAAATATGTACGAAGTAAGTAAGCAACATTAATCTCTTTACTCAACTATTTTCCAAGTAAAGCCCGGTTTCCCATAGAAAGTTTAACATTCTCAGTAGATATTATAGATTCTATTATTTAAATCTCTAATTATATTCTGTACCAAATATATTCTTTCCAATTAGGGTGTGGAAATCTAAAACCACCCCAAACTTTTAATGACATAAATAAATAAATATTAATACAAACCTGATAACTCTCTGCTTAGCGCCGGAGTTGAACTGTCCCCCTTGCTGTGCCGGTGTGTATCTGATGTATTGTGCCGGAGCCTGTTGGTGTAAGGTACTATCAGCGCGATTGATAATCATATGTTCTTCTCATAGAGAAGAATGCGTACAACCTATATTACATATTTTTTTTAACTCTGAGCTGCACTAGTATTTTCTCATGTGTAAGCACCATACATAAGCAACTCAGACCCAAAACAACAATTTATTGATCGCATAGTGTTTTTCCGTGCCGGAATCGAACCCGTGACACGTTGCTCAGCCACTGCGCCAGCTGTGTAGTCGGCTAACATTTATATAAGATAACTTTAAGAAAACGCCTCCAGATAGAACGACACGATCATAAGATCAAGTGCAGGACCTGCATTTTCTTACTACGGTTTTTCAATGGTTTCGTAAGAAAAAGCCATAAGCAATTTTAGGTAGTCACAGGAATCGAACCTGCGGCATGTTGCACAGGAGCCGGTCATCTGGACACTGCGCCTAACGTCAGTCAGCTAATAACACACAGCTAGTGACTTCTTTATTCGTAATTATTTGGTAAAATCAAAGAATTATTTTTACATAGTTAAAACCAAGGGTATGGGTACTCTCCTGTGTCGTGGGCGCATTTACAAACATAAAATTTCACATACACCGCAATCTTCAATCCTCAATCCCTAAATCTTCGATGCCATAATGCCTTCATCACTCCTCTGGTGTTGCTGGTGTCAATAGGGGGCGCCGATTGCTTACCATCAGGTTATCTAGTTAGTTGCTAGTTTGCCTTCATGTCACATAAAAGCAAACAATCACATAAACAGTTGTTCTGTGCGGGAATAAAAAACCGCGACACATTGTACAGTAGCCTGTTGCGCCACCATGTCTTCAAGTTGTCCAAGTCACTCAAGTTATGTGCACTCTATTCTAAAAATCTAAACCCTTTCAGATTTATTGAATTTTGATCATACTAAAATCTTTTATTTATGGGTGCGTTGTTCATCAATACAAGTTTAACATTTAGCAAAGAAATTCAACTCACAGCTTTAGGAGCAGCTTTAACAGGCATAGCGGCAGATATTTTAGCATTGGTCAATTTTTCTAAAGCTAGCTTTGTCTTCTCTGTGATATCCTGTATGTCTTCATCATCTGGTTTCTGTAGTGTTGGGTCATCTTCAGCCAGTACTTCCGAAGGCAACAAGTCTGTTAATTTGGAGTATATTATCTGAAAAAAACAAAATAATGATTACTGAATAAAAGTTCAGAAGTTATATTCAATTTTGGAGATGAACATCAATACTGATATAGTCCATACACAAAAAAGTTAAGCATTACTTTAATTTTAGTAGTTAATTCACCACCAAGAAACCAAAATTTGTGATATGTGGCATGTCGAAAATATCACATCATTAAGCATTTTTGATTTCTAAACTATAGTTGTTAGATGGAGTCAAAACTGAATGAATATTGATTGAGTAGAATACAGAGAATATAAAACACAATAGAAAACACATTGTGACTTGCTTGGATCCAAAACTATAAAACACAAAAGGTTGAAGCATAATATAGGATAACACACAATTTTATTAATCTAACCTTATCAGCACTGTGGCCTTGTCTAGCAATGGCGGAGTATTTAACTCGTCCAGATTCATCTAATTGCACCGCTAATGCATTGGATGTGCTCTCCTTGCCCCGGGCACCCATGCCCAGGGGGTATTGAGCCACATGAATCTCTGGGAAGGCTCCTCCATCTGCAATATGGGATTGTGGTTTAATGATAATTAAAATGCCATTCATTTACTGCTAAACAGGGCTCAGATGTTGTATGGCTTATATGATCAGCATTTTTAGTAATGTTTTGATTTACAAGTATAGTAAGGCAAAACTTTTTTTAGGATATTGAAAGTTCTTTGGAATAAATGCATAATTTGGAATAAGGCGCACAGTATGTACACCAATGGTGATCACATGAGTATTAATTAAGATGTATAATAATATAGATAACACATAGACTGAATAGGAAAAATAATATTATGAAACAATTTTCAAGACAGACAGTCCAGTTGCTAATAGTTTGACAATAACACGACATATAATGACAAAAATGTAATAAGATAATAACTGACCTCCAAAGTCCTCCTCTGCTCTGGGTACCCATCCTTTTCTCTGTCCATATGGAGGAACACTAGTTTGTGATACTACTAAGGCACTGCCAACACGCTTTGCTTTCCTCTCATCATCACGATCCCATACCTGCTGCGTGGGCGCAGGCAAAAGACTGAAAAAGACAATGAGAAGTTGATATTTTGATAAGGTTATCTTGCATATGTTTACGTTTTTAAGAAAAGTATACTGCATTAAAATGCACAGCAACTGAAGTTGTTAAGTTCGTTATCATTACGAAATTCACGATTTCTTGTATCGTATTTATTTGAAACGCGAATTAAAAGTACTTTGTTTTGCTATCACGTTTAAGCGAGTATGAGTTCGGTATAACTGTTACACTTATTTTCTTACGTTTATATAATGCACAAAATATCGAATTACACGCTTATTTCAAACTTAAATTAAAGCAAAATTTTTATATTTAAAAATAAATAAAAACTGGTACAACTCACCTCGACAACGACGCCATTTTGTTTGAAAATGACTTTTGAAAGATTTCGTTTAGGAATCATAATGAAGGAGCAGGTAAACATTATAAAAACAATATGCTGTGAAAATGTTTAATCCGTTTATATTGCATTAATATTTTATCGAGTTAAAAATAAAAATATAGTTTTAAAAATACTAAAATGTTTCATATTTTTTGTTTCAAAACGATATCTACTTTGTTTTAAAAATTAAACTTTCTGACAAAGTCTTCAGTCATTCAGCCAAATTAATTACATTTTGATTATTTAACTGAAAACAAAGCAAGTATATTAAAATTAAACTTAATAACTGGCATAATTTGTGTATGCAGGTATTTTTTCAGTTATTATTATAATGGGTTACGTGGTTAATCATAAATTGACCATAAAAAATGGTGGAGAAACTGTCAAATTCGTATATAAATGAAGTGGGCTGCGAACGTCCCCCTTTTATAACCTCAAAAATGCGCGAGAAGTGTTAACATTTTGATGGTGAAGTGAGCTAATTTTATCATTTAATTGGTGTTAAAGTGAACGGATTATCAAAATGCCTTCCAAGAAGAGAAAATACAATGCAAGGTTTCCAGCTGTAAGTTGAAAATCGCTTATATCTGATCATAACAAAGAGAAATTTAGTTTTGTTTTCGTCAATAATTTTGAGAGATTGGTGATATCATGACATTGTTTGTTTGTAGGGGCGAATCAAGAAGATTATGCAGACTGATGAGGAAGTGGGGAAAGTGGCCCAAGCTGTACCAATCATAATCTATATCCTTTTTAAATAGCCCCATTTTACCATTGTATTGGGTTGTTATAAAACACGTATATATTTACATTGTTGAAACAATCATTTTATTAATTTAAGCTTTCAATTGATCCATACGCTACGATATTAATTAAATACGTAATAGTTAAGAGCCCTCTGAAGCATATAAAAATATATGCAACCTTTTTGATGGTTTATATAATCACAAACTTGTTTCAGTTTAGATTTGTTTGTTTTATCTTGGCTGTATGGTATAGTGATTGAGTCAGAAAGAAGTATATTATTGAATCTATGAATTATTTAGGAATTACCAAGAATAAAATTAAAATTTGAATTATCTTTTTGAACTCTTAAAAGTAAGTGAAACAACAAAAACAAACAACTTTGTGTGAATCCTAATATAGAACAATAAGAATCCAATTAGATTTTGGTCCTTGCATTGCATTATTCCTGTTTTGCTAAATAAGATTAAGACTACCTTAATTAACACTAAATTAAATCAGAAAAATGTTATTGACCATAAATAATTTATATGTGTAAACAAATATTATAATGTAGGGTATTTCTTTGGTAGTTAAGTAACATTGATGTCATTTTCTGTCTCAAATTAATCAATGGGTAAAAATGATGAATGAATGATTTTCTACTGCCAAAATATGCATAAAATTCTGTGGTTGTTGGTTTCCCGCTGTTTAGGATTCATAATATAACTTAAAAAGTTGTTCTTACAATGCCGTCTATACCTTTGGGCTTTAAAAGATGGGATGGTATTGATATAAATAAGGTTATTCTTGGCCATACAAATTTATTTCTTTATTAATATGATCAACAGTCTATAAGTGCCTACTGCTGAACAAAAGCCGCTGCTCAAGTGGTGAGCTTTACCCTCTTGATAACTGGTGCATGATACACAACAAAAAGTGCACTGTGTTTCACTTTGATCTACGTTTTGTCATACCAAGGGTAAAATAACCATAACTGCTCAAAGCAGGTTGGGGATTTCAAACTGAGTCCAGAGTCTCCTCAATATTTCTTCATGAAATGTCATGTGGTATTTCAATAATCTTGAAAATATCACGCAGAAAGGTTACTATGGTACCTGCTAGGTTTCAAGCCCATACTTGCTTGCATTATGAGTAGTAGGGCCCTAAAATCCAGGCTAGTGAAAGACAGATTATAGACCATATTAAATAAAATATATTAATTAAGTTAAACATAACTTCAACATATTTGAAACTAGTTTCCGCACGCGTTTTCGGATGCATATAAAAGAAATGTTTCCCGGGATTATAAATACAACCGCGTTTAAAGCGATAGATCTACTAAAATACGCAAATCAAGTATAATTTATAGCCTAGCACTCAGGAACATTGTAGTATCAAATTTTCGAAATCCTTCAGCAGTTCCAAATATTTCCTCCTACATACAAACTAACTTTTACCTCTTTATAATATTAGTATTGGCAGTTTAATTAAACGTAACTTCATCATAATACATAATGCGCGCGCCTCAAAGAGCCAATAGACCACCACAGTCGGCGCCCTTTTTTTTTTTTTTTTGTTAGTGGAAAATTATCCAATGACTTCTCCCGCCCAGGGTAAGGCGAGAGAGTGTCAGACTCTTACTGACTAAAAACCCCCCTAAATTATATTTCAGCCCTTTAGGGCCCCGACTGTGGTGGTCCATTGGCTCTTTGAGGCGCGCGCGGAACGCTACGCGCCGTACGCTCGGGTCCGGTTCTGGTCGAGCGGCGAGCTACCCTTACTCGCCGTCCGCAGAGCCGCGCTTACGGTGGCCGGAGATCATATCTCGATCCCCGACGTCCGGAATGTCGCCTTCTGCGGCGGCTGGGGCGCGAGGAGGATAGTTCCCTCACGCGCTCCGCCTCCTCCTTTGCGAGCATAACTGCTTCGCAGAAGGAGGAGATAGCTTCCCAGTTCCTCTCACGCTGCACCATGGCCTCGATAAAGGCCGGGCGCGAGAGGTCGCCGCCGCCGATCACTTCCGAACACGGCAGTGCTCAGCCCAAGCAGGGCACTCCGCCACCGTATGCTCCACCGTGTCCTCCAGGTGATCCTCACAATGACGACACTCGAGCGTTTCTTCCCGCTGGATCCGAAACAGGAACCTACCAAAGCTGCCGTGCCCGGTAAGCACCTGCGTCAGGCGGAAGGTGAGGACGCCGTGGCGTCTCTCAAGCCACTCCTCAAAGAGGGGTCTTACCGCTGCTATAGTAGCGTGCCCGGCCCTCGGTTGCGACAGTCGCTGCTTCCACTCAGCCATGAGATCTCGCCGGAGCTCATTCCGCCACGCACTAATTTGGCGCGGCAGAGGATCCTCGCCCCGGCGACGCGCGTCTGCGCGCAAACTGTAGACGCGCGCGAGCGCCTTCGCTTCCAGATCCCATGGCGGTACAGTCGGGGCCCTAAAGGGCTGATGTTTAGCCGGGGCTGCGGAGTAAGCGCAATGAGGCACCGCGACCTCGGCCCAGAGCAGGAGAAGGAATGGGGGGGTTTTTAGTCAGTAAGAGTCTGACACTCTCTCTCGCCTTACCCTGGGCGGGAGAAGTCATTGGATGATTTTCCCCTGACAAAAAAAAATCATAATACATAATAATATATGAAACAAGAATAGACGAGTATGCAAAGTTCACGGTAAATAAAAAGTGTTTTGGACTTTGATTGAAACATGAATCTTTGAATTTGGCCCGGTGTACTTTGTTAATAACGATTAAAAAAAAATATTGCCACATCATTATGGGTATCCCACCCACACGGTCGAAGCGATTCGGTTTCAGTTTTGTCATGTGAATCGCTAGCGAGTGGATATCTGCAGGAGTCTGTATTCCCCGAAGGGATACTGATACCTGGATAGTTTTGTTATAAAAGAGACTGACCTCTGAGTTTGTTTCGGTATTTATTCAGAGTAGTCAGGTAGGAAATGCCGGCTTCATCTAGTTTTTCACATATAAATTGACGTGTAAAAGTGCCGTTTTATGGCCTATTTGCAAGCCGGGGTTGCGGGGTAAGCGCAATGAGGCACCGCGACCTCGGCCCATAGCAGGAGAAGGAACAGGGGGGTATTTAGTCAGTGAGAGTCTGACACTCCCTCCCGCCCGGCCCTGGGCGGGAGAAGTCATTTGATGATTTTCCCCTCACAAAAAAATGGCCTAGGTATTTAAAATTAAATTGATTGTTTCATACCCATAATTTATTCACTCGGCATTCTCCATTGCCTCCATTGGCCTATGTTCAGCAGTGGACGTCCTGTGGCTGATATGATGATGATTCTCCATTGCAGGTCGCATCAGCGCTTACCATCAGGCGAGATAGTAGCCAATCACAAACGCCAGTCTATTTCAAATAAAAAAGCCTTTAATCCATTTTGCCGCATCTATTTTCTTATGGGATGAGGTACGGGATTTTTTATTAAAGAATTTTTAGATCAAGACATAGCGTATAGCGCTCCGGTTTCTATGCTAACATACTTTAATCATTTACATAATAGTGTAATGAGTGGGTAATCTGGTAAGACAAGGTACATGATTCGGTTTATAATAAACTAGAGACCCGAGAAATATCTCGTTGTCCGTCATATAAAAATGTTTTGGTAGCAAACCGCAACGGCATTAAAGATGTTGATATATATGTAAATTTAATTTTAATTATTTATTTCCTCCTTTTTTTTGGCCTCCTAAAGGTCCAAAAAATCTCATCATTCCTCTTGCAGTTTTGGCGTCCGACATATGCCTATTACATAAATCTCCCCTCTGCGCTATTTCCACGAATTACTCTTAAGAGATAGAAATCTGTTTAGCTTAAAGTGTTCAATGAAACATTGAATTTGTTATGGTAAATAGGCCATAAAACAGCACAATTGAGATGGAACCGGCATTTCCTATCTGACTACCTACTCTGAGGAAAATCCCCAAAACAAACTCAGAGATCTCTTTTAAACTTCGAGTCGAGTATTATTAACGAGTTTTATTGTTTTGATAAAACAGTAAATAATATGGTTTTCGATTCTAAGACCGGAAGCAAATCAGATAAGTACGTTACGTTGTTTCATTGATAAAGTATGAATGAACTTATTGTTAAGAACACATCGATACTTTCGATTAAGTATTTTATTGAATAATCATCGCCAACTTAAAATGGGAGGAGCACTTTTCAATATCGTAAAGAACCTGGAGTGTATTCACTTTTTTTGTCAGGGAAAAATCATCAAATCACCTCTCCCGCCAAGAGTGAAGCAGTGAGTGTCAGTCTCTTACTGGCTTAAACCCCTCGGGTCTTTTCCCTGCCTTAGGCCGAAACCGCGGTGCCTCATTGCGCTTACACCTGCAACTCCTAAGGTATATTATGGTCAGAAACGAACACGTGGGCGAAACCTCTAGCAGAAAGCCTAGAGCGAGTTTAATTCCCTGATTTATCGCGTTGAGCATTTTGATTGGTTGTTTACCTTGGAGCAGGCCAATCAAAGCGCCGAACGTCATGAACGTGTCGATCGCTTTAACTTAAAGCACAGTCGCAATAGGCACGCACGAACGTGGTAACAAAAAAAAAAACAAAAAATTAATTGATTGGTAAAATATCCATATTACATCCCCATGATTTGATAGCAAGTAATGATATAAATCAATTGGATCTGCGCCTGACCTCTCTCCAGTTAAATTAACATCGGGTCACGAGAGGAGCAAAAATAAATTCATTGTTTCATACAATGAAACAATGAATTTATTTTTGCAAATAGGCCATAAAACGGCACTTTTACACGTCAAATTATATGTGAAAAACTAGATGGAGCCGGCATTTCCTATCTGACTACTCTGAGAAGAAATGCCGAAACAAACTTAGCTTAGAGGTCATACTGTAGTCCTGTAATTTTTTATGTGTTTATACGCCGAAACGAGTTCTTCTACTCTACTTCTTGCGCCGCAAGAAGTTTTATAACAATTTCTCCCTCAAAAAATACCATTTTTATAAATGCCAAATTTTCTTAAGATCCGTTTACTAGTTTTTTCGAAAAAGAGTAAACAACACCCAAACATGTCTAAAATCTTTCGCATTTATAATAGGTATTAGTAGCACTGATATATTTTACTCATGATCAGAATTAAGATAATAATCTCCCTTGTCAGTTGTACTCAAAAGTATACCACGTTAGTTTGCAAGTAAGGTTTATTGTCGCGTAAACAGTAAAAGAGACGTCGTATTCTTGAAATAAAGCTGAAATCAATATATTCTTTTGACTTTGAATATCTGCTCTCATCAGAGCTGACCTCAAGTATTGATTTCGATATTTTTAGCCCGCCTTTTGTCTGGTTCTTTTATAAGATATGTGTATCTTATTTCATACTCAATTCTCTTTGTTATAAGATTTGCTTTTCTTCAAAGGCGTCTTTGTCGGTTAGTGGGTTATTAATCTCAGGTCTTTTGTTGTGTAGGTGACTTACGAATGTCCTTCATAGGTATCAATAAAATCTAGGTAGACTTGATAGCGTTAATGTTTGTGATGGCAAGTTCTGGAACGTTGTGACTTAGGCCCAATCTTTCTCCTTCCCCCATCCCTTCCCTCCCTAATTCCTAAATCTCTGAAACCCCAAAAGGTTAGCAATACACTCGTTTAGTCCTCTGCTGTTGCGGGTGTCCATGGGCAACGCGGATTGCTTTCCATTAGGTAATCCTAAAGCTTTAAATCACGTCTGCTCATTTACCGACCTATCACATAAAAAAAGCAAATCATTATCTTTTTAATTGCATCTTGGCGGTTTTGGTTAGCTCTTTCGAATGGGAACTGGGTGCGAGCCACTTGTGTTAAAGTGATGCAAAAGTTGCAGCTTGGATTTCGGAGCTGTTTTATTGGTTGGTTAGCTCAGAGTAAGCCAATCAGATAGCCTAGTGCAGTGTAGTGTTTCTTTAACGTTAATAGGATTGAAGCGCTTATGTCGTCCGGCGCTCTGATTGGCCTTACCTTACCGTTTGGATTACGTTAACATACCAAACTTGCAGACCTACCAACAACCCCCCTTCTAACTTAGCATTCATTCTGTGGTTAATTTCCTGTTCGGTTATAAAATGAAGACGAATCTTATTTTTGAAAAAAAAAATATGATACTAAGGCAACTATCCAAAGAACTTTTGGACACTGGACTGCTCGATGGCTGTGGATGGTTTTTTGCCGCGCAACGTGTTGCAGATTTGAAGCCCGCCCGGAACAACTTTTTGTGTAATCCACAACTGTTTGTTCCAGGTCTGGGGTGTGATGTAAATGCACCCACAGGAGAAAATTTTACTGTGGGCAAACATAAGAAAAAAAATTATACTAATCCCATCCAACAGAGATCTCGTATCTTCTGAAGCAGTCACACTAACCGCCTTTAGATTACCGCGTTAGTTAACGATGTGACGTTATACTTTTACCATGTGTTTTTAAATTAGATTTTTATTAATATGTATGCAGTTAAAACAGTTCTACATGACTGTTACGTCAACGAATGGTGTAATTAGTCATCTGCACCAAAATAGGTCTGCATATTAGCAAGTATCACAAACTGTCTTTTCATTATATTTTCAACTTTGTTACTATACGTTTAGATTGGAAACATACTCTGACATGAGTATCTTCTGATTAATTTCATAAGGGGTTTTAATCCAATAGAAAGAAAACATTTGTATAAGTCCTCTGGACTAATAAGGATTCGCTGGCTCACCGCTTCTACGATAAAAGTTATTTGATGACCACACAAGCAACCTCTTTTGCATAAAATTAGCTTTTTTCAGTTTTTGATTCGGGTGAACGTGTTAATATCCGACCAGCCAATTGCGATCCCTACCACCTACTCTGTCATACGTTTCATGCATGCCACGTGGCCATGCGTCAGGTCTTTAATAAACTCCCTCCTAGAAACAGCCTTATGTAGTCATCACAAGGTCATATTTTCGTTCGTACAAACCATCGAATGACATCCACTCTCGCCCTGGCGGGGCCGAAGAGGATGTGTCAGACTCTTATTGACTAAAACGTCCCTCCCCTGCTCAAAGCCGGGCCGTGCCAAATCTTTACGCTTTTTAATTTATTTATTTTTGGCAGCCGCAATCCGAGCCTATGGCAAACCCCGTCTGAAGCCTCAAAAAGTAGTTTTTCAGCTGTGTGTTTTCTTCCTTATGATTAGGATAGTGCTCTTTCCTTTTTACCAATTTTCTCAATAAATAGGATTTTCTGATGAATCGCAAAATGTGCTGGTGAGCGCGTAACTCAACAACGCCTGGACCAATTCTTTTTTGTTGTGTATTTATTAATGTCAAAAAACATTCGAAAAGTAGAGAGGAATATTGGGAAAAGTGACACCTTCGTTGTTAGCGAAATAGTTGGACCCGTGCGAAGCGGGGGCGGACAGCTAGTGTGTAGATAAATGTATTATGGTGTTGAAATGATTTTTCTCGCCCTAGATGAGGCGACTAAAACCAGACACTTACTGATTAAATAAAAACCACACTGTTCTTTCGCCTGTGTCAGGTCGGAGGATTCGCAGTTCATTATAGCGCTTGCACCTTCAATTTTGATCATATACGAGTATTAGGTTCGCTAGATGCTATCTCTAGAATACTGAGCTGACCGTGTAGTTGAATAAAAAATTGCCTAGCTATAATTGTCGAGTCTATTTTTATACCAATTCATGCCCTTCAAATGACTGGCTGAAATGTTTTTTGCAACTGAATTATTGAAATTGTGACCGTGTTGTGTTGAATTTCGATATGTTTTTATTTGGCTATTTTTTAACGATTTTTTTGTATGACTTATGACCAACGATCGATTCTGAATAACTAGAAACTTAATTTATCAGTTAGACATCATAACTGTGGGAAAGTCAAGCTTTGGCACGAATGGTACCACGGACTCACTGAAAACCGGTGTGAAACAAAAACAATCACAGTGTTTCGCCGTGTGAGTCAATCCTTCCCGCATTCCTTCCCAATACTTAATATCCGAAACCCTTATCCCTAATCCGCAAACACTCGTAACTCCTTTGGTGTTGCGGGTGTCTCTGAGCGGCGCCTATTGAACCGTCTGCTCGTTTGCCAACCTATCTCATAAAACAAAACATCTCCCACTTTCAGTTCGTGTTATTTTGAGGATGTCATCAACCCATCGTGCCTTTTTGGACTCTGGTCCTTTTGGCACAAATTCGGTCAGCAATCACTTGTACCTAACTCTATCCAATACGCCGTTGGACCAGAACTTTTTGGTAACATCAGGAAATTATTTAGAATTTTTCTGACCTAAATGATTGAAAGTATTGAAACAAACTTATCCATGCATATTACCTAAATAGTCACAAAAACTGTTTAACACATCTCAAGCTCGCAAATGTATTCAAAATTGATCTTAGAAGTGAGAAACAGTTTAAAAACACAGGTCGGAAAAACCTTCGGTAAAAACCACCGTTTACTACATCTTTGGGTTTACCAACGCTTTGCAGGGCATTCCGTTGATATTAACAATTTACAGTCGATAATAATTGGGGAGTATTTAAAAGAGTTTTAATTTTCTATTGACGACATAGGTAGATATGGCTTCTGTATCCGTATTTAAAAATATACTTTTCACGAAATACTTGTCTTTTTATTTTTTGAAAGAATCCGAACTACAATCCTACTTTCCTTCATTTTTAACCGACTGTAGCGTACATATCGAAAAAAGAAACAGTTTTATAAAAGTATTGGTCAAAACGACGTAGCTCGTAAAATCTGCAGGTTAAAGTGGGCAGGTGACGTCGCTTGAAAAACGGACCGGAAAACGTAGCGTGGGCAGGCCTCCCGCTAGGTGGACCGACGGCGTTGTCAGATTCGCGGGGAACTAATGGATAAATGGCAACTTGTCGTTCGACCTGGAGGACTAAGGGAGAGGCCTTTGTCCAGCAGTGGACGTCTTCCGACTAATGATGATTGGTCAAAAAACTGCTAAATCATTTCGATTCTGAGGCTTCCTCGACACTTTCTCTTTATATTTGTCCAACATTTTAAAACCTCCTTAACTCAGTATTTTTATCAACAACACCGCGGACATTGGAGCTGTTTGTCGAGTCGTTGCTCAGCAAAGCGATGCAGGTGACGATGGCGAGGAATGCGAAGACGCTCAGCCCTTCGCACGTGAAACAGTGCATCCTAGCAGAGTCCAAGTTTGACTTCTTACGGGATCTGGTAAGCTTTATGTTTTAAAATAGTCTCGTTATAAAGCTATAGAGTTTGTTTGTTTGAACGCGCTAATCCCCGGAACTACTCGATCGTCACCACATCGAATTGAACAATTCTTTTTGTGTTTGTTAGTCCATCATTAATGTTATACTCTGTGGACCATAGATGAAAGGTTTTGTTTTTTTTTTTGTTTGTTATTTTGTTATTAATTTTTTAAGTCTTTTAATTTTTATTTGTATCATTTAGTTTGAATTTTTAGTAATATTTTATTTTCTTCTTTTTTTTTGTATTTTTGTTTTGTTTTGTGTGTGTGCGCTTGCGTGAAAATAAATGTTTTTCTTTCTTCTTTCTCTTTCTTTCATTTATCTGGGAAAGCTATAGGCTATAAAACATCTCGCTACGATTTGAGCAGAGCAGCGGATGAAAACGCGCGGGAGTAGTTAGTCAATCTGTATCTGTCCTTTTCTGGACATGGAAAATGAACAGTACACAATCACACCACTGTTTTATTATTTCTGGAATAAGGGGAATCGATGAAAAGTATTAGAAAAGGTGAATTTGAATGATGTAAAATGTTCGATTAGTTTTTTTCATTTTTGGAGGCAGATATTAAAGGGAACAGAATAGCTTTGAAAATTTTAAATGAATTAAGCTAGCTATCTTTTTTGGCAGAAACAGTTGTTTTCTAACTTCTCTAAGTTCCGATTCTCGTAAGAAACTAAGCCCAGAATTATTTCTATAGTGCCTTCAAGCCCAGTAGACAGTAAAAAACTTTTGTTCTATTTCGATTTCAGGTAAAAAACATCCCCGATGTGTCAGCGGCTGAGGAGAAAGAAATGATGAGCGCAGAAAGTTCACCAAATTCTTCTAGGTAAATATTTTTAATTACATTACACATTATTTAAGAGATTTTCAACTTCGAACTTGTTTTAATAAAGTTCAAATTCCTATTTAGGTTTAAGTCCTATGTAATAAGAGCCAAGCATAATAATATGTTCACATACACCAGGTGCCATTCTGAGAATTTTATACCAACCGAAGATTTTATTGATATATATATTGTTTTATTCAGGAGAAACCTGAAACCCCCTTTCTTGGGAGCGCTTGCAAACGAATCTACTTGATAAGTGATGTACTTTAACCAGTCAAAACTATTATATTTATTTTTGTTTGTGACAAGCCCGCCACATCCTCCATGAAATCCTCCTTTTGTAAAGGCAAATTATGCAATGATTCCTCTCGCCCAGGGTATGGCGATACGGTGAGAGAAAGTGTCAGACTCTTGCTGACTAAAACAGTCCCAGTTCCTTCTCCTGTTACAGGAATCCCTATCCAAAAAGCTGAATCTCATAACTTCCCTGGTGTTTCGGGACTCCATAGCTGGTCGTTACCATCACGTAGAAATCTAGATCTAGATTTTTGGTTAATCACATACTAGCTACTCTCGCGCGGTTTCACCCGCTTCTCAGCTCCTACAGATCGTAGCGTGATGTTTTATAGCCTATAGCACTCAGGAACATTATAGCTATCTATCAGTGAAAGAATTTTGGAAATCCGACCAGCGGTTCCAAAGATTAGCCCCTACATACAAACTTACATATTTTACCTCTTTATAATATTAGTATAGAAGAAAAGCCCTCTTAAACCGCTACTATTCTTCTAAGCCTTTCCTAACCGAACCTTAAACTTAAGAACAACTAAATCTTGTCATCTTTTGCTTGTTATTTCTACACCGGAAAAGGCCATTAAGACTTTTTATTCCGATCTTGTTAAGACCCCTGTCATCCGTAGACGCATTCACAATCGCTGAACTAACGAGTCACAGTCAGTGCTAAAAATAAAACCATGTAGGTATTATTACTGTTAAAACGCTTCTCTGACAATTTCTCGCGGAATTTTCCATAAGGATGACTATTTTGAAACCAATTAATTACCTACTACCTAAACAGTGACTTATAAATAGTCTTATCATATGTCACTGCCTTATAAATGGATTCTTTGAGGTCTGGTTTTTTTTATGTGATAGATGGCAAACGGGCTTTCATATATTATTATTTGGTGGTAAGCAAAGCAATCGGCATCGCCCATGGATACAAGCAACACCATAGGTGTTATGAGTGCGTCGCTGGTCTTTTGGGGATTTAAGATCTCTATTCTTAACAGAGATTTGGGGATTGACAAGGGATGGGGGGTTTCCCATGAGGATGATTATCGTCTCCGTGTATTAGGTAACTAGTCAAATTCGTTACTTAAATATTGAATTGTCTAAATGCACAATTTTCTAAGGTTGTATGAGACCGTGAGATGTGACGTCACTTTTTTTGTAAACCAAAAAACAATTATTTTTTATTGAAATTTGTGTGGAAAAATTAAGAAAGTTTATTATGATCCTGTTACCTTAATCTATTAAAAAAAATGTTTTTTTTTTAAAAAAAAACGTTGCCCCACTTTTCTCCTGTGTTGTGGGTGCGTTTACAAACATACAATGTCACATACACATGACACCCAGACTCGAAACAACAATTTCTAAAACTCACAAAGTGTTCCATGCGGAAATCGAACCCGCGAGACAGCCAGTTGCCCAGCCACCGCACCAACCATGCAGTCAATGTGCTTATATTCAAACACTGTCAATAAAAAATCGAAACAGTTTTTGACGCAATTGTGGGAGAGTCTGGGAGAGCCATGCTCGAATGGGTTCGAGGGGAGAAAGAGAGAAAGAAACAACTACAGCGTTGTGTTTCGTGATTGAGGTTATCGAAGGTCCAATCCCTAAATCCCTAAAAGGTCAGCAACGGACTTATAACTCTTCCGTTGTTGCGAGTGTCCATGGGCAGGTTGATGACTTACCTTCAGGTTACCAGATGGATCGTTTGCCATACATCACTGCAGGCATCAAATCACTTCCTTTACTATCTATTCTTACTGTCGAGATCCACCCCATTCCTTCTCCTGCTCCGAACCAGGGCCTCGGAAACTTTTGCATCCCCTTCGAAACGTAAATGGCATTACTTAAACAAAAAGTGAAGTCTAAGTGTTGGAGAGCCCAGCTTCGGCACGAATGAGTCGGCTCGACCGGAATGATACCACGGCCTCACAGAATATTGACGTGAAACAAAACAGCGTTGTGTTTCGCCGTGTGAGTTAGGTTACCGGAGGCCAAATCCTTCCCCTCCCCCGATCCCTAAAAGTTCGGAAACGCACTCGTTACTCCTCCGTTGCGGGTGTCCATGGGCGGTGCTGATTACTTACCATCAAGTAATCCGTCTGCTCGTTTGCCGAACTATTCCATAAAAAAAAATCTACTTGGTCACAACATTTCTAGTGGAAAGTTCCACAACTGTGACCGTCTTAAAAGCCCAATAAAAGTATGAAGAAGCATGTCATTAGCGCCTTTTGTATAATTTACATAGCGGAATGGAGGGGTTTGTTAATTGCCCACACTAAATGTACTTTAAACCTTGAGGCTGTTTAATTGCTAGACACCTTTATTGCTGTAAATTACATACTTTTGTTGAGTAGGGTTGTACTATAAATGTAGAATGGAAATGGTTTTTGAAGACTGCATAGAGCAGGGGCTCTTGTGCTTTAACGGGCGTGGTATCAATCACCCTCGAATTAATCCTTTTTGTGATATGTAAGTGTGGGAGAGCCATGCTTCGGCACGAATGGGTCGGCTCGACCGGAGTGATACCACGGCCTCACAGAAAACCGGCGTGAAACAACCACAGCGTTGTGTTTTGCCGTGTGAATGAGAAATCCAAATCGCTAATCACTAAAAGGTCGGCAACGCACTCGTAACTCCTCCGTTGCGGGTGCGGGTGTCCATGGGCGGCGCTGATTGCTTACCATCAGGTAATCCGTCTGCTCGTTTGCCTATCAATTACATAAAAAAAGTAAATTCTTAGTTTGGATCTGGTCGTGATTTTTCTGTTTGTAAAAAAGTTGCATCAAACCTTTTTTTAACTGATGACTAAATAGTTACAACGTAAACGTTTCGTTCTAATAATCCTTTTCTTCTCTTTAGATTTTCAGAAATGACGGGTCCACCTCGGAGGATAGCAAGAGAAGACTCGAACAGCTCGAGCAGTTGTGACGTCAAAATAGTACCTTTACAACCTCCGCCGAACTTAAAACGAGCGCTGTCCACAGAAACAGAGCTACCTAACAAACACGTGAGAACGGAAACCGTCACGTCGACATCATTAGACACAGCCATAGACCTTTCAAAGAAGTCCACGGAAGAGAAACCGGTGGTAACAGCGAATTTCTACCAAGAGACGTTGTTAACGGACGAAATGCAGCATAGGAGTGTCATCAAACTTAACCCCACATACTCAAGTCCTCAGCCCTCAACGAGCTACACGGCCGAACTTCCTAAAATTGATGTGCCAAAGCCAGCCGTCATAGAAAAATCCGTAGCACCTAGGACCCCCGTCACACCAGTAACACCCATCCTAAATATAGACTTTACGAAAAGTCTAGCGAAACCAGAAATTAAATTGTTAGACACCGCGGCAGTCGCTGCCTTACCTAAAAAAGAGACTATACGACAAATTAATAGGCAGAACTCGAAAACAGTTAGACCTGAAGTGAAAAAGATTGAAATTAGACCAGTGCAACCGCACGTTGACATAGACAGTTTAAATTCTGGCAATCTACAGATAGACGAAGATTATGATACCTGAGTATGTATGTAAGGTTGTTTTTTGTATTAAGTTGTTTTGGCGCGATATTTATCAACCGTACTCTAATTTTTAAGTGTTGTTTTTTATAATTTGTGCACAGTGGTCTGTGAAACAACTTTAAAGTTGTATTTTACAGAGTAATTATGAAATAATCATACAATTCTGCCCATTACCGATGAATTGTTTTACTCTGTGTTAAATAAGTATAAATACTTTTTTTTTCTTCATTTTGGCCCATCGCAGGCCACTGTTTGCATCAAACTAATCAATTTGATTGTAATTGCGTGGGTCAAAGTACTAAAGGTCAATTTTAGTCTGATACACACGGCATCGAATATTTTGTGTAATATATTTTTAGTTTTTTTTTGTATTAATAATAATTTGAATGTGGTAATTATTTTGAACAAATACTACATGAATGTTTTTATTTTTTCCTACGGATGATAAATATCGCTGTCCAGTCACGTTGTTTACCAATTTAGTTTTATGAATGGTAAGTTTTTCAAATGTAATATTTTTTGTTTGTGATTATTGTACTTTGTGGTATGCGTTTGAATTATCTTCGTTACTTATCTTTTTTCATGGGGTAATGCTGGCCCAAGGCCTTAAAATCCATTAAAAGATTAAAAAAGGAACTGAATGTAATATTTCAAATTATCACATCTCAATTTGACAATTGGAAAAATGTTGCCAGTAAGTAAATATAGAAAAAATTTTGAGAGCTCAAAAAAAATACCCCGAACCTGTGGAACATTTATTAACATTACAATTACCACAAATGCATAAAAACGCATGAATAGACGTTTGTTTTATGTCAGAATGAAATTGAGATTGATTATTCTAGAATCACATTATCGTCTAACGTATTGTTTCAATGTATGTAATATATTATTTCTTGTATGTGAGCTTGAATAATGAAACGATGACATTAAAAATGGGACTGTTAAGTAATTTATGTGTAGTTTGAATGAAGAATGTTGGTAAAGATGGTTTTTTGGTATGGCAATGTGGTAGCTTAACACAGCTTTAAAGATTTTGTATAAATATAATGAAGTTAATACACTTAAAGTAGTACACGGTTGTGATTTTGGTATAAAGAGGATTACCAATAAATGTTTGTTTTGACCGTATGAGTTATAAATTACTTTTTTGTCAATTTTCCACTATGACTGCGTTGCTTGTTCATTGGGGAGTACCTTACATATAAGAGGATCTCCGATTGTGCTCACTTCTCCATCAATATGTTAGGGTGAATAAATTCTATTTTATCTTGAGCCTATTCTTATGACATGATTATTAACTGGGTTAAGCTATCAACATTGCAGAATCCAAAAACCACTTTCGAAGAGCTGGAACAAGAAAAAACATGTAAATAAAGAAATAAAATTATGACAAAACTGAAACGTTTTTGCTTACGATGTCACGGAATTGCTAGCGAATGGAGTGCGCACAGAATTGGAACAAGCTCAGTTTATGAATTAAAATTCTTGTAAGACGAATTAATTTATTGGTTTTGTGGTCTTGCTCACAAAACTGTTTGATGAGGTAACTCTTACAGTTAACAGTCATGTTAGCAGTTAACTTCAAAGGGACATTTAGTTGAAATAAATTTTTATATAGCGAATTGAGACTTCACTCGCCATGTCCTTTTTGAACAATGTTGCTCTAAATATGAACCCTTCACGTGACTTGAAACTAGTCAAGCTACCCCGTAGTCAGGTCAATTTATATTAATTCCAAAAATTGTCTTTACCTACCCTAAATATTATTATGTGTTAGATATGATTTAACACAGAAATATTTGATGGAGATTTAATCGTTTGTAACAACACGTGACGTAGCTTCAATGTCCCCAGCATTATGAGCACTCCATTTGTAAGTTAATCCTACCCTACCTAAAACGCCGTGTTAGCTGCTTAGTCAGAAGTTTTTAACGAGGAAGGTGGTATAGTATACGTATGAATAACTTTTGTGAACATGACACGTACACCAGCATCGCTCAACTCAACCATATTATAGGGAATTAAGCGATCCAGCGCCCATGCCACGCCAGTGTGACCTTTAAGTGAGCATGACAATCCATGCTGTTATAAGGACCGACATTCTGTTAGTCTAAAAAAATTGAAATAGGTTACAGGGCACTCACATTTACAAATTTATTAAGTTATAGTTACCTATACAGTATAATGCAAATTCACTAAAACGGAGAAGTCCCGTTCAAGCAAAATCCACTGGAACGTTATTTATTTTGGTGTAGGTTTGCTATCCTGTGGAGCAGGAAAAGCATGTCTCCAAGCATCTTTATCTGCAATATAATCATTCAGTGTGTAGTATGCTTTTCTACATAAAATTTTCTTTACACATAATTTAAAATTTTGTTTGAAATAAATGAGGTAAGTCATTTATGTACACTAAAAACAGGAAAGGACCTAATATCGAGCCCGGTGGTAGACCCATAGATATGCTAGCACCCTGGGGGTTCACTTTATTTACTTGTACTTTGAACTGCCTATCCTGCAGGTATGATTTTAATAAATTGAGAGATACGCCCCGAGTGCCGTAGTGTTCCAACTTCAGCAACAGTGTCGCGTGTTCAACGCAATCAAAAGCCTTAGGAAGGTCACAAAAAATCCCAATAGCGTCGTTTGACTTTTCCCATGAGGCAAAAACATGCTTAATTACTTCTACTTCTCTCTTATTCTCTAACTTTGGCTTCCGCCTGCATAGCCTTAACTACTACTGGCAGAGACAGGTCTTGCCCGATCCTAATAACCAGCACCCCTGCTCGCAGTTCCACGCTGGATATTCCTTGATTGTGTGCTGGGCGGAATCCAATTCGTGAATCCAATACGCCCCGAATGTTGGAAAATCTATATGGAGGAGTTTTTTACTCTAAGTGTGGGACAGCCAAGCTTCGGCACGAATGGGTCGGCTCGACCGGAGTGATACCACGGCCTCTCAGAACACCGGCGTGAAACAACCCACAGCGTCGTGTTAAATACAGGTAAATATTTTATGACTGTTTAAGATAAAGTATCAATATGGCTTTTTGCACCTTATTATTTCTTCTCCATCCTGTTTAGTCCATGTCCATTTTAATATGAATTAATGCAAGGCATACCTACCACCGTCGGCATCGCGTGCTTTCTCCCAAAAATTTATTCACAGTGCAAAATGTTCCCTAAATTCTTGTACCTACATATTAAAATTTTGTTTCCTTATATTATAAATGGGATCGTGAGACGTAGGGTCGTGGTGGCCCGGAGGTTCATAATCTGTGTTCGAAACATGGCAAGTATCTAGCAATGTGACTTTTCACGAGTTAGGGGTATATCATCTTTCTGTTAATTTAGACACCATTGGCAAGCGGTTCACCGTATGTCAATGAAAACATCGTGGGAAAACTTACTAATAATTTGCCTGGTGATTAATACTTAAACCTTCTCCGTGTCAGAGGAGGCATTTGCTCTGTAATAGGTAAGAACTTATACGTTGATGACGTAATGTGAAGTGGATTTGTGCCGGTTGCAAACGCAATGATGTACCGCGGCCCTGGTTCCGGGCCGGGGCCGCGGTACATCATTGCGTTTGCGCAGAAGACATTTAATAATTTTCACCTCTCTCAAAAAAAGAATGTTTTGTAATATAATTGACGACATATACCTAGATACCTTTTTTAGTTTGATTTGCATGATAGATACGCTTGAAGGTACTGAGCCTCCTAGGGCAATATAAAAAAATCCTTTCTGAATTAAATCAGGGTCTTTATCCACTGTGCCTAGAATGACTCAACGAAGAGATGTTCAATAGGAATGTTCATAGTTGGTCTATTAACTACTTACAGGCTTCGATGCCCCATAGTGTTAGGGAGAGAAGAATCTCTATACTTTTACGCCTATAAAATTTGGTTTACTGAAGACATTGCTATGCTTTTAAATAATACAAAATATTTTACCTATCTACGTAACTTACTAGGGCAAAAATAAAAACTTCCATTTACCAACTCAATACGTTTCTATAACGTGAGGTTGAATTAAAAATATCTTCATTAATAACATTCCAAGCGTTCACGTGGTTTAGTAGCGAGGGCGATTCATCGACACGCTACGGAGTAGCCCGAGGGCTTAGGGTTGGGCACTTTAATGTAAAACATCCGGTCGCGTCAAAATACCATCCCATAACGTTTTAGTGAGTTGGACCGACATCAGAGCCTTGAGGAACGCCGTTTAAACATTGTTGCAAACTAATCAAAATTGCTATTCATTGATTGGGGAAATGCGCTATTATTTTTAAACGTTTTTATTAGAGTAATATTTGCAACAAATTACTATGATAAGTATAGGAAGTATTTTCAAAAAACTTGTGATATGTAAATGTTATACTATCAAAGGCCTTGCAAAATTTTGCACCCTTTTATGGTAATACAGGAATATTTTCGGTGTTTCCATATTTGTAAAAGAAGTGATTAATTGCAGTTATTAAAAGAATATTTTGGGTTTGTCAGTTAACCGCAAGGGTGATGCAGTCTTTAGTTACTTACTTAAATAAAAATAAAACCAGATGTTTGTCATCATGTACAAAAATATTTCATTTAATGTCGTTATTTAAATTAAATTATTGTTACTTAACAATAACAAGTACTTAAATTACTGCTTATAAATACAAAGTTTTCAATTTTCAATTTATAAACCTAAGTTTTACACAAATCAGGATGTTAAAAAAGCCAGAATATACGATTTAAATATCAATCAATAGGTATTTTTATTGAAATATGTAAATGGAGTTTGTTAGGAAAATTATTGTGTAGTGTAAAGTTAATTTTTCAGCCTCTTGACAACTACTGAAAATATAAAAAATAAAATAAATGATGCTGCATTTTTTCTTAAAAGTATTACAGACATAAAAAACTAGCAAGTTTTACGGTAGTACTGTTGGCAAGATCAGGGTAAGTATTAAAAAATACATAGTTAATAATATCTAAGTACCAAAACTAAATTTCAATCCCATAGATTTATTAGCATTTTTCAGAAAACAAAATTCACGATGATACTAAGACTTTAAACTGGTGTGCAGATTTAAGAGGTCCACAATTTTGAGATTCAGTATTCATATCAAATAACCAATGAATAATAAAAATTACTAATATAACATCTTACTATCTAAATGGAAGTAACAAAATGGACACATTTATACCTACATAACAGTCTGTTGTCGTTCTATCACTTAAAGCTACTATAAAACATATAAGATCCCGTAGTCAAAGTATGGTTTTGTGTTTGGTACACTTATTAAGAAGAATCATAAAAATTTGGAAGGAAGATACAAGAGTGTGGTCCACACTGTGTGTAGTGGGGATAAGGAGACAAAGGATTACCTAAGGAGTTACAAGTGATTTCTGGAATTTTTGAGCCATTGCTAATGGTTAGTTCCAGTTACTTACTGGTGATTTGTGAGGAGTCCATTCAAACCAAATCATGGATCTCTCACCATTGCGCTAGTTTGAATTGTGCAGAATGCAGAATATGATAGCTTTACCTTGCTTTTGACAATACATCTAATAAGTCTACCAAACCACAGAGATATTTATTATATTATAATGTAGATATAAATTAGGATATTGTATTAATACTGATTACATTTACTTATAAAATGGTAATTGATGGCAATTATGTACATCATAGTGGCATGGAATATAATTTAGTTTAAAACAAAAATGTTATAGACCCGCATTTTATATGCAATATCAAAACTAAATATATAATACAACCGATTAACTAAAAACTAAAATAAATTAATTCTAAAAATCTCCTACAACTACTATTTAATTCTATTATGCAACATGCTGCCCTAAATATAATATAAATATATTTTTGAAAACATTTTATTACTACATAAAAATATTTATTAACGAGCACCCTATTTTTACATAATGGTAAGGCACATTATTGGGCGTTGTTCGGAACACTGCTACAATTAAATTTTTGTAAACCAAACAGTCAGAAATAATCTTAGCATATAATTTTAAATTAATTTTTTGTACCATAATAAAGAACTACAGTGCCCCAATATTTTAAACATATTGCGTTAAAGGAACATACTATAAAAGGAAGACTGAGTAACATATAATTACACATTAAAATTAGTGCTACACATAATATTACAAAAATGTTACAACACTACAAATTAATATAAATTAAATAGAATTAATTACTACACAAAACTAAGCAATGTTTGGAATGTATAATGAGTCGGCAGTCTTTTTAGATAAGTTTATTTCAATGCAAGAATGGTGCACTAGACGGCTAGACCATACATGGGACATTGTTGTAATGAATGATTTAGATTTAAGAATTTGCTGAAATGTTTCTATCATATTTCATTCAGTCTAGCATTGTTTGTTAATTTGTATTTACTCTTGACTTCAGCATGGGCCTTTATTGAATATTCAGCTAAACTCATTCCCTTCATACAAACTCTCACAGACTTCCAACAACCTTAGTACAGGACTGATATTGTATGGGAACAGTGACTTGGACACAAGTCTACTGATCTGTAATCTCAATCGTATTAGTACTCTCATGGTGTCATCTAGACCTCTGCTTCCACCAGAATCTGCTTGCTGACATGTCTCCAAGAATTTTGGCCAATTCCTCCTCACATACTTCAAAAACCTGAGTAAGTATAACAAGAAACATGTCTCATTGCTCACCAAATAATCCAGCAACACATCACTTTCATGTGACACTACCTTCAGGAATTCTATGAAAGAAGATATTGGGTTCAACATTGGTATAAGGTCTGGGTACATTGAGTTTCTGTAAACAATCCCTACTGTAATATCAAGAGTGCATACCATGGATTCAATCAAATAATCATCCTGTTCACTAAATAAATGAATCAGCATTTTCGTGAATGGTGTCTCAGGATGGAACTCTAGACTATTTCTGATGAAAACGTCTAGTTTTTTGAGTACGTCGCGTATCGATCTTTCTACTATCTGCATATCCTGTATCGCATTATAATCTGAAGAATCTATTGAACTGTCGGAGGAATCGCATCGCATTTCCTTCACAGTTACAGCTACAGATTTGAGAACTAATAAAGACATTCTTTGTAGCATTGTTTTGTCAACTTCCCCTGTTGATTGTGATTCATCATGTTCATCTTCACCATAGCTCTGATCTACAAGCTGTATGGAAGACGATAATGGCGCTACTTCAGGGCCTAGAGAGTAATCTCTCAGAATTGTGCATTCATGTCCCAGAAATCCAAAGCCACTTCTGCTAGTCTGAACCCTTACATCATTTAGTAGTCTGAAGTCTTTCACAAACCTTACAATTGAGTGTGCTAGACAACATATCTCTTCAGGTAAAATATCTTGTAGGGCCAATGTTGAACCATAACACAGAACTTCATTGAACAAACTTAGTAAATGAGTATAAATTAGACTGGGCAACACTGTGTTCCGTAGCAGGTCTACAAAGCCTTGCAAGTCTGCATCTGCATAGAATGGTTTTGTGTCAATTACCGAGAGATTCGCTTTTACACTTATAATATTCTCCCATAATGAGAAAAACGTTAGTATACAATTTTCAGCATTTGCTAAATTCAGGTACCTTAGAAGAAGAAGCTTCATATTTTTTACAAGCACTGGCCAGTGGTGCTCTAATGTCTTTATTGTTAGACATTTTATATGTGATGTGTCGAAGGATTCAGAGTCTGTGAGGACAACTGTAACACAACCATGTTCATTGACCCTCTCTATCCTTGACTGAGGAGGCTCTGGGGACTCTGATTGTTCCATATCTCTTTCATTAGATAACTTTAATACTGGCTCATTTAATCTGAATGTTGACGGTCCTTCCTGCTCTGATGATGTCGAGGCCACACCATGTGTTTGTAGATTCGAAAATGCATTGTGCAGGTTACCATGGGAGCTTGAGGGCATCTCATTGCTATTAGTTCCATAGCCAACAGTACTCCTGAAGGGATTATCTTCCTGCACTTGGACATTCCCTGAGTTAATATAACTACTGTCTTCTAAAGGGTGCTGTTCCACATCTTTCCACTCGACTATCCTCTTTATAATGTCTAGACTGAAGTTAATCTTTTGTACTGTTATCCTATTGATTCTATCAAACAGATAAATGTTTTCTGCAATTTGCTGGAGCCAGTTCTCATCTACAGTATCTTTTGACACTATAAGGAAGCTGGCTAATACTCTACATGCTACAAATGTTATAAATTTACTCTTATGGTCTGCCAATTCTACAACCTCTGTTATCCAATCATGCCTATTCCTAACAAATATGTCACATGCTGCCATTATCTTTGAACATATAGTGCCTGTACTGTTTTGTTTTAAATATATATCAAACATTAGCTGCATTGTGGATAAATAAGTGAGGGAACATGTCAAAGGCCAAGTTACAATATTGAGTTGTCTGTCAAATAGTTGGGATACTGTTGTCTCATTAAATCTACATAAACACTGACCTACCAGCGCATCCTGAAGTATTCTTAGCTCAGCCAACAGTTTATCATCCTCTGAGCTCCAATGTGGTGTAGAGTTGGAGCAGGATGGTATGATTTCCACATTAGTGTCGCTTGGAAGTCTCAAGAGGCTGGAACAATCAACAGCATCTTCGCTGACAGTCCCGCTGTCTGGAGACTCGCCATTTCGAGTTGGGAATTCCTCAGAAGTCTCAGCAGGAGTATTCTCAGAATCAAATATGTCAGTGAGAACATCCTCGGTGGATCGGTCACTACCTTCGTCAATATCTGGCGCGTCAATCCGCTGTTTCTTTTTAACAGGTTGATCTGAGGCCATACCTTCATCTAACTGTGGTCCACAAAGGTGCCCCCTCAAAACCATTAACACTAGTCCTGGTTCTCAGCCAAAACTATAATTGACGTTGTCCGCGCAACACAATTGCCTTTATATCAAGACGATCATCGTTCTGGAAACAAAAAGGTGAATATGAATGCATGACCTTTCCGTTTAGCTACTCAATTACGCGGGCGACAAAGCCTTCGAATATTTGAAGGATTACGACATAGCCCGATGTAACTGACCAACAGGGATCACAATTTAATACATTATTGACACAATTCACGTATGATTACACAGTTTCAAGTGATTTTTGTGATAAATTCAATGAACTTTCCAAAATATTTTGATGTCCACATACCATTGATAAAACGAGGTTGTTTGAAAGCTTTATATCACGTGTGGTATCCATAAATTATCTATAACCATTCACTGCAATCCAGTAATACACAATAACAAACAGTTTTATGTGATATTTCGTATAAAATTATATAATTATTTCAATTACAACTTGTCGAAAAGAACATCGACTCCATTACGTACAAATGACGCTCTATCAATTGAGCATCTTTTTTCTTAGGAATTTATTCATTTTTTTACATTTTTGAATTCAAATTTATAATTAAATAAATTTATAAAAACGTACATAATTGATTATGCTTAGATATTTTAATATAACGCTTCATAATTGCATTTTAGAAATATTAGTACGTAAAATGTTCTACAATTCAAAGTATTTCCTACTCCACATCCGGTAGAGACGTTGCCAGTCAGACGACTTCTGTGTTTAGCAAACAGTGGCACATTTTTGAGTTGATTTTTGCTCGATTTGGCATTCGTAAGATTAAAATGTCATGAGTAATAAATAAAAAAATCATATCTAAATAGAACTTTAAAACAATTACAAACTAAAATGGTAATTTATTTCGGAATAAATGGAAATCAGGATGATAATGGAGAACTTAATTAATTTAAATTAAAATAAAATAAAATACAAAACAATGTTGTAACTTTCATTGACTACTAAACTTCGCAAAATAAGACTTAGAAAGAAATCACAAAACCTTAATAATTTTATAGAATTAGTATTATGTTCGTAGTAAAAAAATGAATTGATTGATTTGAATTCATTTTCACAAGTAGCAACACTGCAGTGTACCGAGTAAAATGTCTGCTTCGAAAGGATCGAAAAATAATTTAAACAAAATGATTCAGTAGCCATAGCTAAAATCAATTAAAGTTAACGGAATATTCAGGTGAATATCATAAAGCTGTATTCGTGGTGTAGTATAAAAGTGTAAACTATGAATCATATAAGTGTTTTTGCATAACAATCGATAGAAAAAATATAGGTTAAGATCTCAGTGGTATTGTGTTCGGTTCAGAGCGATATAAAAATATATTGAAAATAGAAATGCATCAACGGGATGTTACATTAGCAGCACGCAAGTATATGTTATTGTTTATTTATAGTCGCGATGCGGAAATCGTACCGATATGTCATGGTGTTCATTATTCTTTTTTTGGTATAAAAATGTACATAAAAGTTCAATTGTAAGGGATTGCGAAAGCGGTATAGTATTGTATGACACCCGCAACCTTGCAATCAATGAATAGAAAGCAGTTGTCGCCTTTGGATTAGTTAGACAATAGCGAAAATCAGTTTTATTTCCTGTTGACCCTAGGCAAAAACGACTGTAGGTAGTTAGTAGGTGCAGTCGCTACATCAGCATTACGATTATCGACTTATTTATACTGTTTATATTAGTAACTGTTTGTTTTCCTCTTACAATTATATTGTTTTGATATATAAGCTTTGTATGAGTCATATGTATGTATATAAAATTATCTCCTAAGTATATAGTAATCGTTTCTTTATCAGACAATCAGGCACGTAATTTTTTGTACTTTTTTTATTTTTTAATCTGTTATCTATAAAAAAGTAAGTATAAACAATTAGAATTTGTAAATAGAAGTGTTGTAGTCTGCTTATCAGTAACATGGAGATTACCCCAGCCCTTAAACAACATTTTCAAGATAACACTAATTAGATATCTACACAAGTCTTATAGAAGTTTTTGAAATTGGAACAGTGTATTTTTATTAAGATATCTTCATCATGTTGAAAAACTCCCATTTAGCTATTTATAAGCTGTGACCTTCTGTGTTAAAAGATGTGAAAAGCTTCAATAAAAAATCTATTTTGATATTTCTCCAGTTATAAAATGATATATCTTGTTTCTACATCTGTAATTTTATTAGAAGCTAACAAGTTTTTGTGCCAAGTTATTGTAAGATGTTGTGAGAATCATTGTTTATGATGATAAGTAATAATTCTACCTTAAATGAAGGCATACAAACTCTTTAGTAATAAAATGTAGTGGGATCTAAATAGCAGAAGCTAATAGCATGATCATAAGCACACAAGTAATACCACATTCAGCCAACACCCAAATCTCTTTTCAGATGCCGCAGAAATTACAATGGAACACATTTGTGAGACAGACAAAACAATAAGCTGCATGCCTTAAATTGTTTTTTATTTAAGTAGATTTTTTACATGAATCTCGTAGGACATAGTGATAGTGTAATATGAAGTGATTTGTCACAGTGCTGACATTTAGTGAGTGATAGATGGTTGACGGTCTAAACGGTGCCAACATGTCTGATGAGGAGGACTCTTCGCCTGATCGGGCGCAGGGACCCACCAACAATGTACCAGGTAAATATTTATCAACTTCTTTTTTCTATGATAACATTAAATCCTCCTCAGTGTAATTGATTATCCCATGGGTAGTTACCTCTCTCCTATAAGTGCTGTTTCAATTATAATGGTTAAGTTTAATTTAGGCTTACTGAGGTACAAAGATGAGTTATCCGTTCAAAATGTGTCAGCCTATCCAATTTACCTTAACATCTTTGATTTGCCTTTCCATCACCCCTTTTATTTTGCAAGAACTACTTTATCTCTCCACACTTCCCAAGTGTTGCATTATATGTGCAAAGATGTTTGAATAAATAAATAGGTACATAGTTAAACAGACTCATAATCATTAAATTGGTTTAGTTTACAGAGCCTTGATTATTAATGGATTTAACATACTTACCACCTATGGTGCCTATTATGTGCTAATTATATTATATACTTGTATGTTACTACATAAATGGAATACCATTTGATTTCCTGCAATCAATTTTATTATTTCCTCTCCACAGTGCAATGTGATTTACATAAAATTTATCCCTATCCATTAATTTCCTTACAGTTTTTGTAGCTTAAAATTTTTCTGATACCTAGTTTATAAGTCTTATTGGATATCCAAAGAAGGGTAACTATTGTTATGATTACAATTGGCTTCTTGTATTATTCACAGTAATGAAAAATGACTTATCAATGCAATAAAATACAAGTAAATAATTATACTTTCATTAATTACAATATAGCTCTATAATTACTTAAGCTTTTGACTGCCGATAAAGAACTTTTGAAAGCAAATCCTCCGCTAGTGTAGGTCTGTTGACCTGTGGTGGTTAACATGTAAATTTTCATATTTTGCAAGGTGATTTTCAACAAATACAAACCTTAAAATATGCTATTTGACACAAACAACATATTGATTGAAAGGCTATTGATTTTGGCTATGCTATTATCAAATATCCAGTTTTAAAAAAACTTGGTGTATTGAGCAAGCTTTGTTAAGTTGTCTATCCTTTGCTATCACCAGTTTCTCCATTGTCATATTATGTCTTTGTGTAGGTATAGGACAAAATTAAATAATGTGATATCTACAACCTGTTTGTATTCACCCAAGCATGTCAACTAAACAGAAAGTTGGGTGTAATTTACACATCTCTAGGCGTTAATTACATTCTAGTTACATGTCTATTTTCTTGTTGTTATATTTCCTGCTTATGTATAGTTTAATTTTATAGTCTTTACCTAAGTCATAAGGTCTGCATACTTATTGAATCGAACATTACAAAAATTTTGATATTTGCTCTGTTAAGCCATAGTCAGACTTTGAGCCAGGAATCGTGTGGTTTTTATCCAGAGAATCTCGACACTTTCTCTCTCGTCACTGAGGGTGGTCTATTTATTTTATTGTTGTGTATTCATAATATTTACAACGAAACTGTAATACCATATAATTAGGCATGTCTGAAAGAATGTTTAATGTATAAACATAATGTAATCTTAATTTTCTTATGCAACAAGATACCTGCAAAAGAAATTATTTTAATGATAACATAATTGCTTAATTTTTTATTAACGAGGTGTTTTATAATTATCACTTTTATCCAAGTCGTTAGTTTCAAAAGATTTGTTAAAAAGAAGACTTAAGCTAGCGTGAAAAAATAAAAAGTATTAGAAAGTCTTTACTGACTCGTTGGTCGCGCGAACTGTAGTGCAACTGCAACAAAATAGATCTTCAGCCAGGGTAGCGGGTCAAGCGTTGTACTGGTCCGCGGCCCCGAGGTGAGCACAAGGAATGGGCCTTTTTAGTCAGTAACAGCCTTATTACAAAATGTGGTTTCTAATTAGTCTAGGACTAAACCATCGAGCCAGCTTTTGTATTTCAATAGAAAGTAGGTGACAATAAGATTCGAAATACAAAACCTGACTCAATGGTTTAAACCTAGTCTAAAGATAAATCTTGTTTTATAATAAGAGGGTAAGAGTCTGCCATTCCCTCTTGCCCCAAACTGGGCAAAAAATTAATTTAACGATATATAACATAAAAAAAAAGTGTGCGTAAGAGGCAGGAATGATTTAGATAAGTATTTTGAATCTGAATAAGGATTATGAATAAAATTATATCAGTTGGGATACGATTTTAGATATGGTTTTATTTCGGACTAGCTACTATCGCGCTTATTCACCCGCTGCACAGCTCCATTTAATCGGAGCGTGTTGTTTTATAGCCTATAGCACTCAGGAACACTGTAGCTATCTATCAGTGAAAGAATTTTGGCAATTCGACCAGCGGTCCCAAAGATTACCCCCTACATATAAACTTACAAACTTACAAATTTTACCTCTTTATAATAATAGTGTAGAAGTATAGATTACCCCCATAAAAAATTACGTGCTATGTTCCGATTTACAATGCTTATAAAAAACTCATAGAAAAGTATCGTTTTTGAAATTTCGTTAAAAGTACCTACTTATTTATGACTAGAAAGATACTACCGTGTTATGGCAATAGAGTCAATGAGGATCCCTTACGAGTCACCCTCGTATGGGTGGCCATTTTTGACAAAAATCACGGCGGATTTATTTACAATGCATCACCTACTTTATACTCGTTATGTTTATTTTTAGAAAGTCTGAATAGATAGTGGATATTTAAATCAGATCAGTGATAGAAATCAAAAACAAGCCTAATTTGCATTGTATTTTCAATATGGTGAATAGCCTATGCCTAAATAATGAATGACTTAAGTTTGGTTAAATGTGGGCTTAGGTTTGAGCCTAGCTTCGGCACGAATCTGACTCCACCGGAGTGATATCAAGGCCTCACAGAAACCTAGTGTGAAACAACCACAGCGTTGTGTTTCGCTGTGTGAGTGAAGTTACCGGAGGACCAATCCTTCCCCTCTCCATGTACTTTCCCAATCCATACATTTCCGAAGCACTTACAAACGGCCGGCAACGCACTCGTAACTCATCTGGTGTCCGTCCGCTCATATGACTATCACATTTAAAAAAAAGAGACCGCACTTTAAAAGGCTCAGATTAATCAGAGACTGCAGTTCGTCGGTCTTAGTTAAAATTGTTTCCTCAATCCCCAATCTCCAAATCCACAAAAGGTCGACACCGCACTCGTAACTCCTCCGTTGAGGCGGTGTCGATTGCTTAACATCAGGAATTCTCTCGTTTGCTGTCCATCATATAATATAAAAAAAACTATCGACTATACTCGGAATTTTAATTCCATTCCAGATTCCACGTACGAAATAGTGACGTTGCGAAATTATTCGATACGGAAATCGAATATTTCTGAATCGATTCCTCTCGTTTATAAATTTACTCTCGTAAACTAAGTTTATCAGGAAATAAAATATTTCTGAGCTGATAATTTAGTTTTGGCAATTAAGTAACGATCTGAGACTTTTGTAATTGTGTGTGAAATTAATAAAAAATGTGATCATGAAGGAACATGACAAATAAAACAGACATTTTATAAATTGTCGCCGTCATCGCTATCGCTATCGCTGTTATTTTCTGTAACATTTGTTATGAAGTGTGTCTGTGATATTTATTGTCGATTAACATATCTAGCTTACTAATTTTTTCCTCTTCTTTGACAACATGGGATACGCATTTACACCATTCGGTAGCCGTAATTTTTTGAATGCCTTCCTGAAACTGATTCACTGATTGTTTACCGATTTTTGTGTTCTACACTGGTGGTATCATTATTTTACAAAATGACAGTGGTCAATGTCAAATCAGGAATCGAATTAAAATTCTGATTATAAGTCATTGGATTGTGGATATATCTACATGCTAAAAATATAATACAGTGAGAATTTTTTTCTATGTCTATATTTCCAGTTTGCATCTTGTTTATCTGAAATCTGAAAAGTTATTTATTGACAGTGAAGTATTGCTCCGATAAATTCGCGCCAATATTGAACAGATATCCGATTTCCATACGTCCGTCAAAATTTATTTTTTAATTCGCGCTTTTCAAAGCTCCAATCTTCGGTCATACAGCCAATTATCAAACTTCACTATTGTTGGTTAATTAACATTGCAGGCGTAACTGATTCATTGTGTTACCATGTGCGCTTATGATGTACATAAATTATTATTCTTTTTAGTAATGGGATGTCCTTTTTAATTTAGCCATGTTATTTCCTGTTTGATTGTTTTGAGTAATGAGTTTTTTCGTGTTAATGTCCCAGGGACGGGACATTGGTGTCAATGTCAAATTATCATGACGTTTGTGGATTTTCTGTTAGATTTGTTAGGGGTGAAGACTCATTTAATGATTATACACTATGTTTCACTCACACCGCGAAACACAGGTAGTTGTTTCACGCCGGTTTTGTATCAGTATCAGTAGTCTGCCCATTCGTGCCGAATCATGGCTCTCCTACACTTAAGATATATCTTCAACATCTAAATTATTCTATTTATCTTCGTCCTATACCTTGATGTACAGTTCTACCATACTAGTATTGAGAACTTCGTGATCGATAAACTCCAAAAGTATTGCTTTGCAGTGACGGCAGAAAACACATTTTTGTCACAGCTCTTCTGTTTTCTAAGGGTGTCGTAAGCGTCTCTACAATAAGACTACACATTAAAAAAACCGCACCAGAGCCCCCCTTATAAACGTAAACAAAAAACTGCGTCACATAAGAAATGAATTCCTCTGTTGAACTCATCCGCCCTCGACCTAGAGTAGGAGAAGCTTCAGTCAGTAAGAGCCTGACACTCCCTCTCGCCTCACCCTGGGCGAGAGAAGTCATTAGATGATTTTCCACACACAGTTAAAGTTTTAGTTTAACTTGATTGATTGTATAGTTTTGCTTCGACTGCGAGATTGATGCAGTCAACTACGAATTGCAAGAGAGGCGATTTTAGCAAACCCTGTTCAGAAGAGACACAGGACAGTCTAAAAATAAAAGTACCTAAAGTACTTTGCCTAATCTAGGGTTTAAACTAGAAGAAATTCCTGATCGAGTAAAAAATAGATGACCTCAATGTTCCGATAAACTTTCTTTGTAAATTAGCTTGAAGATTCAATCTTGTAAACATAAAGTCAATGTCTCGAGAGATTTTTAACGGTTTTTAGAACGTGACAGGCCTCCGGAACTAAATATCTGTTCCAATGATTTGTCAACAGTTTTAGAAGATTCAATATGCTGCGGATATTATAAGAAAGCAGCGTACATTTTTCAGCCTTTTTTCAAATCAGCCACGATATTTAATTTTCTGTAAGTACTAATATTATAAAGAGGTAAAATTTGTAAGTTTGTATATAGAGAGATCTTTGGAGCTGCTAGTCGGTTGAAATTCCAAAATTCTTTTACTGATAAATAGGTACAATGTTTCTGAGTGCTTTAAGGCTATAAATTATACTTGATTTGCGTATTTTTGTCGAGCTATTGTTTTAAACGCTGCAGTTTTACTTACTTTTGTAAAAGTGAGAAGCCGCGGGCGAAGCTAGTCTGAAATAAAATAACAGTTTTTGATACCTCCCTATTATGATTTTCTTGTAAACGAATGTGGCTGATTGTTCATACACTTTTCGTTTCATATGTGGTACATACAACACCGAAATTGTTAAATAGGCCATTAATTGAATAGAAATATAAGTGATTTTTGTATGTTATAAGTCGACAAATGAGAAGACGGATTACCTGATGGTAAGCAATTGGTGCCGCTTTGGACACTCGAAATACCAAAGGAGTACAAGTGCGTTTGTAGGTTTGTAGGGATTTGAGGATTGGGCCTACCTCCCTCACACGACAAAACACGAAGGAAATGTTGCTTTATCTACGCCGGTTCTTTGTGGGACCGTGGTATCACTCCGGCCGAGAATTCCCATTCGTGCCGAAGCATGGCTCTCCCACACTTAAAACAACAGTGATAGTGTGGTATACATACGATACCTAGAGTTCGTATGTGATATTACGACACACCATCTTGCTTTAAAATGCACTTTGTTTGCCTTGTGGCTTCCGAGACCGCGGAGACGTGTAGATAAGGTATATAATGTTAGAAACGTCATGTTTTGTTTACTTTGCCGTTGCATTCAGGTGGAAGCTCTGTGCATATCTGCGGACATTAACGAGTTACTTACGTATACTGGCATGAACTCCAGCCTTTGTCTCAAGTGTTTAGTATAGGTAACGAAGGTATAAGGATATAGAAATAAAATGATCCCACTACTTCTTTGCCCTTTTTTTCTATGTAACTTTAACTTAAAAAAGGGAGTAACTTCTCCCGTTTTCTCAACATTTCCTTTCACTGCTCTTCTCCTATAAATTCTAGCGTGTTGAAAAGTATCATACAACCTGCCCAGGAGTATAAAGAATAATTGCACTAAGTTTTATTAAAATCTGTCTAGTTGTTTTTGTTTCTATAAGGAACATACAGACAGACACAGACTTAAATTTTACTGATTGCATTTTTGGCACCAGTATCGATCACTTATCATCCCGTGGTAGTTATTTTGAAAATATATTTAGTGTACAGAATTGACCTCTCTACAGATTTATTATAAGTATAGATAAAGTTTTTCGTGTGGGTTTTGTTAGTGTGATTGTAAATACAATGAAACCTTCAAATCTCAAATAAGAATTTACATTAATAGTACCTATATTGTGAATCAAGCAAGTCTTAAGTAAGTACTAAAGTGTTTTTTAGTTCCCTCTTAATCACTTCATGTTGTAAACAAATAAAACATTCTAGGTAAACACGTTTTCTTATCGGCTAAACAATAAGCCATCACTTATCGGTAGTTGTTTTTGTAAATAGTCGATGTGAAAATATATAAGACTTTAAACAAAAAGAAAGAAGTTTGTTCTAAAGATACCTACACGAAGCGCGTACACGTCAGTTCTTTAGGTAACTAGGTACAAATAAATTGACATGTTAATACTTATACATTTATGTACTTTTATGTATGAAAGTACCTCTCCTTTATTCGATTTTGATCGGCAAACGAGCAGACGGATTACCTGATGGTAAGCAATCAGCGCCACCCATGGACACTCGCAACGGTGGAGTTACGAGTGCGTTGCCGACCTTTTAGGGATTAGGGATTTGGAGATTTAGGGATTGGGGGAGGGGAAGGATTGGGCCTCCGGTAACTTCACTCAAGCGGCGAAACACAACGCTGTGGTTATATCACGCCGGTTTTCTGTGAGGCCGTGGTATCACTCCGGTCGAGCCGACCCATTCGTGCCGAAGCATGGCTCTCCCACACTTAAAATTGGTACTCGATTTTGATGTGATAAATAAAGTCCCCGAAACTGCTTCACAAAGTCGATTCTTCCATACTTTTCATTGTTTTATTTCAAACTAGCTGACCCGACATACTTCGTCCTTTGTGAAAACGTTTGTATGTGAAAAAGAAAAGGGCTGTTTTTAGGGTTTTACTGGCAATTATTCGATTTTTTCTCGCCGTAAGAACCATTCTTGGACTTCAACGAACAGCTTAAAAAAAGAATTCACCAAATTGGTCCACGCGTTGTAGAGTTATGCGCCTACCAACACATTTTGCGATTCATTTTTATGTTATAGAAGATATTGCCATACAATTGCTGATTTGATCATTAAAAACAGATTTCGGAATCAATAATCTTTTTAATATGAATATAATAGGTTTAATTTACGGGTCCATTATTAAAGTATTATTTCTAAAAATATGTATCTTGCGCTTAAGTATTTAAGGCGATTATTAATATTTTCCTTCCTGTTACCTTTATGCTACTAATCAATTTATATTTTCCAATGGTATTAAATTACATAAATATTTAATTTATCAAATAAACGATGAGAATGTTCTTTTTGTATTTTGAATTTGAATCTATCGATTGAGTAGTTTCCTAGGTCCAAAATAAATTAATTCGACATTTCAATACAATACAATATAAACTGTTTATACAGAATCTTATGTGTTACATGTTTTAGCGTGTGAAATAAAGTTTATTTTCTTTCTTTCATTCAGAAATAACTAAACTTTCATTCATCGATCGATCGATACACTTAATTTTAGATATTTTTTAGCTAATAAAAAGAAAATAAGTACCTAAGCTCTTTGACGTAAAAATACTATGACTCAGTATTTCATTTAAAACTTAAAAGTACAGTTTTTGACATTTAGATAAAAGTATTGAATTTGACTAGTTGGAAACTACCGTATTAGTTATCATATTAGTCAAAATAAAATGTACCTACTATTTTTGAAAATTCCCAGGAGCCTGAAATGATATGGTCCTTATTAAATATGTTTATAGAATTATTATCAAAAAATGTGACAAATAACCCTCGAAAAGGCTAGTTTTCTGTTTCTATCTGTCAACCTTCGGGGGAAGGCGGGGTTGCGGGGTAAGCGCAATGAGGCACCGCGACCTCGGCCCAGAGCAGGACAAGGAACAGGGGGGTTTTTAGTCAGTAAGAGTCTGACACTCCCTCCCGCCCGGCCCTGAGCGGGAGAAGTCATTTGATGATTTTCCCCTCACAAAAAAACCCTTCGGGGGAAGCGCGGATTTTATCCCAGAATTCTTTGCACATGGGTCGCACTTGTGGGGATTTGTCATATGACCATGAAATTAGAACTTTTGGCAATTAATTGTAGCCTTTATCTACTTTATCTCAAGTCTTCTAGTCTAGTGTGGGAGAAGTACATCTTAGTTTGTTCACTCAGAAAAAATTTCGTTTTTCTTACTTCTAAATTATTCGGTAAATTAACCTTACATTTTCTTCCGCAGTGCTGGGCATCAAACGTCTCAAACAGATCGAGACGATGTTCATATCCCGACGGCTCCAGGCGCCAAGGACAAATGGTCTTAGCGTGGAGACCTTGGTCGATATGCTCCTGGTCCTGTACGACGAATGCTGTAACAGCAGTCTTCGAAGGGAGAAGGCGATAGCAGATTTTATATCTTATGGTGAGTTGTAAATGATTTATTTATTTTATGTTAAAACGGAGTAGATCCAATTAAATTAACAACAAAAACAAAAAAAAAAATAAGTTCCTCTTGCAGTACTTATCTCGTGCACTCCAATTCCTTCCATCCATCTGCAAACAAATCAATGGTTGGATTGGATTCCGTGAGATCGTTAAGTGAGATTAGAGTTCGAGGACTTGGTGACTTAGCACACACTTACTTCGCTCATGATAATGTTGGATGAAGGACCCACTCTTCCGGTCGTTCGGCGTTAAAAAAATATACGCAAGCATATTCTAAAATATATTTGGGAAAACGACCACCGGGATTACCTGATGGTAAGCAACCAGCGCCGCCCATGAACATCCGTAAAAACGGTGAAGTACGAATGAGTCGCCGACCTTTTTGGGGTACGGGTTTTGAGGATTTAAGGATTGGGGGAAGGGAAGGATAGGCCTCCGGTCACCTCACTCACACGGCGAAACACAAATGTATGTATTTTTAAAATTCAACGCACTTTTCTGTTGCCTTTTGGTGTTGTGAGTTTCCGTGGGTGGCGCTGATCGCTTACCATCAATAAGGTATTCGTCTGTTCGTTTACACCTATTTCATAAAAGACACAAGACAATATATGCCTGCTAAAATGCCACCCTCATTAAACCACCCTAACTTTAATCCAACTGCACAAGAAGGGTTGTGTTTTAACGATGTGTTGCCAACCGAATAATCAAACGGGAAACCATTTAATGACTTCGCTCATGTTTAGAGTTTAGTGTTTTTGCGATTTCCACACGTAAAAAAAAACAGTTTTGTAATCGAAAAAGTTTCCATCGAGGAGGAAAAATATCCCCCTCAATGCTTGTGTAAATTATGGAATGAAACCTTATTATTTTTAAGACGTTGCTATGTTGATTTAATAAATAGCGTAGTAAATCTCCTATTGACCCAATTTCAGGGCGTTTCAATTGAAGTGTTCAATTGATGTGCCCACTCTGTATAGATGATATTATTTTTTTAATTAGATCGTAAGCCGATATGAATGTTGGTATATCAAAAGAAAGTCGTAATAATGCTTTTCTTTTATCTTAGCTTTGAAAGAAATTGCGTGGGTGAGAGAGCCCTCACAGTGGTTTCTGTACACGTATTCAATACGACTTAACTAATTAAAAAAGAAATGAGATTTTATAAAGAAAAAATATCTGCTTGATGAGATATTAATATACCTACTATGTTAATTAACGCGGAAAGGAGCGTTAGCTTGATTCCCTGATAGAAGGCAAATTATTATTGAACTGGTCTTCCGATACATGGAATGCTTTACATAACCAAAGAAGAGTGTAGGTTTGTTAAGGTTCTGTTACACTATATATCTGTTTTTATTATTTACTAGCTCGCACTCTATACTCTTTGAGTAAAAAGTCAAGAAGTTATTATGATTTCTTCCTTGATTGAGTTGTCGTCTTCTGATCGTATTATATACAGTTGAAGAAGTTTGTTCAGTTGAATATTGAGTTTTTTGATTAAGAAATTTGTTGGTAATAAGTTATGTTATTAACAGGGAACTTTCTTTCAAACTGGTTATAGGATTCAATGTATTAGCATTTATTTGGCCCTATTTTTACTGAAGAATTTACCTATATTCGCTGGTCGTTACCAGAGGTTTCACTCACGTCCCGTATTAGGAGAAAAATTGTATCCCTTATCATCAACCTCCAAACAATTTCCAGACTATCAACAAAAGAAATCGCTCTATCGTCTCGTGGAAGTAAGACAATCAAACTTTTCCATTTACATAACATTAATGTCCTGTTTCGTCACCATCATAAAGAAGGTACCCATAACTTTATGAGGAAGATAATTCATAGAAATTTCGTTCTACATTTAGAAAGAAGAAAGAAAGAAAGAAAAAGTATTTATTCGCGTCTAGGACTAGGACGTACATAAGACACAGAACGAACAAGTGTATAGACATAAAAAAAAACAAAAAAGACATTTATTTTACATTTACATAGTAATTATTGTGAATTATGATTACTTCTCCTATGTTGTGTGTAAACTTATATTAGGCATCTCATTTCACTGCTGCCAAAGTTTTATTGAGTTTTTGATCGTGAGATTCTCGAAAATAAGTTAATTTTGATCAATCACAGTGCTTTGAAGTTTCAGACTGGAACTGGAAGTATATACAAGTTCGGTCTCTTATTTGGAAGGGATAAAATCATTATAGGGACAAAATATTAATACACCGACTAGCTTCTGTAAGCCGTATACCAGAGATAGAAGCCTATTTGTCCAAATTATGATCCATCTCTGTGACAAGTTTCATTCAAATTCGTCCAATAGTTTTAACTTGAAAGAGTAACAAACATAAAACCACCCATACCTTCGCGGGTCTGCGGACGGCGAGTAAGGGAAGTTCGCCGCCCGACCAGAACCAGACCCGAGCGTACGGCGCGTAGCGATCCGCGCGCGCCTTAAAGAGCCAATAGACCATCACAGGCGGGGCCCTATAGGACTGATGTTCAGCCGGGGTTTTTGCAGAGCAGGAGAAGGAACGGGAGGGTTTTTAGTGATTAAGAGTCTGTTACTCCCTTCCGCCCGACCGTGGGCGGGAAAGTCATTTGATGATTTTCCTCTCACAAAAAAACCCATTCTCCTTAATTTCCGCTTTTATATTATTGGCATACAACCGGTATCTGAAAGGCCGACCAATGTTAAAATCAATTTAATCTCATGTCAAGTCATCTGATTGGTTGTTGATAATTAAGTCAACCAATCAGATGAAGGGCTTTCGGAAACCGGGCATTATTGAGTCTTTCAAAATACCTGAATTGATATCTGTTTTTTACAGACCCTCCATACAGCTTTTGTTAAAAATCTAACTCAATCCGGAAAAGGATTAAGGCCGGATATTAAATACAGCCGTTAGTTTATTTTTTTTTGTGAGAAGAAATTAAGGAAATCGTCAAATGACTTATCTCGCCCAGGAAACGGAAGGAATGTCAGACTCTTAAGACTAAAAACCCCTGTTCCATCTGCTCCAAGCCGAGCCGGGTTACCTTATTACGCTTGACTCGCAGCCCCTCCTGAACATCGGCCCTGTTTAGCCCCGTCTGTGGTGGTCTATTTCTTTTTCGTCTGGTCCCGGTCGGGCGGCGAGCTACTTGCTCGTCGCCGCCATTTTCCGAAATGGTGAACTTCTAATTAGACCACCTTCTCATCTGCTACACTTCAATAGTCTAACTAAATGTTTCGGTACAAAACAAAACGTGACTAGACTATGTTATGACAGATTTGCTTTCAATATCATTTCTTGAGAATCGGCAGTAATATGTCTTCCTGGAAATTTGGATCAAGTTAAACTCTCAATATTTCTTCCCTAGTAACTATCACCACACAAAATAAATCTGGCAGAAATCTTTATATCTACATCATATTGATGTTACATTACTTGAACAAATAATACGTGATCTATCCCCGATTCGTCGGAATTGCAAACAAACAAAGCTGCTAACAATGAGATCTAAGATTCGTGACAATAGCCGTAACATCGCGCTTTTGTGTCTCGAATGGTAGGCAGTGGTGTACCTCCTACTTATAATATAAACACAAACGTTTATTAGTACAGGTTTAAGGATTTAAATGAAATCAGGCACAAAGATAGAAGTTATAGTCTGGAATAAAACACGGTATTTTAATTCTCTGTTTCTGCTAGAGAATTTGCTGGCGAAAGTAGTCTTTAATACAAGCAGGGTTTTCCAAGTTGCAGGTCTGCTTCTCTGCGAGAGAAAAGACCATTGCTCAGTAGCAGGCTGGTGATGATGGTGATTCAAAGTGATCTTTAATTATCATCTGTTAGTTACATTATATTTACAGCCCGTTACTGGATTTAAGGCTTCTTCTGTATAATATCGTGTAAGTAGTAATCCACTCTTGCCAGGAGGGTTGAATATCGCAATCGAAATGTTTCTGGTTTATCAGAGAGAGCTGTTGTGCGATACTTTGCTGACATCACATACTCAGTCGGTCGTCAGTAATAAAGAGCTTGCTTATTACGAAAGGATAATACAAATCAGTAGCCAAAATAAGCTAGTGACCCACCTCGGCTTCGGACGTGTGCAGCGCTGACACCAACTTCTCCAAAATTTAATAGATATTACTATACATATAAACATTCCTATACAATCACTCTATATATTTAAAATAAGGCATCAAAGTCCGTCGTGTAATTTTAAAGAAGCATACATAGGGATATAGGGACAAAGATAGCTACTTTGTTTTATACAATGTACTGATGCACCCCTCAACCTGTTGATATAATTTGAAACTTCTAACAATCGCACTTGATCTTATACAAACAATGAGGCACTTGCTACTTAATCCTTAGCGAAGTGCTACTTAAACTCAATAAATACTTTTTTAATTATCCCAAATCCTCTCTGTAAATAGATTCGAAATTAACGTATTTGTCGAGCAAAGATTACCCTCTAATTGCTCCCAATAAGCTCCAGAGCCTATCGATATAATCCGATAATCGATTTGAACGGGAAACTAAGAAGATTGGCCTATTAATATCACGCTTCTACGGCGCATCCTCAGTTGCTATCGATTGATCAAAATTATATTTAGATGAGGAGCATCTTAGACGCTATTTCGCTTTGGTATCGCGGACAGTCGATACACGGTAGTCACATCTCTATCACCTTACATGGAGAGAGGACGCCATCACTTTTCCTTTTTCAAATTTCTTTTGAATTATTACAAGTAAGAAATATTTGTCTATTTTCTTTCTTAGAATAGTTTTAAAATTGTTTTTTCCTTTTATAGTTTTACGATTATAAAGGTAAGTTTTATCGATATTAGTGATGGGCGTAGATGTGTTTTGCAAAAGTTGTTGGTTTTTTTTTTTTGTGGTATTTCGCGAGTTAGATATATAGGTGATTAGATTTTAATGTGTGGATTTATATAGATATGCGTGAATAATGATACGATTTGTCTTTTTGGGTCATGATTAATGGTTGGTTTTGCTAAGGAAATAAATAGTACCTATTACCATTTGATTTATTTCTTAAATCAATAGTACAGTCTTGCGGGTTCTCAGTGGAGATCTGAAAACGCGTTTTATTCTAGAACCAGGATTTCGTTTATTGTATGTGGAAACTTAAATTTCTGAGAACTTATGTATGTGGGCGTTTCCACGAGTTACTTAAGACGAGGGCGCGGGGTAGAAAAAGGTGTGGCAACTTTTTCTTATAGGGATTGAAATTTTTACCCCTCATTATTACTGCTTTCTTTATAATTTAAATTTCAACTGTTTTAAAATCTCTATAAGGCTTCCCAAGCATTTTTTATTATTTCGTGAATCCTTTGTTTATCCCCAAGAGGGCGGTCCCCTTCGCTCTCTACTTTGTCTATGGTGCAGCGTGGTAGTATAAATGTCGATCAAATAGATTTAGTTAAAGAGTCCGCACTCTAGAATCGATGGCGACGCACGTATTTGTTTCGTATCGAAAACTTTAGAACTTTTTTGTGAGATATAAGTTAAAGATGGTGGGCGGAGAGTTGAAATTTTCTACTTTTAAGTATATCTTTTTTTAGAGATACGTAATATTTCTCACGACTTTTGAATAAACCCTTTAAGATCCTTAAGCATTTTGCTCATGTCTTGGAAATGACTCAGAGTAAAATCCTTAATTGATAATTCGATTTTTTCTTTTTTCAATATTGATGTCTGGTACAGTTTTGTTATTTATTTAATCTAACTACCGTTCGCGCACATATTGTTCTTTCATTGTGTCTCTAATTACCACTATTGAAAGGTTATAATCTACCTATACCAATTTTTACTTTATTATTTTTCAGACAATATCATTTCAAAGCAAAACAAAGATCCTACTTGCTCAACTGTTTTCAATTCAAAGAAAAAATATTTAATATAAGGGGTTGTCCATTAATCACGTGAGGCTTGAAAAGGGGGGGGGGGGTTTGATAAAAATCACGAAAATAACACAAGGGGGGAGGGGGGGTGTAGTAAGATATCTCGTGCATTTATTTTTTCGTCAAACGCGCGATTTTTAAACAAATATTAAGCGGCACGGGCGGCGCGGCGTGTAGTGACCTTGACTCGCCGTTGCCAGGCAACGAACGGAGGCCTCACGCGTACGCGCCGCCGGCCGCCCGGCTCGGCATGCAGTCGCCAGTTATTCTGTTGTTTTGGCGCCGAATACATGCGTAAACCGTTACCTTGTACGTTTTTCATTAAAACAATGTTTAAAGTAGGTGATTTGTATAAAGACCTTTTCGCCGAGTATAAGAAAGGAAAAAAACCTAGTATTGCTCAGAAAGAATTTAATGAGTTGTGGGCTAATGCAAAACAAAAATATTCTACAAAAGAAGAATTTGTGAAGTGGGCGAATGATCTTCTAGCAGATTACCGCCGAAAGCACCAAGCAAAGAAGTCTTCCAATATTCTCTATTATTGTTCTAATTCTAAAAAGGTAAGTTATAACTAGTATTTGTCTGTTTAAGGGCATTGTCCTAATAAATACGACTTCATCTATAGTTTATTTGTAATATAAATGTTATTGTTAAATCTTCCAACATTTTTTTATTAGTTTTAGCTAGTCATTGGCGCACAGGAATGTTATATTCCATTCCATAAAAAATGCTGAATAAACATCACGTGCCCCATATGCCTACATATCACCGATCGCTGAACTCTAAAAAAGTAGGTGTATTGAGCTGAACCTTGTCTATGAGGCATGGGTTTATCTAACGTAAAAAATAAAATAAACCGTGTCGTGGTGGTTATAAAGGAGAAGGTTATATTACTATTGTTACACATTTTGCGCTTGTTTATATATTAATATCTTGTCGCTTTGTGAAAACTTACAACTATTTATGGATCATACTATTGAACTGAAAAATTTGCCTACTAATGAACGGTGGCAGTATGATATTGCATACCTACATATAATTACATATACATTATTCTAGTGAAAATGCGAGGATTGTGCATGGTTTGTGTGCCGTTTTGAACTCTTATTTTAATAAAAGAAAAAATAAAATTACTGGAGATGGTTAATTTATTTGCACGATATTATCTTTACTTACACGATAATAATTAAATTATTAATTTTCAGAATGCCAGCGAAAAAATTTCTGTTTTGCCAATGACATCCAATGAGCCAAATCTACCTGTAAAACTTCCTACGCCTGCGATATGCGTCTCACCGATCGGTACCGAAATTACTGACGAAGGCAATGTCACTACTAAAAGCACCTCAACAGGTAATAAACATCCCAAATTCGCAATATCAATAATTATTTAAGCAGTCGATTATTTATTTCTACTAATCTTATAAATGCGAAAGTCTGTCTGTCTGGTACGCTTTCGACGTCAAAATTTTTTTTCCATTTTTTTTTAATGTGCGAATTTTTTCCAAGCGTGATATAACCTGAAGTCCACGCGAACGAAGTCGCGGGCGAAAAGCTAGTATTATTATAATTCTAAATAAGAATTAGTAATTTAGTTTATAATCATAATTTCAATGTTTTCTTGTTGTTTAAATGTCGGTCATTCCAGGTGCTCGGAAACGTAAAGGTGAAGATTTGGATTGTAGCGACGAGAATTCACCCGATACACCAAGTGCAAGCAGCTCTATACTGCAGCCTGTACGTGCTACTCCTGCACAGGATAAGTTGAAGAATCAGATTTCTCTTCTTCAAATGGAATTTGACTTAGCTGTTCGTCGTAGGGATTTTCTGGGCGCCACTGAAAATGAGACACGTGATGTGACGAAACTGCGCCGAGAAATTGATAAATGCACAAAAGAACTACGGAAGAAGGAGCAACATATGCGTCACTCCCAGTCACATAGATTATCAATAAAATCAAAGATTAAACTTGCTTGCAATCAGAGTCCGATTGTAGCTGATCTTCTTAAGGCGCGTTCTGCCCCAGGTCGCCCACGCCTAGAAGAGCAACAACCGCAATTGCTAAAAACTATCGTCGATTTGGCTATGTTTGGTGCTTCTGCGGAGGAACGGCGTCGCTCAGAAATTGTTCGCAGTTGCCGAACACTTACTGACCTCCATGAAAAGCTAAAGGAGCACGGATTTCAAATTTCGAAGAGTGGCACGTATCTTCGATTGCTCCCTAGAAATTATACCACCTTGGAGGGTAAAAGGCATGTAGTCACTGTGCCTGTCAAATTGAGTCGCCCTGAGGCAGATCACCATAAGGCTCATGTCGATCAACATTTTTGTGTCGCCACAATAAGATCCTTGGAAACGCTGGCATCTATTCTCGGGCCAAAACAAGTGTTTTTTTTGTCCCAAGATGATAAAGCCCGGGTACCTATAGGTTTGACAGCGGCAAATAAACAAGCTCCTCTCCTGATGCATGTCGAATATCGTGTCTCATTGCCTGATCATGATTGGGTGATTGCTGCAAGGCACAAATTGATCCCTAGTGTATATGCTGGGTGCATCATAAAAGGAAATGATATGGGCCGTGCTGAAGCAGTTACTTATTCAGGGCCAACATACGTGGCGATTAGAAGTGGCAAACATTCCTCTTCGACAGCTTCTACTCATGCTGTGGACTTCAATAAGCTTGCTACACTTAACAATTTCAAGGAAATTATGCGGGATGAAGAAGGACGCCTGAAACCAGTTGTTCTGATTTCATCTGATGGAGGACCCGATGAAAACCCGAGATATCCAAAGGTTATTTCCCATGCCATACACCACTTTGTCAAGCATGATTTAGATGCAATATTCATTTTTACGAATGCACCCGGCAGAAGCGCATTCAACCGTGTTGAGAGAAGAATGGCGCCTTTAAGCCGGGAATTATCTGGACTCATACTTCCGCATGATTTTTATGGAACTCATTTGGATGAGCAAGGGAGAACAAAAGATCATGATCTCGAAAAAATGAACTTTCAGAAGGCTGGAGAAGTTCTCACAGAAGTATGGACTAATATGGTTATCGACGGCCATGACGTCGTAGCAGAGTACCTCGAGCCCGATGACACTGCTGAAAGCTTTGTTCCAGACTTGCCTTCTCTGCAGTGGTATAGCGAGCATGTGCGAGAGAGCCAATATTTGCTTCAGGTACATACTAAAATTTCATTTATTATTATTTTATCATTTACTTTTCTTATCTAATATGATTAAGATATCTTCATATCATTACCAGGTGGTGAAGTGTGATGACCGCGCTTGCTGTGGAGATCTGCGGAGTTCTCTTCGATCTATTCTTCCTGCACGCTTCGTTATACCTCCTTACCCAATTTTGCAGTCGTCTAGTGGTCTATGTATTCCGAAGCCTCAAGAGCATGATGGCAAGACGTTTGCTACATTTCTTCTGCGTCGGTCTCTTGGAATCACCCCAACGCATGAGGGCTTTAACAAATTGCCGTATGACCTGTATTGCCCTAGTCTGCAAAAGGATCGTCGGCAACTTATGGAAAGGACGTGCCAGTGGTGTGGATTGTACTTCTGTACAAAGAAGAAAGTTAAGGAACATGTAAATTCATGTCACAAGCAACCTAATCCGAGCAGTAATAGTGTAGAGATGCACAATGTTCGTCCTTCACGCATCCTCACGCGACGATCAATCGGCAGATCGAAAGAAATTCTCTGCGTTGTGCGTGAAAATGATGACACCGAGTGGCTTGATGAAACCGATGTTGATTTTCAACAAAGCACAGTGCCAACAACTGACCTGCAAGATGCTTATCCAGTTGTTAGTGTTGAAGAATGTCTTGCTAATCCATGGTCCGAGGACAATATACATTAAATATATTCATGTACTAGAACAATACATGTTTTTCCTATGATTACACTCTTCGTTTATTATTATTGTTATGGCAATAAAAAAAAACTTTCAACCTGGTGTAGATATTTTTATTATGGTCCTTAATTTCAGAATAAAATAAGATTATAGTTTATACCCGTATTTAAATTAAGATAATATTCATAAAATTTTAAGATTCTTTGTAGGTACTAAAAATACACGTGATGTTGAGAAGGGGGAGGGGGGGTGGTCTTAAACCTCACTACGTATCACCAATGGGGGAGGGGGGGTTAAAAAATGCTAAAAAAAGATCACGTGATTAATGGATAACCCCTAATAGTAATAATTTATAATATGTTTTGTTAACAGTAAAACCGGTGGCGACTGCGCTGAAAAGGCTGCGGTTGTCGCGAGATGACTTCGAGCTGGTGAAGGTGATTGGGCGTGGCGCCTTCGGGGAAGTATGCGTCGTCAGGGCCTCGTTTATGCAGGTGGGGTGGATTACGCTTTGTTTTTTTTTTAGTTTTCTTCAAGAGGCCTTGAAGCGGGCTATGAAATTCATGTAATGCCTTATTATTGTATGGTTTATTATCATCATTCATTAGTGATGGCTTTCTTACCTTGTTTAAATTCGTTAGTTAATAGTAATAATAATCTTTAGTTCTTCAAGAAACTACCTATACTTATTTTGAATAAAAAGTTGAAGTCTTTATAATTTCGTTTTTGAAATGCCGGACAAAGCGCTTGTTACTTCGACTCCTGTTGTTATAAGCGATCTGCGCTACTCATGAACACCCGTCCATAGTTAGCAAATACCATTAGAGGATTCTTCTGCTCCAAGAATGATCTTAAATAGATCTGTAGGCCGCTATAAAAGGTGTACAGCTCCATCCCTCTTTCTCACCCGGAAGGTTGACAATTTAACACGTCATGGTAGGCCCTCAGAAAGCGAAACTTACTACATTACTCACTCTTTTTGAGACTTAAAATTAAATTTCAACACATTTCAATGTTCAATTTTCTTTGTTATGTCATAGACTCATATTGAGACTTAAAATTAAATTATTATTTTTTGTTTAACTTTCCTTTGTTTTGTCGCAGGGCACCGATGGTGGTAATATAACTAGTTCGAGTACTGGGACCACGGGCACTGGAGAACGTGTATACGCCATGAAAATACTCAACAAGTGGGAGATGCTCAAGGTGATATATTTTTTTTTTATATATTATTATCGGCAGACGAGCAGACGGAATACCTGATGGTAAGTAATCAACGCCGCCCATGGACACCCGCAACGGAGGAGTTACGAGTGCGTTGCCGACCTTTTAGGGATTTGGAGATTTAGGGATTGAGGAGAGATTGGGGGTGGGGAAGGAATGGGCCTCCGGTAACCTCACTCACACGGCGAAACACAACGCTGTGGTTGTTTCACGCCGGTTTTCTGTGAGGCCGTGGTATCACTCCGGTCGAGCCGACCCATTCGTGCCGAAGCATGGCTCTCCCACACTTAAAACTTTTTATGATACTTTTACTTTTTATTATATTTTTGTATATAAAACTAGCTACTGCCGTGCTGTTTTACCCGCTGCTATTGGTCGTTGGGTGACGTTTTACAGCCTATAGCACTCAAGAGCATTGTAGCTATCTATAAGTGACAGAATTTTAAATTAGAAGAGAACTTCGGATGATGCACCCTTATTTTTTCCTGGCCTAATCACAAGTCCTTATAGAGATATTCGCTTCCCAAAAATTCTTGGCGTTAGCTCGAAACTTCTAATCATGATCTGTACTTGTTGTTAGGGCAATCATTTTAAGTGAAACTATGATAACTGGTGAATAACTTCCATTAGGTATATGTATTTGTTTGGATTTTTTTTATATATATATTTTTATGTCTCAGAGGGCGGAGACAGCGTGTTTCCAAGAGGAGCGCGATGTTCTCGTATTTGGCGACAGACGGTGGATCACGAACCTACATTATGCCTTTCAGGATGAACACAACTTGGTAAGTATACATATAGTAAATTTATGTATAAAATCAAACTATATTGATTGGTTGAACGGTTATTTCATGAATATATTTTTTTCGAGGATGCTCGACTAGTTTCAAGCTACAACAGGGCTTATAAATTTTTTCGAGCAAATACGTCTGTTTGCCGTATATGACGAATACTTCTAACTACTTTGTATTTTGTTTGTAAGCTGTGTGCCTTGGTGTAAAATGACACTTAACGAAGCCGAAAGCCACGTATTCTACCCATTATTTGGATCATTTTTTTCTTTAAGACCATAGCTGGTACTCCACGGGTTCTCGAGATATTGAAGGTCAAAGATGCATTTTTAATTTTCTTTTTTTTTGCGCAATCGAATTCTAAGTATTATTGAAAAACTTTTACCAAACAAACATTACCTGAATTTTCGATTTTTCTAAATGAATTACACATTTGAAGTTACGAACAGTAATGTACGTAATAAATAAATGCAGACCCGCACAAAAACATCGTGCATCTCAGTAAGATTTTTATTTTACAGATTTGTTTTGTTGTTGCGAAGTAAAACGTCGACCTACGTACTTATCACAGCGTTTTAATGCTAAGCTGTGAACCTACGCACACAATGACACGAAGCCCGTTTGCTTTACATTGCGCGCAATAAATTTTTTTTTTTGATACCTTATAATAAAAGTCGTTTCCCAGTGATAATTTTAGCGTAAAGCTACTAAGTTAGAACTGCAGTATGCGTAGTTAACGGCTTCGTTAAGTGTCTTTTATCCTGTCCTGTGTATATCCTGTATATGTTATAACCAATGAAGCGTGTTTTGTATGTCTTTTGCCCGACAAAATAATGCGTTGACGCTTATAATTTAATTATATCGGTATCTTTTGTGAACCTTTTGCTAATTTAAGTCCTAAATTCTCAGTACCTGGTAATGGACTATTATTGCGGCGGCGACCTGCTGACCTTACTATCGAAGTTTGAAGACCGTCTTCCGGAGGACATGGCAAAGTTCTACATTGCTGAGATGGTGCTAGCCATACAAAGCGTGCACGAACTTAGATATGTTCATAGGTATGTGCTTTTATATGCTACATATAGCTTTGTTTATAATGTTTGATAGGTCGGCAAACGAGCGGACAGATTACCTGATGGTAAGCAATCGGCGCCGCTCAACACCAAAGGATTGCGCTGCCGCCGGCTTTTTGGGGATTAGGGATTTGGAAATTTTGGGATAGGGGAGGGATTGGGCCTCCAGTAACCTCACTCACTCTGCGAAACACAGCGCAGTGGTTGTTTCCCGCCGGTTTTCTGTAAGGCCGTGGTATCACTCTGGTCAAGCCGACCCATTCGTGCCGAAACCATGGGTCTCCCGCACTTTGGTACTTTAGTTCTAGTACGAGCTGAACCATACTGCGTTGTACTTAAGTAATGCAATCAAAACTATTTTTTATACACACAACGCTGTGGTTGTTTTACACCGGTTTGATATTTATGTAATATTTGGTGTACAATACATTATTTATTACTAATTATATTCAATTTTTCTTGTAGAGATATAAAACCGGACAACGTATTGTTAGATGCTAGCGGTCACATTCGCTTAGCAGACTTTGGTTCATGTCTGCGTTTGGGTGAAGATGGCAAAGTGCAGAGCAACGTGGCTGTCGGCACGCCTGACTATATCTCCCCGGAGATATTAAGGGTAAGATAAATATTTCTTGTTATATGTTATACTAGTTTCCGCACGCGGCTTCGCTCGCGTTGTATGTTGATAAAAGCCTATGTCCTATTCCAGAATGTATCCTATGCCTGTGCCAAATAATCTTCCATATCATTCTAGCCGTTTTTGCGTGATTGAGTAATATACCTACGTCAAAACATCGTGACTTTCGCATTTATAATAATAGTAAGACGAGAATGCCTAAAGGCATTAAGTACGCCATTCAGACAGTTTTGTGCGAAGAAGATATAAATAAATAAAAATAAAAAAAAATTGATGACTGATAAAACGGCCTGTGACTGATAAGCCCGTAACGGTTGGAACGGATTATTACTATTCAAACAAACACTTTTAAGACCAGAATTTCAAATAACCCCTTATTTTAAATTCTGGTTTTAAACGTGTTTGTACAAATTTACAATTTACTCTTGTAAACTTTTCGAGCATAGCTCGACTATTTCCCAGTTACACCGGAACTCATACACGTTGAACTTTCATTTAAATATACGTTCTTGAAATATTCTGTTACGTATATTTTTACTAAATTAATTGAAATATTTGCGATATTCATTTTACTTAAAAGTATACAGTGTATACTTAAAAGTTAAATGTATAAAAAATAAACTTATATATTTTTTTCATTTTGCAGGCAATGGAAGATGGTCAAGGGAGGTACGGTCCGGAGTGTGATTGGTGGTCGTTAGGTAAGTTTCTCCATGTTAATTTAATCTTATTTTAATAATATTTAGAATGTATGCTAGTTCACATTGAATATTTCTCTTATCTCGTGGGTGCGTTTACAAACGTACACAATTTCACATGTACACATGACACTCAGTCTTATAACAACAATTTGCGAAAAATACAAAGAGTTTTTCCATTTTGCGATACGTTCTTCACGACGCATGCGCAACCGTGCATTCATTGCATCATTCATACAACCACCAGTCATTATTTGGTCTAAGTATTCTTTCAGTTATGGCAATACCAAGCAAAATAACTATTGTAATACTCGACACATGTCTATTAATCGTTTCACTAAACTTTGCAATAATAGGGAAAATATTCCAAAGAAATACTTTACGTTACAAATACAAAAATTACACGCGTGCGGCGATAAATGCCGGCAAGAAAACCTTGACTATACGGTTGGCAGCGCAACGTGTCGCGGGGTCGATTCTCGCACGGAACAACTCTGTGTGTGATCAGCAAATTATTGTATCGAGTCTGGGTGTATAGTGCATATATAACATTACCCTCTCCGAATCCCTAACCCCCAAAAGGTCGGCAACGCACTCGTAACTCGGCTCGGTCGGATGCAGGTGTCTATGGGCAGCTCTGGTTGCTTACCATCAGGTAATCCGCCTGTTCGTTTGCCGACCTATCACATAAAAAAATGTATGTTTGTAAAGCGTACCCACATAGGAGAAAACAACAACGTATAAAATCTTCATTATAAAAAAATATATAAAAAAAATCGTCTGCTTGCGCGCGACTGTGAATTGCGGAGTGGTTCGGGAATGTTCGGACGGCTGAGAGCCGCACTGATTGGTCGACGAGTTGGAGACTGACGCATGCCGCCGCATGCGCGTTAGAAGTAGGTCGTACATCGTAAGTCTCTAAAGTGTTTCGGGTATGCTTGGGCGGCTCGGTACCGAGCAGGGATGTTATGGATATGAAATTTTGGATACGGAATGATCATTATACTGCATACGCATATAAAATTACTAACGGTAGCTCCCGGCTCGCCCGCGTGTATGTCGATCTTACACTTTTTCAAGATTTTCCTTTTTTAATTTTCTCTACGTGGTAACTTTTTCTGGACTTTCACGAATAATTCCTGACAAAAATTAGCCAAATCGGTAAAGGCATTGTTGAGTTATAAAATTACAACGAAACGTGGCATTGATTATTTTTCTATATGAAATAATTTCCTATTAACCGATAGTTTCGGATATTAAAATTTTGAAGAATTTGAAAAGTAAAATATAAACAACCAATGGGCGCGGTTTGTGTGTCGGCTGCGCCCGGCCGGCACGGCTGATCGAAAAACCTAGTCATAACTTTTCTCTAGATATTATCCGAAACTTTTATTTCGGATTCGGTTACGGTTACAGTTTCGTTACGGTTCCGGAGCTCCCTAACGTCCCTGGTGCCGAAGGCGCAGTGACCTACCTACTGCAGGTTCTCGCGATACACCCTCTCTCATGTATAAAATATGAATAGGCTATTTCTTTAAGTTAACATTTTTTTGTCCTTAGGTGTGTGTATGTACGAGATGTTGTTCGGCGAGACCCCGTTTTACGCGGAGTCGCTGGTGGAGACTTACGGCAAGATTATGAACCACGCGCGCTCCTTCCACTGCCCACCTCCTGATGAACATGCCGCTCAGGTATTATACACCTTACCAAACTTTTATAAATGGAAAAAAGGTTCTTATCTAGCAGATGTGTAGAATTGCGCGTACAATTCAGACTTAAGTATAGAATTGGTCGTCAACGCCCATTTTTACGCATTGTAAGCGCTCTTTCGAGTTAAATATATTATTGTTCGATCAACTAAATGACGCATCTACGAATATGAATCCGCTTATGTGACTTGTATTTCTTTCTTTAGTACTCATCTTTATAGCCTTCTAAGATACCGAGACCACATCCTTCCTCCCCAGTCCCAAATCTCCAATCCTCGAATACATCAAATGACTTCTTCCACCCTGGGTTGAGTGAGAGAGAGACAGGGTCAGACTCTAACTGAATAAAATATTTGCGTTTCGTTGTGTTTCCTGCTCCAGGCTGCAACGCAACTCCGTCCTTCCAATCTAATCCAAACAACTCAATCATAGAAAATTTAAAAAAATATCCAATAATGATTTGAGAGCATCAGCGGGGGTTGCGGGGTAAGCGTAATGAGGCACCGCGACCTCGGCCCAGAGCAGGAGAAGGAACAGGGGGGTTTTTAGTCAGTAAGAGTCCGACACTCCCTCCTGCCCGGCCCTGGGCGGGAGAACTCATTTGATGATTTTCCCCTCTCATAAAATTATGGTTTGACTGTTTAGGCGTAATAAACCTGAATTGCTTTTGTATTTTGACTGCTTTCCTATATCTTTGGTCGATTGGGTGTAAAGTTTTATGGTACTATATAAGAATAATAGGTATAAGAAAAAAATCTCTAATACGAGAATTTCGAGCAGATTTGAGAATCTGTTTGTCAATTGTATTTTTGTTTTATTAACAGGTTTCAGAAGAGGCCAAGGATTTAATCCGCAGACTGATTTGCTCTTCCGAGAATAGATTAGGAAAAAATGGACTTCAAGATTTTAAGGTGAGATTCGTTTGAGTTGTTTCCTAAATTATTATGAGATATATTTTGTCCATTTATACCTTGAGGTAACAGCTGCGTCGTCAGCTCGTTGGCAAATTTTATTCCTATAAAATACCATTCTAAAGTTGTTCTTATTTGTTTTTTTTTGTAAAGACACCGATATTGATTTATTTAATTGTTTGAGCTTGTTAGTAATATATTATTATAATTTTATGGCAGAATCACCCATGGTTCGCGAACCTGGATTGGGAGAATCTCCGCGAGATGCAGGCGCCGTTCGTACCCGACGTGTCCAGTCCCACCGATACTTCCAACTTTGATGTCGATGACACTGATATCAGGTAAACTTGAAGACTGTAAATGTTGTTTTTATCTTTTCACGTATCTACTGCCAAGAACTGATTTTGGTATGAATATAGTTGTATATTTTAAAATATTCATGAAATATTTAAACATACTCAATGTATATTTCATGAATATTTTAAAATACTGGTTCTAGTAGTCGTCTAGCTAGTTTGAAGTACGTATACATACGTATTATACGATATACGTAATAATATTAACAGTTTACGGTTTTTGAAAAAAAAAAAAAATTACGCGTCTTATCTATTATATAAAAATGAATCGCAAAATGTGTTGGTAAGAGCATAACTCAAAAACAGCTGGACCAATATTGCCAAATCCTTTTGTTTTGTATTTATTATTGTCAGGAGAAGGTTCTTATAAAAAAATATATTAAAAAATTAGAGAGGAAAATTGGGGAAAAGGGGACCCTTTTATTGTTAAGGAGATAGTTAGACCCGTGCGAAGCGGGGGTGGGCCGCTAGTATGAAATAAAGATCATTTCTTGAACATTTCATTGCAATTCCCGTATGTCGTAAGATTTTAAAGCAGTTATTTGTTGGAAACATTGTTTATTTGTCTTTGATACAATATTGCATATCCCAGGAGTTGATGTGTGTAGTGGATGCTATAAAACAACAAAGCTAATTTTTTTATTTTATTTTATAAGTAGAGTGTAATGTTCCGTGTACAGGTTATCGGAAGCAGTACCGCCGCCATGCGCGTCGTCAGCGTTCTCAGGGCTGCACCTGCCGTTTGTGGGGTTCACGTTCACGGCGGGGTCACGCCTCTCTGACCTCGGCGCGCCCGCCAGCCCACTCAGCCCCGCCAAGAATGCTCCCAGTCAGGTATTACCTTACTTATTAATATTACTCAAAAGTTAAAAGTAAAATCATGTATTTCAAATAGACCAGTATAGAGACTTTTTAACGTTAAACAAAAAAAAGTTCAATTTTGTTAATGCCAGTCTGGACTTGATCAGAGTACATACCTATTTGCTACTGACACCTATTTCTCTCTCCTTTAATATAAAACTGTAGTCGTGGTAGCCTGGAGGCTAAGGCGCCCGCTTTTTATGCACGGGGGTGCAGGTCGAAGGGATTGGGCCTCCGGTAACCTCACTCACATGGCGAAATACAACGCTGTTCTTGTTTCACGCCGGTTTTCTGTGAGGCCGTGGTATCAGTCCGGTCCGAGCCGACCCATTCGTGCCAAAACTTAGCTCTCCCACACTATGTTTGTCCCACATTTTATCGGAGGACTAATCCCAAGTAGCATTCGGGGTTCTATATAAGATGTCTAGTCGTTCACATGTACTCTAGAAGCTGTGTATGTCAGCTGTATATGAGCTGTATAGCTTGCTATAATGCTTTTATTGAACCAGTTTGGGCACAAATTAGACAGCCTTAAGTTCACAATGGCTGTACATTAGAAGTATAATAGCATTATAATAGCAGTTTAAGTAGTAACATCGGACTTAAGGCTGACTTACGGCACTATATGGAACGCAGTGTGAACCATACAACGTCCATGAGTGTAATAAAGAGTAATAAGTGGCTACATACACAGCCTTCACAGTTAAAATCGGACAAAAGTACCCCAGTAAGCTACCTTAAATTCACTTGTGTCCTAAATTATTTCCACAATATATTATTAGTTTGACAATTGTACGAGTGCACGGATTCGGGGCAAACTAACTCCGGCGGATTATTATTATAATATAAGGTAAGTACCTGTTTTATATACTATTATATCATGTTAATGCCATGGGAATGCAACTTTATCGTGAAATGTATACATATTGACAACTAAAATTTTCACGCGCCTCTGTAAAAACGCTTTATTCATTTTGAAATATTTAAAAACTGGCTGAGAGGAAAATTTAAATTTTCAGTTTTTGATATTTTATTGGCATTATAGTTATACTACGGTTATTAATTTTAACATGAAACCAAAACTCATTCGCTCTATCTGCGTATTTTGTGATAAATCTGCATTAATCTTGTAGATTTTTTTGGTAAATATTTTAGGTTACGTAGAACAAAATGGTGGAAATGAAATACGGCTATGTGAACTGTTATAACTCCTATTTAATGCGGTGAGCGTATATTAGGTTCACATGTGTTCTGTTAGAATGCTGTTATCTATATGAAGTCCCACATTTGTACCACTACAGCGCCAATGTCAATTAATTTATTCTAATGTGAACTTATATACAGCTTTAAGATGTAGTTCAGGACAATTGTGTATCTTTAATTCTTTCTTCAAATACTAAAATTTTAGAGATCCGCAATAAAAATTATTAATGTTCGTTAAATGCCCAGTTAAAAATGCCCAGTTACTAATAGTCAAGTATGAATACCTAAAGTACAAATTTTGTAACAAAAAACACCTTTTCGTGTAAGACACACAGTTGGCGTCAGAGTATTTATATTACAAAAACACTACTCTGTCCAAGGAGGTATTTAAAATAATGTAAACAAACTAGATAAACAGGGACAACATTATGCCCTGCGACAGAAAAGGACAGAAAATAATAGTTGTCACTCAGCCATAGTATAGTTTTCGCCAAACTTTCGCAGAAACCAATTTTAGGCATCAGCGGGTAGCGGGGGTGGGGGAGGGGTATGGCGAAATTATCACATTTCATTACTTCAAAGCAAACTATAAAGGGCCTTATAATCATTATTATTAAGTTTAAATCTACTTGTTCGTTTTGTGACGTTATTTACATGACATTCCAGTAGTTTCGACGCTACTCATTTAGGGATGGGACACATTCGTAAATTAGGTTCGTATCGATAATTTTTCATCATCATCGTTCAGAAAATTGATTTTTGACAATTTTTGTGTATAATTCATAAATGTTTAACTAAGATTGCATAGACACATCAACGTTTTAACCACACACAGTGTGCATCCGTCTGTGGTAGGTGCGGGTGGTTTATCACCATTTTTATTAACTAAAAATCGCGGGTTACTCACGCGGACGCGGTAACGTCGCGCAGCCTATCTATCTATCAGTAGGCTGCGCGACGTCGCCGCGTCCGCGCACGCTGCTCATGAGGAAGAACCCCTCTGTGGTTCGAAACTAGTAGAGCTTTTCTCAATATTTACACGTGAGTAACCCGCGATTTTTAGTAAATTTAGTATGTCTCACGATAGTTATTATAAAAACGCCATTTTTATTTTATAATGTTGTACATGATTTTTAACAGAGTTCCAAAAAGGAGAGTCACTCTCAATTCGACCGTACATGTGTTTTTTGTTCGTTCGTCTCCGTTATTTATGAACCGATTTTAATAATTCTATTTTTGTTGGAAAAGAGATAAAACTTGTAGGAGCGCGTAGTGCTTTTATATGTTAAAATCTAAATCTTTAATAATAACTTGACCATCTCCGAAAAATATTAAATCTTCAAAAAATTTTAATATTTTTCTTTTTTATTCCATTAGAACCTTTTTCCATTACTGATCATTTGTAGGTATATCGTGTCGATAAATTACATATTATATTGCTCACACGAATACAATAAATAACATCGATATATTGGGATACCCTGCCCTATCTGAGTAGCAAAATAGTAATGTCTATTGGTACAAGTGCATACAAATATGACATCTAATTCAAAGAGGTTAGCGTTTTGAATAGAATGAATTTGTTACAGCGCCATCTAGCTTTGAGTGGCTGAACCCGTTGTAAATTGTTTAATTTTACACGATAGACGCCTTTATTGATTGTGACATGGGAAATGGTAACAACTTTCGCTCATTGTTATAAGACTCAATTTTTAACAACATTTAGAAGATGATTTGCTAAAGTTGCGTTTTAACTTTTTACCCAATTATAGCTGTTTTTTACCTTAAATATCTACTTAGACAAAGTTTATGCTATTTCTTTCTGAGAAGTAATTATGCGCATTCCTTTTAACAAGTAACCGAGAAATAGAGGCAGGCAAATAGTTGCAAAATAAATACCACGTGAAGTGCATGTTTCTGTGAGTGTCACCGTTATCCGTATTTTAGAAAGGTACCTATTATTTGTTATTATGTTTTAAGGAGCGTGAGTGTACGTATTATTTGTTTATTAGTATAAATTCATTTATATGACTGATTTCATCGTGGTTTTAGGTCAGTTTTATGTTAGGCTATGAAAATGTGAATCTATATAATAAATACTTGCTAGGTAATTTGTATTCATATGGAGGTTTAATATCACGCAATATCGTCTCTGGATTTTTTCCCAAACGTTCAAAGCTAATTTTGAATAAAGCAGCGATAACACGTACCAATTCGGAATACATTGCTGGTTATCTTGACTTTATTGTAAATAATTCCATCCATAATAAACAGCAATGGAATGCTGAATCGGGATGAGTAATCGCTTCTTCAAATTCGTAAAATCATCGGCACGGATCTTGAGCGCTGACCTTCACCTGCGCAGAAGTGATTTATTGGGTCCGCAGCGCATCGCGTCATAGCCGTCACTCGGGATTGGTTTTATGCTGTAGTTGCACGTACCTCACGACGCGAGTACACTTCCGGCCAATTTAATTGACACCATTTTTAAACTGCATCGTTTTAATTATTATAGTATTTTATAAAAAAATTTTTTTCATTTCATTAATGTATAAATTAAATACGAGATCAAAAATGTTAACAAAAAAAGTACATAGGTACGTAGTAGTTTTTTTTTTGGAACTTCTGATAAACTGCAAGATGCTTATATTTTAAATTAGAAACACTTTTGATTAACTACTTCCATCTGAATTTCCATTTCTCAATTTATTAAATCATTATAAAATCTTTCTTTCAACCATAGAGCCAGTATGAAATTACGTAGGTAACTTAGGAAAAAATAAATAATAAACGGGTGTGCGTTTTATTTTGTCATAAGTGTACGATGCGCAAAGCGATCCCCACTCTTCCGCCGAGCGCTCAAGATCCGTGCCGGTATCTGTACATATTGGTATTTTGGCTTAAGAGTAATGCTTTGTTGTGTATATGTTGACGTGTGTCTCATATTTAATTTTAATTAAAAACAGATATAATTTTTTTAATGATAATGAATGTACTAGTAGGTATTAATCCAATTATTCTCTTTCAGACAATGCCGTTTAAGATTGTACAGACTGTGGAAAAAGGACGACCCACATTAAGTATTGTACCGTATGTTTGGGAGGACGATGGAAAACTATTCTGGCCTACAGAAAAAGTTAAAAACCGAGCACGACTCGCAAGAGACGAAAACTCTTTTCCAAATCCAAATTGGGACATTTTGGATTGCGTGGTAAAACGAAGTAATATTGCAACGTACGCCGAAGCGCAAAACGAACTACGTATCATGGAAAATTATACAGACACAGACAATGAAACGAGTGAATCGCGCCCTAGCCCAGCACCTGTAAGACCAGCGGCAATACCACCAGCAAACCGTTTTGAAAATATGGTGCAAAATTTGGTAAGCGATTAATTTTTTTTCAGCAACATTTAATAAAAACTTGTGTATTGCACCGAGCGCAGGCTGCCGAAGGGTTACAATTTAATGCCTGTGGTATTTTGTTTTAGTAGGCTAGGCTTAGGCACCCCTAAAACGGAGAAAACTGTTTGATTTATGGCAACACTGCAATTAATTTACCGATTATGATTTAATATATTTTTTGGATTTTCTCAGATAATAAGTAATAAGCAGTAATAAGTTTTATTATCGTACAATACAAAAGTTATGATTTTTTGTTTGTTTCAGATGCCAAGTGCCTTCAACGCAGGAGGTACTCAAATTAATTCTATTTCTGCTACAAGCAATCAGATCGAAGCTAATGATGAAATGTCATGTTTAACCGTCTTCGACGGCGAACAGTGTATTGCAAATCAAAACATTTTAATTCAAAAAGTTAATAACCAAGAATTAATACTGCAAAATCTTGTTGAAAGCGTTAAAAAACTTACTCAAAAAGTGTCCGAGTTGTCTGTACAATTAGATGAATGCATGTTAACATTTGTGGAAAAAATCGAGCAGCCAGTGTCTGTTACGTTATTAAAAGACGATAACCAAGTTGATAATGAATCGTTTATTTTTAAACAAATAAGTAACAAGCAACAACTAGACAATCTGGAAAGAAGTTTAATGAATAAAACTGAGAGATCAAAACTTCAACAACAGCTGGGATTTTTGTTTCAACCATGTGAAGGCAATGGCTTAACCTTTGCCTATAAATTGATCGACTCAATGGTTTCACGGGAGTTTCTGTGTGAATGCTCCTGGTCTGGGGGAAGCCGTGGCAACGTTTCGAAGGTCCCTATAAAAGACTACAAAAATTTTGTCAAATTCTTCTGTGATATGATACGTTCATGGGATTGCAAATTTACTATGGGACAAACTGAAAAGTTTTTTAAGGTCATTCTGAAAAATGCTGTTAAAAGGAAGTCCATGAAAGACTTAAGATCCTCTTCAAAACGAGTCCGAAAAATTAAATCAAAACCAAAAGACCAGGCAAGCACAAGAAAGCAAGAAGTTTCTGCTGATTTAAAAATTAATCAAAATAAAGAATCAAATGAAACATTAGAGATGGAAGTAGCAGAAGTGGAGGAGGAAAAGGAAAATAATGGTGAAGAAGAGATAGAAGATGATGAAGACAAAGAAAGTTTGTGCTAATATTTTTTATGCGTTTTTTGTCATTATGGCATTCTTTTTTTTTATTATGTCTGATATAGTACATATAGATTTAATGACACGATAGTTTTTTCCTACTGACTTTGCGAATGCTTTTTTTGTAACATTTCACCGTAAGCCTCGTTTCAAAACCGGTCATGACCAGTACCTGCCTTTAGTTGATTTGTGTTTCTACTAGGCTGATTACAGCTTAAGTAATAATTATTTGTTGGTGATAAGACTTAAATATTTTTAATATCTTTGTTTATTAGAACTTATTATATGCTGATTATATAATACGGGTACTTTATGCTCAGTTATGTATGACTTTGCACGTTATATAACAAATTAGGCTTCATGTAAATACATAAAGCCTTGTTTGTTAGGATAATTTCGAAAATTATACAGGAAGCAACAAAACGGGTAAACAAGCCGAAAGAACCAAGGTACTCATGAAACTGAACATCTTTTCCCATGGAACATAGGTCGAAATACTTAAAATAATTGGACCTCCCAAAGCAAATTAACTAGCTGATCAACAATTTTGTAAATTTTTTTTTACTATTCCGACCTATGTTCTATAGCCGTTCAGTTTCATGAGTACCACTTTGTCCTCTTTTCGGCTTATTATACCCTTTTTATTACTCCTGTTTTTGAAAACAATTTTGTTAAATGTTGTTTGATACAAAGTGCTATTTTTATTTAAAAAAAATTAGAATACTTAAAATAGTTAATTATGTATAAGTATAATATCTCCGTTTTATAAAACTCATGCTGATTTTATACGTTTTCGATGTATAAGGTAGGTATTTTAAGCTTAGTTTCATAACTAAGCTTATGTTGCTGTGTAATGTTGATTTGCAAAAAGCTTTGATAGTTGTTTAAGTTTAATTTTGTTAGTTATTTTATGTTATAATAATGTTGTTTGCTACCAAGTATTATTTAGATAGAAATATTTAGACTGATTAAAATAGGTAGTTAGCTAGTATAAACTATTCTTTACTCTGTTTTATAAGAGACAGCCCACCGAAAAATTTGTGTGCTACGTTGGAACTGAACAATTTTCCATTTTTTGTCGGTATGTTGATATGTTAATTGTGTGAGTGTTCAGTGCAATCACTGTGTGAAAAATAGGTAATAAAAGCCAATAATATCACATCAAACAGTATTTTATTTATATGTGTGTAACAAAGGGATAAAAAATTTAAATTCTTTGTGTTCAATACATACTAATTTACATTTAATCTCTTTTGTTTCTAAGACAATCAAAGTATGGGTACTATTCTGCTGACATCTTGATTTGTATATCGCAAGATGAGACGATTTTATTGGATATTCAAAAACGTCTTCTGTGTTGTTAATTTTATTTCCTTTAATCAAAATCTTATTGTGGTTGACTTCTACGCAGCAAATTTTAACAACCTCATTGCATTTGGTAAGTAAATAACTGTCTTTTTCTTTGCTGGAAAGTTTAAAATCTTCAAAATTTAATACATTATTGTTTTTAATTATGTTCACAAAGGGATATTTCTTGTCTTTATGTGTTTGAAAATGAATATCATCCATATTTTCAGCCAATCGTTTGGCGACTTGAGACAGTGGTTTTCTTCCTGATCTCAACATTCTTTTGATCATAAATAACATATTCTCGAAGGGATATGCGTTGAATGTCATCAGAGGGCCAAACATTTTAATTTCATTCGTCAGGTGTAGTAAGTTGTGTATGTTGCTTGTAACGTAGCCTGAACCATAAAAGTCTTTGTAAAATTTTACAAAATGTTCCAGAAGCTCCTTTGCTAATGGCAACAAAGTTTGGTATGTTTCTGTTGAGCAGATTGTTATACTACAATATAGTGTTAAGAAATGATTATAAGCTTCATTGTTCATAACATCAGGCAAAATGACAATGCTTAAATAATGAAAAAATGCTCTGAATTCTGACGCTTTCCAATGTGCTAATGAATCTAAACCTCGCACTGCTCGATGCACTTCTGAAGGCAGTTTGCAGTTGCATAGAAAATTTGAAACCAGTGCAATATCACTTGACCGCATTTTAGTAATATATTTGCCAAAGTTGCCGTCACGCCAACCAATCAGTAATCTCTTCATAACACCCAAGTCGATCAAATGAAGTGAATCGGCTACAATAAATTGGTTCACCATGTCAATAGGAAGATTTAATAAAGGAGAGTCATTTTTATGATGCAAGCCATAAATTTTGTTTCTAAATCCTTCATTTGTCCTTTCAGGACACAAAGACTCAGAAAATGTGACGGTATGTGTGGTATGCGAATATTCTCCAACTGTAGTACATTTATGGCAGCCGTGTTTACCGTTAAAATTGCAGACTCCTGCAAAAAATATATTAAATCAAGTTATAATAATATAAGCAAAAAGTTAATAAATTTCAAATAATTGTGTCATGTGCGGATCGTACCTACGAACCACAGAATAGAAGGTAGTTTCACTACCAACCAACTAAGCTATCAAAGTTATCTAGAAATACTAAGAGATGCATCAATAATTTCAACTAGTTATTTATCGATATTAGGTGCATAATGGCGATAATATGCGACACTAAGATAGACTTACCTTTAATATAAGCTCTAGCTGGCGAGTCACAAATGAAGCATCTGATTTTTATCTTTATAGTTTTCTTTAAGCGCTCAACTACAAGACCTTCTTCTAATAATATCTTCATGTCATTTACAAAATCTTCTAAAAATTCATTTAAATTTTTTGGTTTTCCTTTCCCAAAATAGATTCCAATAATAAAAGGCCGAATCCTGGGATTTTCAAAAATGTTACCTAATATAGGCCAAAATTCATTTGTAGAACTTTTAAAAATAGGCAAACCATCCACATTTATGTTGATTGAAATCGTATCTGGAATATCCATCCAATTTAGGAAAATGCTCTTTAAAGGTTTTGCTATCCCATTGTGCCAGTATTGACCTCCTCCTACATTTTTTAAAATGACATTAACGGGAGTGCATAATAATGTTCTAGCATCAGACGGTAGTGTTCCTGGTTTAAATTCGTTTATTATATTTGACAATTTATTCAAAGCAGAATGAGGAATACGATTTTCAATAGCCCATGTTCTTATTTTTTTGCGAAAGGTTAAACAATTATCCAAATCAAAATTGTATTCACTATCACTAGAACTGCAATCACCACACTCTGATATCAGTATATTTTGAAGGGAACTTTCAGGTTCAGGCATAATATTTTCTTCTGCATCATGTACGGAACCACCAACAACGGTTGAAGTCGCACTTGTTGAAGCCTTATCGACGGGCTCATTTCCGGGCGTCGTTGTCAATCGACTGTTTATGTTCAAATATTCTTTAGCAATTTTTCTTCTTATACCACCGGTTCTCGCTCTTATTTTCCAAGATTTTTTAAACATTTTCACAAATTTTATTGCTTGTGACGTAAAAACATATACTTTGCAATGGCGCTTGGGAAAAAGTGTAATAGAATATCACATTCACATTCATGTTCAGCTTACAGCAAATAAGAGTAGTACTTGTGGACAAATAAACTGCTATTGATGTTAATGGACAACACATATAGTCCTTCTAACAGCCTACAGTCCACATGTGAATCATTTAAATTCTTCTGTACAGATAGTAAAAAAAGGTTATTATAAGTATCACAAACAAGTCCTAATGCAGCTACTGGCTGTATAACAGTCTAAAACAAGTAAACATAACAGCCTTTGGCTTTATAAATGACCACAAGTGTTCTATTAAAATGCTAGCTCTATAACATCGAACAAGTAGGCCGTTAAACAGCGGTTGCCATATCTCTACCCTCTTATAATGCTCTTAGTCAGAAAGCTGGCTAAAGGATAGTTGTTAGAGTATTATAACACCCATAATCGTATAAAAGTATTACTCTACCCTCCTATAAGTCCCTTAGACAGGTATAGGTGTAATCAATTGCAATAATGCAGCTAATACATCACGAGTGAACTGTAGTAATGCTTTAAGTTCACTTTGGAACTCAATGTGTACTCTTAAATGGAACAAAATGCTACTTGGGATGTCATCTCTCGCACAGAGTGAGGAGAGAGCGAGTGTCAGACTTACTGACTAACCTCGTTTCCTCTCTTGCTCTAGACCGAGGCCGCGGCACCTTGTTGTAAATAACTATAATAACATGACGTTTAGTTATTATCGGATTATCATAACTATCTTATTAATGCTTGGAATCTTATAATATATTGATATTTTAGGCGCCAAGTAATGCGGGCGATCGTGCTGCGCTAAAGGCGCTAGAGCGAGAGAATGCGTTGTTAGCGCAGACCATTGCAGAGTTACGGGCCGGGGGCGCCGCGCCAGAGGGCGCTAGTGGTAAGCTTTCAATTAAACAATTCTAATATATGCAATATTTCTATTTCATTGCTTAGTGGTACTTTACAATGTAGGCAGTCGTGTCATTTAATATACAGGTTACAAAATAAAAGAGACCGGCGATCTTTAGTTTTTTTTTGTTTAATAATTTTGTATGCATGTAACTTTTTCAATTAATGTATTGTTACTGAATTGTTACAAAATGATATGGCGTAATTAAAAGCGTTAGAGAGACTAAGTTTCGTGAATCACATTTCAATATCTAATATTTTTAGAGGTACTATCGCGTTATTTGAAATATGAATCAAACTAAAAAAACGTGTGACGTCACACTGTATATCTCAAGTGCTCACCGGTTAGCTGTATGTATGATAAATTGGAATACTTACTTAATATTTATTTCACAATTCACTTTTAATCGGACTATATTTTTACGAAAATTAATGGTTTTCAGGAAAGTTATCTTCTTAATTGTCAAGTGTTAATATTTCATTTGACTCTTAACGCTAGTATCCTCTTTACTAAGTAACTGTGTTAGGTTAGGTACCGATTTGCATCAAAAACAAATATAACACAAAAATAATTCCACAGAAGATTTAATACAACTGAAAGAAGAATTGGCGACGTTATCGAAGAGAAATGCTGATTTAGAGGCTCAAGTTAGATGTTATGAACAATTGAATACTGGCATTAGTACGCAGGTAAGTTATTTTTGTAATTAAATAGATTTTGTTTCAATTTGTAATTGTATTTTTTGGAATTTAACTGTTTTTTTTAAGTTTAAAAATTACATATTTTGTTTCAAGTGTCAAACATGATGCTTTCAACGTTTTAGGCACCCTGTATAGAATACTGACACCGATAGCATATTTTTTTTTAGTATGTATAAGAAATTTGACATTGCTTTACGCGTTTAACGCAAAGTTTCGCTTACGCAAGTAGTCTGCGCAAACTTTTGCGCAACTGTTGAAAACAATTTTAAAACTACCAACGTCACCTGTTATTCAAATTTATTCAAAAGCATGCTTGCGCTTAAAGGAATTATACTTTAAAACGTTTGCGCAACTCATTTTAAAATATACTTTCAAGCTTTAATATATATAATACATTTAATTTATCTTTTTATTTATATGCATGTAATTAAACCAATAACTTCAATTCCCAGGACATGCCAGCTACTCCACAAGAGATGGCGACGCGAATCCGTGAGATGGAAGTCATCATCCAAGCTCTGAACATGGAGAAGGAGGAACTATTGAAAGACAAAGCTGATTCCTCTGAGAAACTTAGGCTACAGGTATGTGGGTCGAAAATATTTTGATTTTATTTTGCGATAAACAAGAATAAACTGATATTATAGAAAGTTAAAGTGAAAATCATTTATTCAACATAAACTATAAATATGTACTTTTGAAACGATAGTCATTTCGAAATAAATAGGCCCGGTTTCTGAAAGGCTTGTCAACGCTAAAATTAACTAATCTCCTGTTAAATCTATTGTCAAGTCATCTGATTGGTTGTTGATAATTCAGTCAACCAATCAGATCACTTGACAAGCGATATTTGATTTTAACATTGATCGGCCTTTCGGAAACCGGGGGATAGTATGTCAGTCTGTTTGTCATTAAAGCTATGTGCTCATTCAAAAAGTACGAGCAAGAAACTCCATCGTTACCTTTCTTTTTTTAAGTAACCTCGCCCGATACTCTAGCATGGCATATCAAATTCTAGATCATCTTTTAATCCTCTAGATACAAGTTTGATTATTACATAAAAATTAAATTTGATATAAACGTTATCAACTTTAAATATACAGGATGACCATCTTTTACTCGATATATAAGTATTCTATATCTCTTATACAGGGTGTCCAAGAACCTGGCGTCCAACTGGATTCCCACGATGCCCCAAGTTCTAACAGTACTCAGAAAAATATTTTAAAAAATCCACCCCATGTACTTACAGAATTATACTGATTTCAAAAAAAAGGGGAAATGAGCACCCTGTGACATACTTTTGAATGCTGTGACTGCTAATGCTGATAATTTCGATATTTCTTGGAGGTTTTGTAATCTAGGGTATTGCTGTGTCTAAATAGAATGTAAAAATAAAGTACTTATTGTACCATTTTAAAATAAAATATTATTTTAACTAAAGGTGATATGGAAAACTATTGAATTTCGCAACTTTGACCGACTGTAGTGTAAAAAAAATGTACCAAAATAGTATGGCAAGTGACGTCAAATTCTGACGCGTTTATTCCTCTTTTTAAAAAGGTATAATACTTACACATTAATTTGAAAAAAAAAATTGATAATATTTTTACTCAACAACCCAATTTTTACGAAGTGCCACCTACTAACGGTAACTGTTATGTTACTACTATTATTTACTTCGGTTCCAAGAGTGAGCAAGAAGGAAATACACACAGGTAGATGGGTTCCCAGTAGAATAAAAGCAAAGAATGTTAGTTTAAAGATATTTTATTACAATAAATGTTCAAAATGTTTACCACCCGCGGCAATACAAGCTCTCACTCTCCTTAAAAAGGACCGCTTTATGTTTCGCGAGTAATTTTTTTGACGTATCACCTGCACTGCTTGTGTTATCTTCTCACGAAGGTCAGCGATGTCATTATGGGCTTCGCATAAACGAGCTCCTTCATAGTTCCCCAGAAAAAAAAAATCCAGCGGATTTAAGTCAGGTGAGCGGGCTGGCCACGGGATTGTTCCTGATCGCCAAATCCACCTGTTCGGGTATTGCTCGTCCAAAAACTCTCTAACGGATACGCGAAAATGTGCTGGACAGCCGTCGTGTTGGAACCACATATCTGGTGGGGTCTCTTCTAGTAAGTTTGGCAAATCATTTTGAAGAAAATTTAAATATGATTCGCCAGTCAAATTCTCGGGCATCTCAAATGGACCAATAATATTCCCACAGAGAATACCGGTCCACATGTTCACTTTGAACCGGTACTGGGATCTATCTTCTCGCATCAAGTGCGGATTTTCCACATGCCACTCGTCCAAGTTGTGTAGGTTCATGTAGCCATCCTTCTTAAATGTTGATTCATCTGACCACAAAATTTTGTCGATAAAGTTTTCGTCTTCTCGATGTTTTTGCAGGATTGTTTCACAAAACGCGACTCGGCTCGGATAGTCTCGAGGTAAAAGACTTAGCACTCGCTGTACGTGGTACGGATGATATTCTTCTTTTTGGAGAATACTGTGTGCTGTGCTCTTCGGTATCCCCGTATCAGCTTCTATTCCTCGCACAGAGATGCTTGGATTTGCCGACACCGCCTCTAAAACTTCATCGCGTATGAAGTCATTTACGGGTCGTCCTTCACCAGCTACTTGATTGGGGAACCGCCCGTCACATAGTGATCTGTGCACATTAATGAAAACTCGATGGTCGGGATATCGCGTAGCCCTCGGATACCTTTCTCTGTAAAGTCTCGCTGCAGCTCGTCCATTACCTCTACATTCTCCATAAATGTAGTGCATATTTGCGTATTCTTGCGGAGTGTAGGTCGCCATGGTAGCACACACAAAACACAAACTGTCCAAACACAGGCAAAGGTCGTCGTAAAGAGTTCGTTTCAAAGTCCAGAGCACAAAGAGTAATCGAGTCCAATAAACAAAGCTTTAAAAATCGTAGTACGTGATCAATGGTAACAATAAGAGAGAGGTGCGTAGTAACGGCAGGAGGCAGTGACGCGTACTGACCGTACTGTTATCCTAAATAGCACGATCCCAGATAGCGTCACTATCTATCTCACTCGCACCTCTAACCTTTTTCTCCCTCACTCTTACCTGAATAATGGGGTACCATAAAGAAGAACCAGCAAATCGCAAAGATAGTTTCTGTCTTGCTCCCTCCTGTTGTAATAACGAATCACTATGGTGAGATGCATGCACATACCGTCCCTTACGGTCTAACCTGATTTTTGAGAGGCCTGTTGTTATTTTTATGAGCATACAATAGTAATTCTTTAGAGGTTAGATTCAATTCGTCGTAAATTTTTCTTTCTAAGAATTCTGTAAGACATCGTAAAAAATTGGGTTGTTGAGTAAAAATATTATCAAAAATTTTTTTTTTCAAATTAATGTGCAAGTATTATGCCTTTTTAAAAAGAGGAATAAACGCGTCAAAATTTGACGTCACTTGCCATACTATTTTGGTACATTTTTTTTACACTACAGTCGGTCAAAGTTGCGAAATTCAATAGTTTTCCATATCACCTTTAGTTAAAATAATATTTTATTTTAAAATGGTACAATAAGTACTTTATTTTTACATTCTATTTAGACACAGCAATACCCTAGATTACAAAACCTCCAAGAAATATCGAAATTATCAGCATTAGCAGTCACAGCATTCAAAAGTATGTCACAGGGTGCTCATTTCCCCTTTTTTTTTGAAATCAGTATAATTCTGTAAGTACATGGGGTGGATTTTTTAAAATATTTTTCTGAGTTCTGTTAGAACTTGGGGCATCGTGGGAATCCAGTTGGACGCCAGGTTCTTGGACACCCTGTATATACTTTTTTAAGGATTTTCACTTACAGAAACAAATAATTCCGAAGATAATTCAATTTCAAATATGGTGTGACGTCACGACTCAAACTCACACAACTATCTTAATAAACTAATGTTTATTGTTACTTCCCGAATAGGACAAGGAGTTAAAGGACGCGCTATCACAACGTAAGCTTGCGATGACGGAGTACAACGAAGTTACAGAACGATTGTCTGAACTTAGACAACAGAAACAGAAGCTCTCGCGGCAGGTATGGTTATTATATTCTCTATTTAATTGACGGCCGAAATTTATGCCAGATCTTTGAAAACTCCTCCCCCCCCCCCCCCCCGTTCGTTCTGCTGTTCTGAGCCGAGGCCGCGGTGCCTTATTGCGCTTACCCCGCAACCCCGGCGGAACATCAGCCCTATAGGGCCTTGTCTCTGGTGGTCTATACGCGCCGCACGCTCCGGATGAGAGAATAGGGTGGATAGTTCCTCGTCCTCCATGGAAAAGGGAGGACCCTCCGACGAGACGGGTGTTGTCTGGTGGACTACTGCCCGAAGGTCATTGTCGGGATTTTGTATCAGTTCTAATTGCCTTGAGAACTTGTTATAACGCGATGTAGAAACTTGATCGTGATTGGTGCTGATGTTGTGTATTGTGCGGTAGATGTCGCTTCTAAGGTTTACCAATTATATGCTTCGCCACGAATCAGTCTGATACTACGGCGTCTTCGACAACCAGCGTGAAACAATCGAAGCGTCGAAAGTGAGGGTATTGCCGGTTGGGTGCTCTATTCTCTTCTTCTACTAAAAAGGTCGTGTTGCAGACCTTTCAACACTTCCACCTCCTCTGTAGGTGTCCATGGGCGGTACTTATCATCAGATAATCTCTTTCTCTTTTTAGATAATCTCTTTTTCAATTGAGTTCTTTTTTCTGCAATCGTAATCTGATTTCAGTTTTGCGGGAGAAAACTCCGTACGCCTATGATGTTAAGCTATCGACGCCGCCCATCTTGGTCGGTCTTATTAGGGATATGAGGATTGCGGATATGACCTTACTCACACGGCGAAATACAACGCGTTGTTTTACGACGTTTTTCTGTGAGGCCGTGGTATCACTACACACCGTAAATGAATAGGATGTTAACAACACGGTTGGCGCGGTGGCTGGGCAACTGGCTGTCGTGCAACGTGTCGCGGGTTCGATTCCCGCACGGAACAACTCTTTGTGTGATCCACAGACTGTTATTCCGGGTCAGGGTGTGATGTGCAAGTGAAATTGTATGTTTGTAAACGCACCCACGACACAAGAAAAATCCCAGTGTGGGGAAACGTTTTTTAAAAAAAAATTGGTCTTGCTTCTAGGTCCGTGACAAAGAGGAAGAGCTAGAAGTAGCGATGCAGAAGATAGATGCGTTGCGACAGGACATACGGCGCACTGAGAAGGGACGGAGGGAACTCGAGGCTAGGCTCGACACTGCTATATCTGAAGCTACCAAGGTACTGTTTTACAAGGTTCTTTGTAATATTCATCTATATAATATAATAATATATAAAAGAAAGATAAAAGAAAGTCGTGTTAGTTAGTCCACTTATAACTCAAGAACGGCTAAACCGATTTTGCTGAAAATTCGTAGGGAGGTAGCAAAGAACTGGGAGAAGGACATAGGATAGGATAGGATAGAGTAGGTAGTGTAGGTTTGGTAGAGTAGGTTAGGTAGAGTAGGGCAGGTAATAAAATGACGGGAGCGACGCCGCGGGTAAGAGCTAGTTGTTTATAAAGACTTATTAAGATTCTTCTTCTGTTCTTATAATAAATCTATCAAGTCACTTCTACCACATGAATTTGAATACAGAACGTGATTTATATGAACTATGTGTTATAGAAGTTTAATAGGTACCTATTCACATAGTAAGTTAGAAGTTTAGTGCTAAAATTAGGAATTGTTACAAGATCATAGTTTTGAATTTTATAATATAATGTTTTGTTGGAGTTAATAGTATGCTAACACGCAATCTGGCTTTGCTGCCTTTGTTTCTCGTCTTCTTTTTAGGGACTCGTATCAGGTTTTTAAAACGATCGTCGACTCATTTCAATTGTTTACCCTATAAAGAAACTCAACCTACCAATAATTTACGGCAGTAGGTAGGTACTACCAACAGAAACTTTTTACAACACGTTTTCAATACGGAACTTAGGTTGGAATTCTCAATTTTTTGTGTTAAAATTGGCTGCTGTTCGAGTTTCTTATATTATCTGAATTATCATGTTCTCCCCCCTAGGAGCGCAAGTTACGCGAGGAATCGCTCCGTAGTTCACGCGTAGAAACGGGCGCGCCGCCCGCCGCCTCTGCCGCCGCGGACGTCGCCAGGCTGCAGGCCGAGGTCGAGACTCTAGAGGTAATCTACCATTTTCCAATTTCAAAACACTATTTGCTATAATTAGAGTGTTTGACTTAATCAATACTCGATAAGGTCGGTACATACAAGATAATACATGACGTTACAATACAGAAAGATTAATTTCTTAAAATGTTTTGAATTTCATCAAATATGTATGTCTTCTTGTATCTGAACTGACTTGACTTTTCTTGTTGATTGACTTTTCACAAAAAATATTCCGAAACTGTCAAAAATCCCTTCTTATCATGTTTGTCAAGGTAAACGAATAAATAATAGAGGAAAGTTTTTGTAGTTCGAAAAACATTTTAATCTATTATTTAACTTCATGGTTCGCGTAGTGGCTGGACAACTGACAGTTGTGAAACAATGAAACAATGAATCGCGGGTGACAAAATGTGTCGCAGGGTTCGATTTCCGTATGAAACAATACTTTGATGATCCACAAATTGTTGTTTCACGTCTTGGTATGTTATGTTTTTGACCACTGACAGAAAACTAGTTAAACTTACTATTGTATATTGTTTATACAGTTACAATACAAGGAATCGCTAGCGCAGCAACAGGCGCGGTTCCAGGCGGAATTAGCCGCGCTCAACGACCAACTGCAGGAGGGAGACGCGTTACGCAACGTTCTCAATAGAGAGGTACTTTTCTTTTCACATTCTAACTAAAGTATTGTTTTCCTGTAAAAAAGTCTACGGTAAAAAGTAATCGCGTCTAAAATATACCAGAAATCATATAAGTTTTTTTCTAAGCCCTATAATTTTTCAACATACACCATTTGTTTAGAATCACAATAAAGAAAGTTTAAAATAAACATTAAACCTTAATACATGACAAAATCGTATTCATATAAACTTAATTTTGGAGTTCCACAAGGCTCTAATTGGGGTCCAACTTAACTGTAGGCAATCATATTAGAGTTCCACAAGGTTCAACGTTGTGTCTACAGACGACTCAACCTAAAGACCCCTTTTTGTTTCTCATTCCGCCGCCGAGAGTCAAAGCGAAACAACAACATTGTCAATTTTGACGTGTCCTTAAACGAGCCAATGAACACTAGACTACCTCTCCCCGCAACTAGCCACCTTTTATCGATTTTTGTATTCGTACTGAAGTTTGTTTATGCGATGTGTTTAAATTGAGTCGTCTGTTTGGGTCCAACCTAACTTTGGTAAACATTTTGGAGTTCCACAAGGTTCTAAATTGGGTCCAACTTTGACAAACGTGTTGGTTATCCACATGGGTCTTTTTTCGGTCCAATGTAAATTTTCTCATACGTTTTTTTTCTTAAATGTTTCTTATTGTTTCAGTTGCAAACATCGAAGGAGAAATTGGAAAGTCGGCGCCTCGAACAGTTGTCGGATAGTGAAGACAAACAGATGCTTATGAACGAGAACAGGAAGCTTGCCAAGGACCTGGACGCTGTGAATAGCAAAGTCTATATTTTTTTACTAACATATTTTTTATAGTTAGGCCCTTTACTAACTTGCCCTAGATCCCATTAAATAAGATTTGAAGCTAGACAAACTGTAAATGCTCTGAGAAGAGATGTTGAAGTAAACTCAGAGGACTTTCTTTTAAAGTTCTTAAATTTTAATGATATGGTAGCCTTTGACAATAATATATTGATAAAATACGAAAATGACTTAAGATGGTACAAAAACATCCATGCCATTATGAAAATAATTCCTTATAATACAAAATATTGATATTGTTATGATTATTTTTTGTCTGATAGGACCGCAAATGAACAGACGGATTACCTTATGATAAGCAATCAGCGCTGCCCATGGACATACGCAACAATATAGGAGTTACGAGTGCGTTTTCGACCTTTTAGTTACTGGGGATTTGGAGATTTAGGGATTGGGCCTCCCGTAACTCACACGGCGAAGTAAAACGTGGTTGTTTTGCGCCGGTTTTCTGTGAGGTCATGGTATCACTCCAGCCGAGCCGACCCATTCGTGCTTAAGCATGGCACTCCCACACTTAAAATTCAAAATCAAAATATAGAAAAAATCTCTTCTAAACTCCCATCTCATTTGTCACCAGTTGGCAGAGAACGGTAGAAGATGGCAGGCAGAACGAAGACAGATGGAAATAGAGTTAGAGGAGTTGAGAGCCAAGAGAGATACCATGCAGCATTGGGAGACACAGGTCAGTGATGTAAGTTCAACCCCTACACTTATATTTGAATTTATATACATTACACTTTTCCCTCTAGTCTTTTAACCAACTGGGATTCTTCTCCTCAAATAATACCTTCTGATTTATTTCGTTGCGGGATCCAAGACAGTCATTCATGTCCCTGGGACGCGCTGGACTTCAGTGTTCCGGTGTTTTCATGGTTGTATCTACTGTAGATCCTGGTGCTCACGAGTTACAGCGGTTTTGAGAGGTTGTGGCTGGCTTGTCCCAAATAGGATTGATATTCGGTCGAATGAGACGATTTTTTGTATAGTAAATATCGTGAGATATACAATAAATTTATTGAAAATAACGTCTTTTTTACGTGAATGAAATTAGATAATTTTTCCTAGTCTCAAGTGCCAAAGGAATTCTTGTTATTAATATAGTAATAAAAATAAAAGTAAAAAGTATGGAAAAGTTTCTTTGGAAAAGTTGTTCGTTGTGTACAATAACGTTTAACCCCTCTTCTGGAGCGATATACCTATGAGACACAATAGAAAACACATTGTGCCTCGTAGATCTGCCCTCAGGCATATCATGGGTTAAATATCGATCCCTAACTACCAGTCGCTCTATATATTTTGTTCCACATTTAAAATCTTACCTAGTCTAGTTCTTATTGGGTAGTTTCCAACTAGTCAAATTCATTACTTTTATCCAAATGTCAAAAACGATACTTTTCTATGAAATTTGTATGAAAAACTGAGGCCATAGTTTTTTGGTGTCAAATAGCTTACTTATTTCTTTAAAATTAGTAAAAAAAATATCTAAAATATAGTGTATCGACAGATCGATGAATAAAAGTATAGTTATTTTTCAATATGTCATTGTATTGAAACGTCGAATTAATTTATTTTTGACCTAGGAAACTACCCAATTGAAATAATTGATTTGAATTTGAAACTTTTTACCAAAGGTATCTCAGATTCGTTCGAGTTTTTACCTGATGATTCCTATTTATGTGTGTATGTTTGTCCAAACGCATGGTGAACAAATGTTATACCAAAAAACCATTGTATCAAATGTGTCTTTATTACGAAAGCAGTTAGGTTCAGTTTAAGTCTAATTGCTATTATTATCTTAACTCGTATAGATAGCCGACATTATCCGATGGGTGGCCGATGAAAAGGAAGCTCGAGGCTACCTACAAGCACTCGCTACTAAGATGACTGAGGAATTGGAGTATCTTAAACATGGTGAGTACTAGAAACAATTATTCAGTGGTCAAATAACGAAATAAATGTTTGGAATTACAAACTTAACAACTAACAATAAGGAGCGGGGTTTTACGGTGCCCGGTGTAAAGTTAATTCGACGTACCAGGTACCAGCAATACAGGCAGGCAGGCCGATCGCTAGCGCAAGCGCGCCGTTCTAGGCAGTAGCGTGTGACATAACAATATTATAGTTATGGCGTGTCCGAATAGCTTGGCTTCTCGGCGATTCAGCCAGGACAGGAAATCAAAGTACAAAGTTTTTATAATTATTGTGCTCGCTACAAACCTTATACATCTTTCTAGAATATATCATTTTAGCAACTGTGTTTAGTATCAATAACTAACTAGTGTACCCTATTTAGTAATGGATTGTAATGGCGAGGCAAAATGTAAAAATTATAAAACTATAACATCATTTAGTGCCGTTGTGAATTTAATACATACATATTTCTTCGTGTTTATTATAAGCTTTCTAAGATATAAATTAAATTTCCGTTTGTCGACAGCGAGTGCATCCCGATCCTCCCTAGTCGTGGCCTCGTCCCCGCCATCGGGCGGTGGTAACGAGGCGCGCGGTACGGGCGGCTGGAGGAACCGACGCTCGCAGAAACTCGACAAAATGGAGATACTCACTCTACAGTCCTCGCTGCACTCCGAAATACAAGCCAAACAGGCGGTGGGAGAGGAACTTTCTAGAACCAGAGCTGAGCTGCTTGCTAGTCAGAGGTTAGTGTCACTTTATGTACTTGTAATAAAGGCTACAGTCCTTTGAAGAAATTTGATAGTACTCAAACTTGGAGAACTGCTCTCCTTTATTCATTTTCTGTGACTTACATATCGTCTTTTATATTGCAATTTGTTCAATGTCAAGATACACTTAAATTTGAATTTTGAAGCGACTGAAAAAGTTTCACACAGTAGTTAGGAAAAATTTGTCAAAAACATTTTGGTCCCATCATTTTTTTTTTCCAGTACTCAAACCGTTTTTTTTCACCTGTAAACTTGTCATTTTTTTAATAATATAACTATAGTTCGTTCCATAATTAGAGACAACGATTTGACATTTCGAGTGTTGCAAGTTTTTCCATTTCATAAATAGTGAAGTCCTGCGACCGGTATTGACCGAAAGACCGAAATTAAATTCTGGACTTCGTGCATTTTAAAAGCTTTATTATTTTTAGCTACTTTCCCTGGTACCTTCTTGTGCCCATACTAACTCAGTCGGGTTAAAATCATAATGGTAAGGAGGCAACCGTAAAACGGGTTAAAATCATAATGGTAAGGAGGCAACCGTAAAATAGTGACCCCCTTATAGCAGCCATCAGTCCACGACGTATCGTTAATAATTACTCTTCTCTTTCCGGGAAATCTCCGACAGCTTGGCTTTCAGCATGGGTTCCTCAAATATAATGTTTTTCTTTTAGCCAGTCTTGGATTTCGCATTTTTATTTTAAATTATTATTATTAATTCGACTAAACTATAAAAAAACATCGACGCAACGTTGATTTATTTTGCTTATAGTATTTTATAAATAAACGGTATCGGTATTTTATTTAAAACATCGTACTCGGGCCCATCTCTATGTTAAAAAATCTGGTCACATTATTTTGTAGTTTGACATTTGCTGTTGTCAAATTGTTGTCTCTAATTATGGAACGAACTATAATTGCAATATTAATGACGATATTGTTTTTCATGCCTCTAAAACTATGGATATATTAACGTTAGATTTTACGTTGAAATGACAATTTTTTTATACATGTATCAGTACCATTCCCAATTAGTTACCGGGTACAAATTACCTACACATATGGTAGTTGTTTTTCTTCAAAATACAAATAATCATTTTATTTCAATAGTTATATTTCGTCTTGGTGTCGGGAACCATTCAAGTAAGACTCTAAATTTGCCCAAACTATCAATCTGAACTGATTGATAGTTTTATAAACGTGTTTTCTTAACTCTTAACTCTTAACTCTTAACTTTTTCTTAACTCTTAACTCTTACATGTTTACATATAAAGTTTGAATTTTCTTTTTCTTTTTAAATAAGGCGATTTAGGTAGTAAGTTTTGTAGTTTATAACTGATTTCCAAAAAAGGAGGGAAACTATCCTATGTCCTTTCTTGAGCTCCAAACTATGTCTGTACCAAATTTCGCAGAAATCGGTGCAGTTGTATAGGCGTGAAGAAAAGACAGACAGAGTTCCTTTCGTATTTATAATATTTGTTAAATTAAATTAATTAATATTAATATAATATTAGCTTCCGCCCGCGGTTTCGCCCACGTGGTATGTTGATAGCAAGCAGTCTATGTGCTAATCCAGGACATCACCTTTATACATACAAAATTTCAACCAAATCGGTAGAGCGGTTTTTGCGTGAAAGAATAACTATCATGCATCCATACATTCTCACAAACATAGTAGGATTTTTTTTTCAATATTTGATGCTCGATTCCAGTAATTAAATCCATTTTTACTATAACGATTCCATAAAACAATCCATCCTTTTGGTCCGTATGAGTGTGATTTCCTCATTTTTCTTAAAGAATGAGTTGAAATGAATATTTGTTATAGTGATTTACATATTTGATTTTATTTTCACTGCACAAATAGTATAGTTTTTATTCCAACACAGTAATAGATACAAGAATACTCAGTAAAAAGTATAACAGTGAAATGAATGAATAGAATAAGGGGGAATATACTCAGAAAGGGTTCGGGAAAATATATACAAAAGGGAAATTCCCCAATTGCAATTCCACCCTTTTCTGTGCGGTTCTGCGGACAGCGAGTAAGGGTAGCTCGCCGCCCGACAAGAACCAGACCCGAGCGTAAGGAGCGTAGCGTTCCACGCGCGCCTCAAAGAGCCAATAGATCACCACAACTGGGACCCAACAGGGCCTACGTTCACCAATAAGGTGCCGCAGCTCCTCGTCCAAAAGCATCGACCTGGAAGGCGGGAACAAACAACTCAAAATATAATCAGCTGTAACAGATTTGATCACTAAGTTAAAATTATTTCCACTAATAATCTTAAATATCTATTAGATCTTATTAAAAGTTTGATTTTAGTATTTATCAAGCTGATTTTGGAAAAATAAGTAAGATATTTATTATGCAATAAAATGAACACGTCACGTATTAGTAATCTCGTAGAAAGTTTCTAGAAATATCAACATATTTGTCAATCTGTCATTATTTATTTATTTATGCTTTATTGTACACAATGAAATGAAGTTGGTACAAAAGGACAATACATTGTCGTCTTAACTATTATCTGATTGGCACTAAAACGTAATTCCCCAGAGAACTATTGGAAACCCGACAACGATTGGACTCCCTTGCACACGATATGAAGCGCAAGGAACAACATATACGCGACATGCAAGCCAGACTCGATGCGCCTCACCAACCCGGTAACTCCTGTGAGTATTATATACACAATTATATGTTATATATATACATATACACGTCCCAGACGGGGGTAAGCACAAACATGGGTAAATGGCTGGTCAAAGATATTTTTAACCTTGCAACGAGGCATACTCGACTAATTTCAAGTCACACCGGGACTCTTATTCAGGACAAAGATAATAAATATATTTGATATGAAATAGTCTTTGATGTGCTACGAAGTAGTGTTGCGTTATGAATGTGGGGTTAATCATTTATAATAGTAGTTTCACGGCTTTCTGTGTTTTTTTTATTTAAAATTTGCTTAAAATTATAAGCCATATGTTGATAAAAAGTAGCCTATGTCTTATTCCGGAGTGTATCCTATGCCTGTGCCAAATGTTATCTAGATCCGTCCAGCCGTTTTGGCGATTGAATAACAAACATCCATACATTGTAACTTTCGATTTTATGATATTAGTAAGATAATTTTTGGACATAGATTGGATCAACACATTTATTGTAATTCAAAACGCAATGTGTCAGTATTTATTGCAGTTTATAGTCAGCTTAACTTGTATACAGCCAACGTCATTAGATCAATGTTGCTTGCCCCCAAAGGGATTATTTGGGATATTTTATGTTCTTTTATCAATGGGAGTTGAAAAACGGGTTGTGTACTTGCCCACGCGCATATTGTTGTAGCACAGTCTTTATAAGGACAATGTAATTATCACGCTTGAGTTTACACCGTCGCTTCCTGGAATTTATTTTTTTGTCGATTGATTGTAGTCTAAGAATCTATCGATGTTACCTTTTTCAACTCCTCACAATAATAATAATAAAAATGGGAACTATCTAAAGTGCTAATTCGTTTTAGTTAGTAATTAAAGGTTCGATATAATTATCCAGTTATCTGTAAAATATCCTTAATATAGTTGAATAAGATACTTCTGCAACACGTATCTTTGAATATATGAGCACAGAACGTCTTTTTATATATAAATAATAATGTTTATTTAGTGCACCATTTCTTTTTGTTTTCATTACATGTTACCGCACATTCCTACCCTATACACAACTTTGTGAAAATGAAAATTACCGTCAACCTCACTTTTACTGCAATTTTACCGACAACGGAATCTTGGCTCCCACCTCAAAGTTCAACGTCGACCGCGACGAAAAAAACGGAAATAAACGAACGTTTTAAACAAAAACAATGCACATCGCTATTTTTCTGATTGCGGTAAAAAAATGTGTGAATATGGACTCTAATTTGTGAACGAAATTGGAACTGTGATTTTATATTCCAAAAAAACTTTTTTTATAAAAAAAATTGTTAACGAAATTTTTTTGCCCGGATTTTTTGCTTTGTTTTTTTTTTTTTTGTTTGTCATTTAACGAACATGTATTATTCTGTGGCATTTAATGTTTTTTTTTACTATTATTATTATTATAAATGCGTCTAACGCTCTTTTTTAATCCGTTTTAACGACGTATTGGTGTATTTTTTCTTGTGTTTTTTTTTATTGTGCTGTTGGTATTTGTTTTTGGAAATGCTAGTTCGAGTTTGGTTGAGGCGCAACATACCTCTTTTCATAGGCGTGACGTCATGTATATGGGGTGTGGCCATTCTTGTATACCATCATATATACACCTGATGTTTAAACAGATTTCTATAGCCACATTCAAAATTGTATGCAGCTATTTATTTATTACTTTTTAACTAGATAATTTCATTTATTAAAATGCACGGTTGGTCCAAGGCTATAAGGCGTACGTAACAGTCGTCCAAGGCACGAAAACCTAGTTAACGCCTACAAAATTCGCTATCGAGTGTCCGGGAGTATGATTTAAGCCTTTGATTGCTGAAAAAAACTGTTACCACTGTCCGAAATGGCGTTCAATGTGTTAAGAAAATCTTTTGAAGTATTGTTCTAAAATTCTAGTCTACTGTAGACAATATTGCCCTTGATTTTCAATTAGTGACTCCGAAGTCGAGATCCCATGTTATGTTATCGGCTCGGAGACTTGGTTTCAGAACATGTCTCGATGTGCCCGGGTATTAAACGTAAACTTTCCTGTATGATTTTTATTTTAAGTTTTGGAAATTAGATTTTTTTTGAAGATGGTGTATAAGCGTATCACAAACAAGGCAGCTAATAAAATTAAAGTTCGTGATTACCTTTAAAATGATTTTGTTGTGGCTATAGATATCAATAAATAAAATTACAAAGTATTCAATGATATTCATGAAATTTTTATAAAATGGTTGTAGACATATTTGGAATTTAAATGACAAAATTATGATGTAGAAATTTAGTGCTCAAAATTTTAATTTTTATGATGATATTTATGCCAATGAGGGCTTTCTGATTTGCGGTCGATAGATGGCGTTAAAATGGCATTAAGTCATGTGTGTCTGATAAAATATTACTATAATTGAAGTCTGTCAACAGACCTAATGAGATACAAGCACATCAAGCGACAATTCAGACATTAGTCCTCATTTTGATATTATTTACAGTAATCTCACCAAAGTATAATCGTTTCTAGTCTTCGAAAATTAGTCTAGTCGAAAACGTTGATTGCCAAAGATATTTTAAACGATAGTGTTGTACCCCAACCGATCGAACTAGTCAGCATTACAATCGATATCGATACGGTTTTTTGTTTTCAATTAATTTCCATTTGAAATAACATTAATGGTATTTTTAAGACTTTATACCTGCTTTCTGTTATTATTCGAATACAGTATATTATCATAAATCAACGAAATCAACAAGTTAGTGCATTTTTTTATAATTAGTCAGGAATCAATTATCAGCCCCATATAAAAGTGATGTTTACTTTGTTTTGTTCTTTCTCCCTCCTTTCCAGTCAAATTTACAGGAAGACTTTTGCCATCTATACTATTAATATCCTAAAGAATAAGAACTTTATGTACGCTCTAATCTCAGAAACAATAGGATCGACTTGAAAAAAATTGTCGGATAACCTTTTTATAAGGCAGTAAAACTTTTAGGAAAGGCGCGATGGCGTGACGCGTGCGTAACCGCGAGAGAGAGAGAGGCTAGTTTATATTAATTCGTTGACGCAACTTGCAACAAATATTTAATGTTACTTCAAATGGGATTAATAGTTTTTATAATCTGTGACGATAAAACTTGACAAATGCAGAAGTATTTTTAGAGTTGTTTGCGAGAATATTGCTTGTTTTTTTAATTATTTATTAATGGATGTATTGGTTAAATTTATATTCGATGTGATGGAATGTAATACGTAATTTCCCAGTAATAAATGCGCCATTTTTCTCGTTTTTTTTTCGTATATTGTCAATTTTTTCGTATTCGATCGATTGACTAAAATACTGACAGCACAATGATTTTTTTTTATTTATTTATTACTTAGTTTAAGTTTTTTCTCTTAGATCCGTTTTAGAATCTCATTGAGTTTGTTTTTTTTTATTTTAATGTTATATTTTAAGACCGTACGATGTTTCTTTAAAACAAAATGCTAAGTTTATGGGAGCATAATATTAAATATAATAAAGACGCGGGCTCGAAACCTAGCAAACACCGATGTGAGTTTTTCCGAGTTATGTGTAGATTCTAAGGTTATTTGACACCACAGATAAACGGTGAAGGATCCCAATCCGCTTTGGACAAGCGTGGTGATCAATGCTCAAAGCATCTGTACCTTTCCTCAGCAGTAAGTACTTATTGGCTGATGACGATGATAATAGAAAAATAAACAATATTTTAAGCCTTCATAAAAATAAAGATATTGCCTGAGAAACGTACTTTGTTAGTCTAATTAGTAAAATCCCTGCATGACATAATTCGCTACAGAATCTATATATTAAAAGTATTCTCAAATCCACCAAGGTGATCGATTAGGCGGTCTTGAAAAGTTCGGGTTTATCATAGAGCGGGGCTAGCCTAACCTTGTTAATAATATCAAAAGATTTTTTTTAATAACAGCTACACACACGTGCGGTCTTAAAATAGAACATACAGACTCTTTTTATGTCGTTATATTTATATATATATTTTTTTGTTTTAAGTTATTGTCAGCACATTTAATCTGCATTTAACTTGTATTTTATGTTTATATGTTAGATTTATTTTATGTCATGTCGATCCGTGCATCACTGTATTCTAGTATACTTTGTACATTGTTTTTTTTTTGTACATAGTTATTAAACAATCTGTTTTAATTTATGTTTTTATTTTTTTTCTGTTCTCTTTTGTATTATTTTGTCGTTATGATTATTTGGTTTGAAAAGACATTTTAATTTACGTTAACATTAAATAGCAAATACATATAAAATTTACATCAATATTTCCTATAAGAAATATTGCCTACACATTCAAATAAAAATATATTTATAGACTAGAATAATAATTATGGCCAGTTAAAATGCATTCTGATGATGCGATAATTCAAAATTAAACTCAATCACAATACAATTAAAACACAAAGTTATGCGCAAGCAGCCAGGCAAGGATCGGCGAAATCATCAAGTTATTGGAGCGGCAAAGAAGAGAATGGTTCGTTTATCATAATATTAGCTAAAACATTCCTATTTAGAAGTAGACTCATCGTATGTGACCGTGGTAGAGATGGCCGATTGCGAATATTGTCGATATCGATATTTTTTTCATCGTTTTTTATTGATATTGGGTTCTTTTTCTCAACGACAGTATAATTTCACTATGAAAATTATAAAAGCACTAATTTAATTAAATGATTTTTTTCTTTTGAAGATGGTTAAAAAATTTAAAAAGCAGACAAAATTCATATACTCAATCATAATTTTAGAAACAATCTATCGTCAAAATTAATTTGAAAGACGTTCCAACAGATTAATTCGGTCTTTGATTGCCGATAAAAACTGTCGAAAGCAATAATCATTCGCTAGCGTCGGACACTATATTATCCGACATGGCGTTCTAAGTACTAATAAAAAAAAGTTATCGATAAATAACGTGTTGTTATTCGCAATCGAACATCACTAGACTGTGTGTTATTTTGTCCCTTGTAACATTATCTGTTGTTATATAAAAGCTTTGCTGTCAATAACGTTTTCCTCTCATCACCTATGCTTCAGAAACAATCTTGGGGCGATTGGTTTAATAATGTATTTAATTATAAAAACAAATATTAACAAAAATACGAAAAATATATTTTTTTGATAATTATTACATTTTTATTGTAAAAAAAGTACAGTCCGCGACAAAAGTGTTAACGTTAATAAAATAAATACAGTTTTTTCGTGTGCGGCTTTTCTTAATAATAACGACAGATACTGTTATTTTTTCTTAAAGGTGTAAGTTTTTTTTAGTATTTGTGCTGCGTACGTAGTTTTCTATCAACTAGTTTCATTTGTCTGAGGCGTCCATTGTAAATACGAGCAAGTGTAAAGGGAAAATAATTTTCTCTCATTTTTTTTCACTGTTTTACAAAATTAATTGGTCACTGTTTTGTTGGGACATAATGACAAATGTTGGGATATTTAAAACGTTGTTTGGTTTTAAGAAACAATAAAAAAAAATGAAATATTTTGGTTCTTGAAACTTTTCAATTAATTTATGACCTTTAATAACACATTTTTCGTGTGGTTTTGGTTTTTGCAATCAAATTAATGCTAAGTTATCTATTCAAACTTCAAAACAGTGACGCTTAAAATTTTTTTTTTTTCAAAATTTTTATGCAATATGAAACATCCTTCTCTTATTGCAAATCGCTTCGCTTTTGCTTGAGCTTGTTGCGGTGGCATGGATGTGAAGAAATTTACCTGCGAAACTTAGTACTCAATTTAATGAAGCATCCATTGCTCCATTGGCATATAAAATCTTCAATGATTATTGAAATAGTTGAAGAAAATCGTCAATGTACATAGAAATTGTGTACTAAAAGGTTTTTTCTGAAATGTCCAGTCACCACATAATGCCCTAAGCGATTGGTTTTTCCTTTAACACTTGTTTGTATACGCACTATAGGTATTTTTGACTAATCTTGTCTTTTTATTTATTTGTAACTTGTACTTTCGACCTTAGTTTCTTTTTATTTGTAAACCTTTTACGTCAGCACACGAGTCATTTTAAATGTAATTTTGATTTAATTTGAATGATGTAAGCTTTCAATACTTGAAGTTAAGTGAAATACTGATTTTATTATTTAAACTCCATAATCGATCTAATAATGTGTCTAAGTAGCAACGGCATTTTTAATAATAATTATTCTCTTTTACAAAACAAAACTTTCGTGCAATCTCGAATTGGGTTTTTTTTCAGAGGCTGCAAATTAATTACGTTCTACAAAACATTTCATTATTGCTTTAATTATTTATTACTATTAAAATTGGCCTTCTTGGGTGGCTATTTTAACAATAGCCAATATATTAGTTTTGTAATATTTTATGTAAATAATAAAAATGTTCTCGTGTGCTGAACGGGAATATTTGTACAGCGTCCATTGTAAGCGTCCGAAGTGCATGGCCTTAGTCCCGGTTTTGTATTGACTAAAATGTGATCACGTATAGTCGAACACAAAACTCCAATAACATCAGTATTAGAGCAATTTGAGTAGCAAAAAAACAGGGCAAACAAATCCTCCTCTGGTGTTACGGGTTCAAGTAGCATTACATCTAAATAAGTTTTCTCTTTCGGCCGCGAAATGGCAAAGTCCAATATTTCTTGATTTTTTTTTGTTTCTATGAATATTTTTAAATATCGTTATAATTTTGTGCTCGACTGTACACAAGAGGAAACATTACATTCTAATAAATTGTACCGTTTTTTTTTTTAAATAATTATTACTGTTTTGTGAACGTGGTTTTGGGTTGGGATTGGTTTATGTGTTTTTCATTATATTTACATATATTTTTCTAAAACATTTCCCCATTTTTTTTAATAATAAAGAGTAATTTCGTACTCCTATTATATATCCTTACTTATAGTTGTTCTAGTTTTTCGTTTCCAAAAGACGCTAATAGTAACGTCTTACGTTTGTTTTTACTATTAAAAAATATTCTTAATCCCCATAAATTGCTTTATGTGGCAAAAGCGAAAAAGGAACTAAAATTTAAATTTGTTTTGGAAACGAAAATCTAGAAGCAAATCCATTTTTGTATAATTTAGACTGACTATTACATTAACACTTTTCAGTTTTGGACCGACCACCGTCACAGATGAGCTACCTAGACCAATTCCTGAAGGAAGCGCCGACGGAACGACATTACGATAATGTGGCTACTATCAACGAACAAAAGGTTGGTTTTAGCATAACACATATTTGTACATAATACGTTTATAACAACGCTTTTCATGTTCATTCGTTCGTTTTGTTTTTATGAGTGTCTTCCAATGTATTTCTTTTATACCTGGGTATAGGTTTATCATAAAACAATGAAAATATAATAAAATTAATTTTTAAACTTTTGCTTCACACTACGATTTTCACCTGTGTTGTGGGTGCATTTACTAACAAACACAATACGAGTATATTTCTTATGTATCAATTGTTGAACTAAAACAATAATTTGTAGATTATTCAAAGATTTTTTCAAGGAAAGATACAAACATTAAGCATTTGACTGCCAACAAAAACTGTTGAAGGCTAACCCTCAGCTAGCGTCAGACAGCGTTGTCCGACATGGCGTTCTAAGTGTTAATAAAAAGCTATGCTTTTAGATTATTAGTTTCATAATGTTTTTTTTTTAATGGTCATTGGAACACACTCATAGCTTAATTTTGTGACTAATTTATAAGGTGAAAGTTTATGTTTTTTATTATTGTTACACTGTATTTTATCAATGAAATATCTTTAACCTCCAAAATATGATTTTTATCAAAGTTGAAGTATAAATAATTAATCCTTTAATGAGGCAGTTTTAGAATTACCAACATAAAAAAAATGTGTTGTCAAGGAAATGTTTTTTTACGCTGCAGAGGAAAATGGCAAGCGCTTAGCTGCATACTTTGGCCCCGCCAACTAAGACACTAAGAGTCGCGTCCACGGTATTGCTTTTCAGCATTAGCTAGCAGAAAGTTGAAGTTGAAAACCCATGTGTACGACCAAATATTGTAATTTGCTGAAAGTATAACTTAGGAATTAAACACCCATACATTGAGATAATATTACAATAACACGTTATAAGCAATTAGTGGGTATGTATGATCGCAGTGACCCAGCCGAACTCAGGGTGTAATCGTAATCAACAACGGGCAACGGGCTGACGTTCAGCCGGGGTTGCGGGGTAAGCGCAATGAGGCATCGCGACCTAAGCTCAGAGCAGGAGAAGGAACGGGGGGGTTTTTAGTCAGAGTCTGACACTCTGTCTCGCCTTACCCTGGGCGGGAGAAGTCATTGGATGATTTTCCCTGCCAAGAAAAGGGTGTAATCGTAATAATGTCGCAGCCAAAATCCAAACAGGAGACGGAACGAGGTGGTTTTTAGCCAGAAACTGTCTCGACACTCCCTCTTTCCTCACTAGGATTAGGTAATTCAATGTTTTCCATTGTAAATAAAGATCTTTGTGATGTATGTATGATAAAATACAGTGTAACTATAAAATCATGCAAGCTTTTTTTATTTTTATGTTGCAATTTTGTTTTGTTATCTGTTGCTCGCACAGATGTCGCCGCAGTACCGTTACAGAAACCAGCATTGTTGTAATACAAAGGTATTGTTTTATTTTTAATATTTATGTACTGACGGACAATGAAATTAATCCGCAATTAATATAATTTTCTCTTGGAGCATGTATAAAATAAAAAAAAACTATTGTGTTGTTTAAGAATTACATTTTAAAGTGTTTATTCATTTTCAAAAGCCTCGGCTTATTTGATTGTCTCTTAGTATACTTATTTATTTTTTATATTATTGTTGGGAACAAAGATGACTTTTGTGGCAGTTACCAATTGGCATCTGAATTAATAACATTACATTCAGTAACCCCCGGTTTCCGAAAGGCCGATCAATGTTAAAATCAATTTAATCTCTTGTCAAGTCATCTGATTGGTTGACTGAATTATCAACAACCAATCAGATGAACTGACAAGAGATTTAACAGGAGATTAGTTAATTTTAGCGTTGACAAGCCTTTCAAAGACCGGGTGTTAGTCAAGTGCTGATTCATTAAAAACGATAATTTTACTTGGTGAAGGAAATCGTCAAATAACTTGGTTGCTTTTGTGTCATCAGTATCATTATATATAATATATACTAACTTTAATGTGCAAAATTCTTCGTATTTTTAACACAATACCCTTAATAATTATTGGCCTTTCAAAACTTTTTTAGAAATATAGTTTACAATACCCTTAATAATTATTGGCCTTTCAAAACTTTTTTAGAAATATGGTTTATACTTTTTCTACTGACTATACTTGTATAACATTGTAGTAAAGTAACGGACACATACAAAGACATATTGTCTAAAGTTGTTTAAATGAATTCAAAGTTATTAAGCTACTTTTTTAAGGAAAATAAAAAATCTATCGATATTTTATTACAACAAAAAAAACTACCATAATTTTTCAAAGCCTTTTTTCATGATTGCCTAATAAAAAAATTATATTACGCAGTTAATGTACGGCTCTCAACAATCGGCTGCGTTGAGTGGGTCGGTGGAGTTACAAGACGAATTGGAAGGCCCCCGGGCGTCATCACCGGCATCCAGCAAGAGTTCCCCCAGTGAAATCTCAACAGTCAGTATGGTAAGTATTTTATACTTTTCATCATTACTGCAAGACTTTTATTGCAGGACGTAAACTTTATTAAATCTTTAAGTATTAAACTGGAATGAACTGTGAATCTGAGGCAACAAGGAAAAAACGTACCTACTTCTTTTTATACGACTGTCCAAGAAAGGAGTGCTATATTTTAGGGGTCATGTTTGTACATATGTATTTTTTTTTATTCCACTGTCACTTTCAAACTCCCAGATAGAATTGGATATTTAGCATATCGTTGGAATTCTTAAATCATCCTGGCGACATAGGCTAGGTTGTGTCAAAAAAAGCAATGGGGTGGTTATGGGGTTTTAATAACGAATAGGTAAGATATTTTAAAAAGGTTCTCAAAACACCCTAGTGGTCTATTTTGAGACATTTTCAAGCAAAACAAAATTTTATTATGAGATTGATTAATTTCTTCGACGAGTACATAGGATGTACTTGCGCCACTTCTTCTTTGTGTCGATAGATGGCGTTAGTGGACAAATATTTTTTAATTGTTTTACTGTACCTAACCGTTAAAAGTCGTTTGTTTTGCTCTCATTGAATATTTTATCACCAAAATGAGAGGAAATGATTAACTATTTTTACTGTGTTCGGGGGAAGTACGATTAAGCTATGGATCATTATGGAGATTTAATATATGCTTCGTTATTTGTTCCAGGATCCATCGCTGGGCCCCACGGTACCAGGCAAACAGAAGGTGCATCAGTTCTTGGTGAGGACGTTCAGCAGTCCTACTAAGTGCAACCATTGCACTTCCCTCATGGTAAGTTGTGTTTGTCTACATTTTTTTTTTGTTGTCTTTGTATAAATATTATTTAAGACAAGTGACCACAGAGTTGACACGGTGGCTGGACAACCGGCTGCCGTGCAACGTGTCGAGGATTCGATTCTTTTATTATATTGTAAAATGGGATGAGGATTGTAAATTTGAACATCCATTCACCCCGTTTTACATGCCACATCTGCTTGGAATCTTTACGCTAGCCACTAAGTTGTGAACACTTCAACCAATTGATGTGAACCTCCCCCCTCCCCCCTAGATCGGACTGACCCGTCAGGGCGTGGTGTGCGAGACGTGTGGTCTGGCGGTGCACACGTGGTGCTGCGCGCGCGTCGCCCCGCGCTGCCCCCTGCCCGCCGCCTCCTCGCGCCGCCCGCTCGGCATCGACCCCGCGCGCGGGCAGGGCACCGCGTACGAGGGATACGTCAAGGTACGCACCTGCACATCTATATATATATGCCCCCTGCCCGCCGCCTCCTCGCGCCGCCCGCTCGGCATCGACCCCGCGCGCGGGCAGGGCACCGCGTACGAGGGATACGTCAAGGTACGCACCTGCACATCTATATATATATGCCCCCTGCCCGCCGCCTCCTCGCGCCGCCCGCTCGGCATCGACCCCGCGCGCGGGCAGGGCACCGCGTACGAGGGATACGTCAAGGTACGCACCTGCACATCTATATATATATGCCCCCTGCCCGCCGCCTCCTCGCGCCGCCCGCTCGGCATCGACCCCGCGCGCGGGCAGGGCACCGCGTACGAGGGATACGTCAAGGTACGCACCTGCACATCTATATATATATGCCCCCTGCCCGCCGCCTCCTCGCGCCGCCCGCTCGGCATCGACCCCGCGCGCGGGCAGGGCACCGCGTACGAGGGATACGTCAAGGTACGCACCTGCACATCTATATATATATGCCCCCTGCCCGCCGCCTCCTCGCGCCGCCCGCTCGGCATCGACCCCGCGCGCGGGCAGGGCACCGCGTACGAGGGATACGTCAAGGTACGCACCTGCACATCTATATATATATGCCCCCTGCCCGCCGCCTCCTCGCGCCGCCCGCTCGGCATCGACCCCGCGCGCGGGCAGGGCACCGCGTACGAGGGATACGTCAAGGTACGCACCTGCACATCTATATATATATGCCCCCTGCCCGCCGCCTCCTCGCGCCGCCCGCTCGGCATCGACCCCGCGCGCGGGCAGGGCACCGCGTACGAGGGATACGTCAAGGTACGCACCTGCACATCTATATATATATGCCCCCTGCCCGCCGCCTCCTCGCGCCGCCCGCTCGGCATCGACCCCGCGCGCGGGCAGGGCACCGCGTACGAGGGATACGTCAAGGTACGCACCTGCACATCTATATATATATGCCCCCTGCCCGCCGCCTCCTCGCGCCGCCCGCTCGGCATCGACCCCGCGCGCGGGCAGGGCACCGCGTACGAGGGATACGTCAAGGTACGCACCTGCACATCTATATATATATGCCCCCTGCCCGCCGCCTCCTCGCGCCGCCCGCTCGGCATCGACCCCGCGCGCGGGCAGGGCACCGCGTACGAGGGATACGTCAAGGTACGCACCTGCACATCTATATATATATGCCCCCTGCCCGCCGCCTCCTCGCGCCGCCCGCTCGGCATCGACCCCGCGCGCGGGCAGGGCACCGCGTACGAGGGATACGTCAAGGTACGCACCTGCACATCTATATATATATGCCCCCTGCCCGCCGCCTCCTCGCGCCGCCCGCTCGGCATCGACCCCGCGCGCGGGCAGGGCACCGCGTACGAGGGATACGTCAAGGTACGCACCTGCACATCTATATATATATGCCCCCTGCCCGCCGCCTCCTCGCGCCGCCCGCTCGGCATCGACCCCGCGCGCGGGCAGGGCACCGCGTACGAGGGATACGTCAAGGTACGCACCTGCACATCTATATATATATGCCCCCTGCCCGCCGCCTCCTCGCGCCGCCCGCTCGGCATCGACCCCGCGCGCGGGCAGGGCACCGCGTACGAGGGATACGTCAAGGTACGCACCTGCACATCTATATATATATGCCCCCTGCCCGCCGCCTCCTCGCGCCGCCCGCTCGGCATCGACCCCGCGCGCGGGCAGGGCACCGCGTACGAGGGATACGTCAAGGTACGCACCTGCACATCTATATATATATGCCCCCTGCCCGCCGCCTCCTCGCGCCGCCCGCTCGGCATCGACCCCGCGCGCGGGCAGGGCACCGCGTACGAGGGATACGTCAAGGTACGCACCTGCACATCTATATATATATACGACACAACACTAACGCGCATATTTACTCAATTAATCCGAAAAAGAAAATACGATAATAGACCATCATCATCAGCCTATAAGCACAGTATAAATATCATACAGTATTGTAACTCGGCCGCTTGAAAGAAATAAATACCTACAGCCGCGCGGTACGTAAACATGCGTTAGGGCTGCTCGTCTCCAGTATTTTAATTACCTTTGTCTACTTTCTGTTTCCATTTAGTTTTGTGATTGTAAATATCCATTTTTATATAAACAAATAAAGTGCTTTAAAAATAAACAAACAAAATTTCTTTGGCCACTAATGCCGAACTGAACAGCTGACTAAGAATGTTCTAAAATCACAACCCTCAAACATCAAAATATTACATGAGTCTAGCTGTTTTATTGTTGTTATTAAATATTTTCTAGTATTATTCATAAACGCAGATAATGAACAAATATTATTAATAATAAAATACCACACTCTCTACTTTGAATTATACAAACTAACAAAACATACATGAACCGTTTTAACACAAGCGTAAGTAGGTAGGTACCTAACGTATCATGATTCATTCAGAACCAGAACCGCCTATAACTACCTATTTCACTCGTCTCAATAACTTTATTCATATTATTTATAAATTCAAACATCTGTTTTCGTGAGATAACTGGAAATAATGATCCATAAAGACACACATTATGTACCTACCTAGGCTACTAGTAAGTAAAATTATTTTATAGTCTTACCTTTCAGAGTTTCCAGGTAATTTAAAAAAAACTTATGTCTGGATGCGTTATTGACGAATTCATGCATAATAACAGCACAATATTTCCTATTCGTCATATTAAATAATGTACTCGAGCTGATTTCTAAATGAAAGACAACACACCGTCCGTTCGTCACTGCGGTACAGCCGCGTCTGTCTGCGTCCCGAGCGCGTCCCGACATCGGGCGCGTAGGTATAGTTCGCCTTTCGGCCGTTTCTATGAAGTTGAAATACTTGTAGATATTATTACCTTGCTATATGTGTCCACTGCTGAGCAAAGTACGTGGTGATCAATGCTCAAATCTTACTTACCCCCTACATTGCCTAGATTGTATACATTTACATGGGCAATTTGAATTGGGCTATAAATGATATAAAAATATATGAAATCAAAATATACAAAATTAACCTCCTCACTGATGATTTCACAAGTCAACTCGACTGGTCGTAGGTTCTATAAAACATTGAATTAAATTTTTTTGTGTAGGAAAAAAACGATAACTAATAATAATCAACAAGTATAACTAACTTAATTATTATAGTTAAAATTTTGTCTGAAACTCAAAGCAAAGCATCACATTGTATTTCGATTCATATTTAAAAATGTAATTTGTATTAATCTGTATTATATGTTGGTAATGTATTTCGTTTCTCTTTACAGGTCCCAAAACCCGGTGGCGTGAAGAAAGGTTGGATGAGACAGTTTGTGGTCGTGTGCGACTTCAAACTGTTCCTCTACGACATATCACAAGATCGGTGAGTTTTGTTTTCTATTTTATAATTAATCTGGGCTGATTAAGTAAGAGATAGTTCAGACTAACTTAATTTTTGTAAATTTTGTAAATTGTACCGATTGACAAAAATTTTAGGTTGGCAACACTTTTAAGAGGTTATACAGGGTGTTTATTTACTAATTTTGTTTTTTTTTACACCTGCGTGATACAATGCTTGCCTTAGGTATCATCTTACCTTAGGTACGTTACCGGACTGCCAATACCTAAAATCTTCACTTCCAAAAGGCCAGTATCTCCTCCCAAAAATCATCTTCCTCATAAAATAGGAACCGGAACCGTAAAATGTTGACCATTAAAACGCAATGGAGACACCATTGCGTTTTAATGGTCAACATTTTAATTCCTACTGACTTCTATCCTTTCACTTAAATAAAAAATAAAATGTTATGTAATATATTACAGGAACGCGCTACCATCAGTGTGTGTGAGCCAAGTCCTTGACATGCGGGACCCTGAGTTCAGCGTTACCTCTGTCAAGGAGTCGGACGTCATACACGCCAGCAAACGGGACATACCTTGTATATTTAGGGTGAGTTTTTATAATAAACTAACTATTTATAACTTATAACAAACTAATTTGCGCTCATGGCTTCGCCCGTGTCATATGTTGATAAAAAGCAGCCTATGTGTTGTAATCCAAATCTATCCGTCTACATTCCAAATTTCAACCAAACCGGTCTAGCCGTTCTTGCGTGAAAGTTCATATGTTTTCGCTGATTTCACATTTATAATAAGAGTCGAAGAGACATGCTTTTCCAAAAGTACATGAATGACATTAAGATTACATATCTCAATTTTATTTAAATACTTATAGAGATTTGCAGATTTCTATTTTGGGAAAATAGAAATCCGTTCATTGTTTTCATCATAGTAATAACATTTAACTGAAATCGGCTTAGTTGCTTTTTTTGTGATACAGCGGCAAACGGTTACTCGGATTACCTGATGGAAAGCAATCCTTACTACCTAAGAACACCTGCAACACCTGAGTAGTTGTAAGTGCGTTGTCGGCCTTTCGGAAAGAATTGGGGAGGGATGGCAGAGGGGAAAGATTAGGCACTCTTTCAACCCGTGCTTTGCCGGAGCGCAGATATACGCGAGACGTGTTTTCTACTGTGTCTCATATACCGTCAGACAACAGGTTAAAGATGTTTGTGTGTTTTTTCAGATATCAACGTCTCAGTTGGAAGGCGGCAAAAGATCTCATACCCTGATGCTGGCCGAGTCCGAGTCTGAGAAGACGAAGTGGGTGGTAGCACTCAGTGAACTGCACAGGATACTTAAACGGAACAATCTGCCCGATAAATGTGTAAGTATTTTACGCCGGCGCCAAAAGTTGGCCTCGAAGTTGGCCCTAACGCTTGTATAATTATTTAGTGAGGCGTGA